TGAATAATTTCTTATAACTAATCTTCACTTGTAATTATGAAAGAAAAGGGAATCAACAGATTTATCAACATAACAAAGAATTTCACCATGGCATATTTTTTATCATTTGTCTTGACTTGAGATACATCTCAAATTTAAATAGAGAGAATGTGAAACTAAATTTTACTTTTTATTTTTATGTTGGGAAGTGATCTCAATGTAAAAGGCATTGAAACTTTAATCAGATCAAGGTTAATCCTACTTCAATTAAATCTTACTCCTAAACTTGTTGTCCTCTCTTGTTTGTTCAACTTCAAAGTTCACTATAATTCCAACATAATTATTTGCATAAAATAATAGAAAGGTTCTCGAGATGGTAGAGAAGTCATTAATAATCATTCAAAACTAGTTATTATAGAGAAGCTTAATTTATATAAAAATTTCTTTCAAAACTTCACATATTTTCTCTCATTTTTCAACCATAAAATTGTAAAATTAGTTACAAATTCAAATGGCCCAAAACCAGTACAACATTTTCTTAGCATTCAGAAACACTCCAATTTAATCCTAACTGAGGTAAAAATGTATATCCAAGGTTATCAATTTAGATGATTCAAGTAACTGTATTGAAAATAGTTCAAACTGAGCTAACAATACACCTAGAAGGCATTGGAAAATAAGGTAGACACAAGGGCTAATAATATTTCAAAGCAATAACCTCCATGAAGCATCTATATGATTATTTCAAAATTACACATGATGATTTCATAATTATCCTTGTGGGATAGTTTTTCGGTCATGTACAAAGATATCTTTCGTTCTATCATTTCTGAAAAAGTCGATTTAAATCATTTTTAAAAAATATTTACCAATATTCTGAAATTTTTGAGTGGTTTTCAAAATAATTTAATTCAATATCAATAATAATCAGAAGTAATGATTTTACATGATAGACACCACATTTATTAGATAAGCTTCCATAACTATGTGCCAATCTTTACCTTGTGAGAGTTTTCATAAACACTAACATTTCTCATGAGCAGTAAAATCATCAAAATTTCAGAATTCAAAAATAAGAGACTCAAGTGAATTATTGAAATTTTTATTTGAATCCTTAACATTATTACTTCAAAATTTCAGGAACATACACTTGATTTATTTTATGTTCATATTTAAGAGAATATTCATTCATATTTTATGTAAATTAAATGATCAACATAACTTGATTTATTTAATTATCCAATATGCATTTATCATCATAATATTATTATTTAATTAATGTTGTACAAATAATGGCATTACTAACCATAATGGATAACTTTCACCTTCACCATTTTAGCTGAGTAATGTTCTAATAGTTGACCATTTGAAGGATCAAGGCATGTTCATCATGAAGTGTTGTGACAATTGTTACAACTAAAAAAATACACATCTTTAACTTCCTTTGAGGTTTAGTTTTAAAGTTTAGTTGGATCTTCAACTAACATGTTGTCTTTTAAACATTTAAATAAAAATTTAATAATTAAAACCAACATTTTTTACTAATCAAATACATCCATTTTTATCACAATTTTTTTATATTTGGATGGGGTTTTTATAATAAATAATGATTGTGACATAGGATAATTTTCACTAAATAAGAAAGACCCCAACAGTTGTAATCCATGAGTCCTAAATGACTCAAACAGACAAGGTGTAGCTCAAATATTTTACCCTGAAAACAAATTTTATTTTAGGCACCGTACTTTCTTCCAACTTTTAAGACTACTCTTCTTTGGCATTTATTGTTGCTTTATCTTACTTTTCAATGATCCGCAACAAAATTTTGGCCCATTTGAGGATCCATAAATTGTAGAATGGTGACATTTTTTCAATCATAGAAATTTTACTTTCAAGGTATTTCATCATATTCCTAGTGAATTCAATGATTCCAAGAAAAAAATCATCAAAGCTTGAAGGTAAGATTTTTAATTTAATTACCATTGATACATCATATTCATTAGAAAATCATATGACTCAAAATTAATTAGACATGGATTAAGAAAAGTCATCACAATGATGCCATTTTTGTGCAATCCAAAATAAGATTATTCTAACAAAAGCACAAATAGTGCCAATGTTGAACCCTTTGAACATAGTATTAATATATTCTAGATCACTACATGCTATGTCTAATCATTTTTTATTAAACATAAAAAAAATATATAAATTATAAATTAGATTCTAGTAGAATTATATAAGTTGTTTAGTGGAATTAGGTCGTTTCCACACGGATGGTCAACCAATGTAGATGATTAATTGTTCTATTTCTTATTGATCTCAAAAATGTGTGAAAACTAATGGGGTTTCCTCCAAGGACAATAGTTGTACAATCAAAATGCAGTCCACATTTTAATAGAAACCTTTGATCACCCTTGTGGTGGGCCTCCTATTGGGCTGGGTATAAGCAACACAATATCAGTCCATCTGCCCAAGACATAAACCTTTTGAATCACAAACAAAAATATTGTTTATAAAATCAAATGTGAGGACTTTCATTTATAAAATTCACAAAAAAGATCAATTACATGATCAGATCAATGCTAACTCATGTTTTGTATTGTAAAGTCATTCTAACTCATCTTAATTCATTTGTGTGTCAATTTAACATGTATTAATACAACACAAGTAACAAAAGGATTCATGGGCAATTTAACTCATTTATGTTTATATCAGTTTATGATTTCTTGTATGAAGATACAATGTTAACACTACACTATAGGTTTTAAGTCTAAAACCTCTCTGAATGCATACCTATTTCATCATCCATAAAGATTCACAAGACTTGGTTCCATCGATAATATCATGATTATATTCTTGAACCTGTTCTTAGCATTCATGATGGTGCTTTAAGTCACAACCAAGGTCTCAACACAAACTTATTTTCATCTAGATATTTAAAGCAGCAGTAATAGTGAATGAATATCTCCATGATAAAGACTTACTCTCCATTGATAAGAACCCACGATTTAAGAAACATAAGAACGATTTTATTAATTATGAGTTAAGGAATGAAGAAGGGCAAAAAAGAATTATAACACAACAATCAAAATCCAAACATCTTAAGGATTTGAAAAATAATAGTTCAAAATTACTTTTAGTTATTCTTTGTTGATTGCTCATGCATGCAATATATCTCATCCCTTATATCTCATTATTACAATCGGACAATCTGAATAATGAATCTGATGAGGTCACACATTAATGTGAAATATGATCATATCAATCATTCAAATAATAATCAACTATACAACTAAATAGCAGGCAAATTACTCCAAGGATCAAGGTGCACAAAGTAGTTGCTTTCCTTTACTCATAAGTTCAAATTTGTGTTAATGTTTCTAAATATGATCTCCAAATAAGCTTTTATGGTCAACCTAGTATATAAGTTAAGTTTGTTTAACTCCATTGTCTCAATATAATTAATCCTTCAAAATTTTCTATGCTTCTAAAGAACTTGTGGCATTAGAAATTCGTGGAAAATAAATTTTTGAAACTAATTGTTGTAAGACTAACAAGGCCTTATCATCCTTTTTATAAATTCTTTATTATCCTATTTAGAACTCTCTCTTTCCGTATAACAATTCTCAACTAAACCTCATAATTCTTATGAAATAAAAAATATTTTCATCTTAATACTCCAAATATGATATTTCTCTCCATTGAAAAATGGCACAAGAGGTTGTGAGAGGTTGAGGGGGTCATCATTTGCTGTTATCACGATCATTAGCATTGTCTATTCACAAAAAGTTCACACAACCCCTTCATGTTCCTTGCTATGGCAAAAAATCTTCATAAATGTCCAAAAACTTCCCCAGTCTCATTTTTTATTTTTAATCTCCTTGATTTTGATGCTGTCTCCACACCAAGAAAACACCCAACACACGAACCATGCACTCTGATAACACTTTGTAGGAAAATAAGAATTAAAAATATGGAGAGAATCTATGAATTTCGCACACAAAGACCCTTGATTTCGAAATGTCACAGAGTATATTAAAAGAGGAGAGACAAAGGGTATTTAAAGGTTACAGAAATCCCGTATGTAGACTGACTGCCAGCATTATAGCGCATTAAAAAAAATATATATATATTCCACCAGTTTTGCATTAAATTCGAACATAAATATCTACCAGAGATGCCATCGTCGTCAGGCCGACTACAGCGCTCGCTGGTCGTAATAGATTGACGTCAGTGGATCTTCTTGCATAAGCATTTATCGTCCCAGTACAAGGTGCCTAATGCGGTATATCTGCCGAACAGTCAACGCCTGTCGGCGACTCAAACACATCAGAGAAAGGGCAGCAAAGAACGAGAGATCGAATCACTCCAATGGAGATTGATTATCCTTCTTTATCTCTCGGAGTTGACATTTCTTCCTTGTATTTTAGATGGTAACTAATCGGGAAATACAACTGAGAGTTGACCCGGCCGGGTCGTGATGCCATTGCTGTGATCTGACAGTGGCCCTTGATCGTAGGTAGGTAGGACAGTCTAACGTAAACGGCCGGGTCGTGAGGCCGTTGCTGTTTGGGACGGAATGAACAGGTTTTTTGTCTCTGGTCAATCAATCAACCAACCACTTGACAAACGCTGGAAGCCGCTGCTGAACCTTGTCGTTCCTCGGAAGGCTTGGAGAGCATATGAGACAGTAGCACTTATTCTCTCCAGTCCTTTTGGACAAGATCGAAACTCACAGAGATAGAGAGAGAAAGCGGGAGAGAGAGAGGAAAATAGCCCACTTAACCGATGAATATCATGGATCTACAAGCACATATGATTACAAGAATTTAATGAATGCCCCAGTAATGCGCTCAAACAGTCAGAAAATGTCAGCAAATGGCTGCTGCAGCCAGGCAGAGATCGCCCAGAAGAACAGCTAATATAACAGAAAGCGGTGGGGAAGGGACGATCATCAACAACAAAAAATCATAGCGCAGAGAAAAAGGGGAGAAGAGGAGAGGAGAGATCCCCACTTTTCTTCACCTGGCCCATGAGACGGAGTCAATCTCGTCCCTCGCGTTCTTGTAGAGCTCCAGCCGCTTGGCGCACTGCAGGCGGCGCTCCATGAGGGCTGGGTCCTCATCCAGCATCTGGGAGAGCTGTTTTCCCTGAGAGGAGGAGAGAGAAGAAATGGCGATCACTAGAACAGCGAAGATGATCGAGACATCCGAGGACGGGGGGTCAGAAGGGTTGACTCGAGAGCGTTGACAATGGAGGGATGAGTCACCGCACCGGTTGACCTCGGGATGAAGGATCATTAGGTACAAATTTCTCCTTGAGGCTTGCTTGACTGGCATTTGAGGTTACTGTTCTAAGAATTGACCCGCGACCAAGCCATGGATGCAGCAAGTTCTGATTCTCTGGTGTTTGACTTTCCAAAACTGATCGACCACCGACCTTTGACTTTTTATGGGGTTTGACCGTCCACATCAGATCGACCTTTTGAGTCTTACTGGTCTAATGTCCTACATGGGACGAACAGGGCAAGAGCACACCGACCATAAAAGCCATAGATGGACGGAGCAGGTTTCGCCTGTTGGTGTTTGACTGTCAAACCAGATAGACCTCAGGATGTTGACCTAGAAAGCCATTGGGGTTCACTGGTCTAACACTTGACGACAGAGGCCATTACTAGCCGTTTTTCCTGTAAGGGTTTGACTATCCAACCAAGACCGACCCAAGGATTTTGACCACAAGAGCCCCGTGCCTTTCAGAGGAATAAAACATAAATGGTAAATAAATACAACAGGGACGACGGAATCGTACCTCTTTCTTCCCAATTCGCGTGTAGAAGTGATCCAGCAGAGATCGCTTGGCCTCCCTGACCTGGCAGTGGACGGCGGCCTTTGGAATGGTGTTCCTCAGGGTATCAGAGACCATCCCAATGTACGAGGACACGTTTGACCCAATCCTCCTGAAATGGCCCTCAGCATAGCGGTCAACGGCGGGGCCTGCGGGATTCCCCCCCTTCTCCACCTCCTGTGGAAGCTTACGGAAGAAGTCAACCGTCACGTACGAGGATTCCATCTCCACCAGCCGCAGGGTAGTCTTCCGCCCGTCGTCTCGAAACCTCTCGAGAGCCTCATAGCAGGCGGCTGCGAGCTCAGACTGGAGCGTAGGGAACCGCTTCAGCTCCTGCTTTCCACAGATTAAAATTCGTTAAGAATAGGCGCCATCAAAGTTTTTCTTTCCCTATTGAGAAAAATATTCATCAGCGTACCTGCGTCTCTGCTATGGACTTCCTCACCAGCTCCTTCAAAACGAAGTGCACCTGCAATATCCGCCCCCGCCACCATATTATATTGTATTATTTTATATTATTTCCCAATTCAGTAATATAAAAATAAATGATAAAAATGGAGCAGGAAACAGCATACCGCGTCAACTGTTGCCTCAGCTGGGCCTTTGAAATAATTCAAGGCCCCATCAATTAACCGCCTATAACCCTGCTCGGGGGCGATCAGGTGAGGCTGGTAACCATCAGCTTCTGAGACAACTTTCTTGACATTCTGAAGAGAGAGATAACGGTCAAAGGGGAGCTTTTTCAGAGCTGCCGGAAGCTGATTGTCAAAGACTCCGTAAATTCGATCACCGCCAGCCCGCCTGCAAGTGAACGTGCAGAGGACTGAGCATTTTGTTGATAATTCAAATAAGACACTTGAAGTATAATATTAAATCTCACTGAAAAAAAACCAACTGGATGGATAGAAGCACGTTTCTAGTAAAGATGAGGATACTTTCTTTAGTCTTAAGACTGACATTCGGTATTCAATAATCTTTGATGATCAGGTTCTAATCTCGGAAATGCTATAAAAGAAAAGTCTGCTCATTTTTTCATGGATTTGTCGTATTTATATCATTAACTTTTCGAGGAAAATTTATCGAACTAAAGATTACAAAAAAAATAATTATTTCTACACTACTGTTGGCATATTATCAAATCTCAGATTCTGCATTTTCCTGGACCATGATATTACTGCATTTAGTAAGATTGACATCGGTTATGCACAGGTAAGAGGGAGACTCAATCAAGGAATCAATATTAAACATTACATATAAACTGCAATTAATATCAAAAAAAATAAATGCTTGCATATTTGATGTCATAAAGAAGGCAATTCTCGTCCAGGAATAAATAGAGTCGGAAATATAAATTGAGTCATTTACCCTCCATCAAGATGTTCTTTAAATATACGATCAAATGCACGACAGACCTCTAATATAGAGTATAATTGAGCCTGAAAGGGTACAAAATGAACCATGTTCAGACAGGTAACAAAAATTGGTTAAACTAAAAAACAAAATACAAGGATAACTGCCTCACCCCAGAATCAAGAGCAATAGGTCTACCAAGATGATCCATCTCTGCCTCAAGCTCATCAATAGTTTTGTTAATCAACGAGAGTATACTTGGTATGCGTGACCGGATCACACTTTCTAGATGCTGAAAAATAAGGCAATTAGTACATTCTCTTGGTCTAATTTAAGCACTGACCAATGCAAGTTGATGAAATCATTCACCTTGGAGAGAAGTTTGGCAAGATATTCAGAACCCATTTTACTAGACAAGTGCCCATAATCAGGACTGCTAGAAAAATAATCTCGTTCTCTTTGTCTTGCAGCCATCATATCAGTACTTTTATTGATATCTGCTTGTGAACGATTAACAACCCCAACCCAGGGATGTTGCAGTCTATAAGACTTTCCCTCAAGAACCTGAATAAAGAAAACGATACAGATGTATCAGCTACCTTTAGAGGAAACAGCAGCCTGGAAAGTATCCAGGCTTAAATGATACAACTGATCTTCATGCTCTCTCGTTTCTATCTTTTCCGTTTTCTTGGTTGTGGGGGAGGGGCACACAATTAAAGAGTGTTAAGAAGGTCCAGAACTTACATCAAGTGCATTTGTTCCCTTGTCCATCAAATCAAGCTTTGTCAACACCCCAAAAGTTCTCTCGCCTGTAACATTTTTCAAATGAAGAACATCTTAGCACCATTAATGTGCACATACTTATAACACAGTATAAGTGGGAAATACCTGTGGGATCAACCTCTCTACCAAGTTTAATTGCATCAGAGGTTGCTATATCCTGATTAGCCGGAGAAATTGCCAAAATGATGCAATTTGGCTGAAGCAGGAAAAAATTTATGAAAGAAAAATTAGTTAGACACAGAAAACATGATTTTTGAAGCCATGTTAAGGGCAATCAAAAGAAACAAATTGAATCCATCCATTGGGGATGGGAGAAAATGAAGACAGAAAACTATATAAATATGTAACAATACATTGGGTCAGTCAAGTTTGTTGACACTTAATATTTAGATGCTTTTTGTTTAACTGTCGAGTGTGTCCTTATCACCTATTTCTAAGAATGACTAGGACGTGACATGAGGTTTCTTTTGACAGCTGAGAATCATTGACTGAAACTAACATGAGAAATTATGTAACTATGTATATCCTGTGAGTATTCATATATTCCTTGAACAAGTTTAGCATGGAGAATTTATCTTCCACGCTTAATTCCGAATATTTATCTTCCATGCATTCTTTGACCACATGAAAAGCCATCTTTACCTACGGAAATGTAGAAGGAATTACCATTACTTTTTAAAACATGAAGTCTGTCAGTCTGCATGACAGAGTTCTAGCCTTTTATAAACAAATTAGTCTTAAGACTAACTGAGATAATGATCAGATTGCCACTAAATCAGCAAGGCTCCTTTACCATGCTATCCTTCACAAGCCCTTGAAGATATTGTGCGTCATAGTAGAGAACTTGATCTGGAGTAAGCACTTAAAACTCTCTTCTTATTGGTTAAGTTCTGCTTTTAAATGCATTGATGATGCCACGTGATGTTTGGGCATCTATCTTCGTAGTTATGCGGCCCTAACATTTATCCGAAACAGCCGTTTGTTACAGTTCCAATGAAACTACTAACCCACGATCAAATATGTGTTCTGCTAAAACTGATAAAATATTCATGTAGCCCGATTTCATCAGTCAACCTTGAATTCATCATATGTCACACACATTGCTCAATACGTGAACCTTGGTAAAAATAACGTGAGCCAGCCCACGATAAATAGGCAATATATCTAAGCCAAACAGCTCATGACCATTAATTTGCATCATGCTAAATTTTTATCTTAACTTCATTTTCATTTGGTGAACCATTTTTGTCCCTAAAGCACAAGCATTTTAAACACCAAAAGTTTATTTGGAATGGCACCCACAGAGTTTAGGATATAACCGAAGATTATCGCGAAAGCACAATAGCACTAAGTTTGTCATTACAGATGACAAATAAAAGAAAAGGAGAAAAATCAGGGATTAATGGGATAGGACCATTATTTTCATGGCAGCGAAAAAGAGGACAGCTAATACATACCTTCTCAACATATGACCGCACCATGTTCTCAATATCCTGAACAATAGTTTCTGGCTGTCCCTCTGAAAAAGATAGCATTTTTCATTATCTAAAATCAAAGAAAATGTGTTATATGGTACTTCGTACAAATTGTCATGTGCATACGTACCTACAGCAACTTTCGTCAGACCAGGTAAATCAACCAAAGTTAGGTTAACAACTGCAGGAAAATACAACAGATGTTAGGTACCTTGCTAATAACATATAGGACGTAAAATGGGAAAGTAGACAAAAAATTGCTCCCTCAGAAGGTAATTGCAAAATGTAAAATAAATTAATGCATTTAGAAGAAACAACAGGACAAGCATAATCAACAAAATATATGGTAATAGAAGTATTACAACATTCAAGACACATGAAACGATAACTCCCAAAATTCATCATCAATGCATCAGACCTAGAAATGCTAAATATGATGACAGCATTGCTTCAATACTGATAAGATAAAGAAATGTATTCACACGAAAGCATAACTCTCCCAAATTTTAATTTTCTAAGATAAGTTGTGATACCCTGTTTTATTCAGGAAAGACTTAATAAAAATTAAAAAAAAATACACCAGCTTTTATGTTGGGGTGAGCTTTACATGGATAAAACTAACAAAGGAAGGTAGAAACAGAGTTAGGAGGCAAAACAAGAAGGATTTGACACACAAGTATATCAGAGTACTTTCATGAAGATTTTTTGCATGTAACGTAACCAAGTGAAAGGGTTGTACTATTATCACTATTTTTTCATCTAACTCGCATTAGTACAATAAATACATTGAAATTTCAAATAAGCACAAGAACCACATAGTCTATATCATCATTGACCTGCTAAACTAATCCAATAAATTTTGAAAGCCAACCCAATTTGGAAAAAAAAGGTTATCAACCAACAGACTCAGAAAGTATAAACCACAACACTTTCATGAAGACAACAGAAAATTTCTCCCTATCCTTACAAAGGGAATTGCTTGTGTAATAATTATGTCAGCTAATTATAATAACAATTATATTAAATCTGATTACAATTATCCTCTCATAAATAAGTGTGCTTCATTTGTTAAACTCATAAATGTTTATCATTTTTTAGTACCATTTGACTAGATTAGCTTTGGCAAATATCGTATATCTACTGGGAGACAATGTCTGCCGGATTCAACTCAAGATCCAACACACCAAATCTAAAAACCAAGTGAGACTCCTGAATAAACCTATTCGTCCTTGACCCAACCTGTTTTCCATTCACACAATGTAGGAAGTCGTCATCTTAACCTGAAACATGAAGCACAGACGTTTTTAAAGGCAAATTTTCTCATAAGATCAGCTGATTTTATTCTAACTTTTAAAACAAATTAAGGCTGAGAGAGTGATGTTAGGTATATGACACGTTGTAATTTCTCCAATGGTGTAACTCTTGTCACCTAGATAATTTCTAAAACTTTCAAGAATGGAAAATGATTTTAATTTTCGTTGTCTCATCTTCATGACCCACTTCTTTGGAAATTAGATTTTTCTGAAACACAACCGAAATTGACACCAAAGGATCAAAAGTGAATAGTACGGGGAAATACCACATTTTCTGACAAAGATTCATCCAATAAGAGAAAGTGACCCTTAATTTCATTGGTCATCTTGGAAAAAGCGCTAAAAAATCAGTAGGAGGTAAAGAATCGTGAAGATAAGAGGATATAGCAAAATTTAACCCTTTGGAGAGTAAATGCTGAGGTGAATCGGGACAGGAGAGATCTGCTTCGATTTTCCTGTTATCCTATCAGTTTCATCTTGAATTTCCTTCCGCACAGCAGCTGTAAGAGAAAAAGAAAAACATTAAATTACTCAGGAGATAAAAAACTGTATACATAAATTAGATATCAACAATTTTAGGAGAAATAACTAATTTCCACATGCAATATCTGGATAGAAGGGAGCAGACTAGTAACCATAGAAAATATTTCCTGGCAACGGCCTGACAAAGTGTATGAACAAGTCTAGTCAACCGATGAGATCATAGGACTAATATCCAGAACTAGCACAAAAAGGACACTGTTCGGTTCTTGCACAAGATTCGGCAGGTGAGATCTTCGCATGAGAAAGATGTGACTGACCCCCCATTAACTTAGAAAACGTATCAGAAAATTGAAAAGGGATGCTACTCGTTTCAGACCTTGATCCCCTCTTCCTAATTCGGTAAAAACTCATCGAAATTGGCGACTTAGGTTGACATGAGCGCGTCATTAAAAATAACTAATCTTCTCAGATATTAAAACGACCAAAAAACTCTCAGCCAAGCCAACAATCCCCTTAACTATGAGGTGTTTCTTATCAATATCCACCTAAGCTGGACTAGCATCTTGAAATCGATTGAAACTTACAAACCATGGCCTGAGATAACCTAACCAGACTTAACATTACGCAATTAAATCGATGTTCAAGTTTGATTCGGAGCTGATGTCTCTACCTCAGCTTTTTCGAAAGACCAATGACAGGATTATTACCACCTTTCCGATCGATTAACATACATCAGTATATTAGGAGGAAGAAGTTGTAGTTGCAAAAAATAACAGTTTTGACGTTTTGAAAACACAGATTCTAAAGATCCGTTGACTTACACTCCTATATACTCATAAAGTTCCTAGTTGGGTGAAAACAGCTATGTCTATTAACAGAAGTACCCAACATAAATCGAATCTATCAAATTAATAAATAATGCATGACTACTGCATATTTCCTAAAGAAATTAAAAAAAAATCGAAGTGCAAGAGTCTATTATTAGCGTACCGAAATCCGTGAATCTCCTCTTCGGCAAATGAAGGAACTCGGCATACTCAACCTGCCCTTCATCAGTCTTGTGCAACTGCAGGACTAACGGACGCCTGGTCACAATTCCTGTCTTGAAGAAATATAAAGGAGTGAGAAAGACATCGATCCAGATCAAGAAACATAAGGATTGGCAAATAGGCACTCATCGACCTGATCCCCGAGGAAGAAAATCTCGCCCGACTATGCTCTCCAGCACCGAGGACTTCCCAGAGCTCTGCACACAGAAGATCAGAAAAAAAAAATGAATCCAGATCCCAAATCGAAGGCCAGAAAGTCCAGATCCGGCTATTTTCTGTGTGCAGAAAGTTGGAAGGGAACCGACCTGCCCCCCGACGACGGCCACGGACGGAAGAGCTTCCCAGAGAGTGGGAAGGGCGTCTCCCTCGCCACCACCATGGTCCCCGAGGACTGTGCAGGCGCGCTGAATCCTATTCACCAGTCCAATCAAGCTCTCCATGCTCGTCGCCTCCGCTCCTCTCCGGCCTGGTGGACCCCGATCCCCAGCAGCAGGGCTCAGGAGCTCGGAGCCCGGCGGACGGAGGAGAGCTTCCCGACGAAGAGCAGCGGCGGACGGTTGCGCCGACCGGAGAGAAGAAGAAGAAGAAGAAAGAACCGGAGCCGCGTGGTCAAACAGGCCGTTGCCAGAAGCTTCGTTACAGAGGCTTTCTCATTTCTGGTGGGCGGTATTTTTCAACAACATAAAATAAATATTATTTACAATGAAACCATTTTTCCGAAAAGAAAAGTATTCGAAAGTCGGCGGCGGCTGTCGGCTCCGTCATGACGCCAGCTGTCGGGCGCCCACGCGACGTGCCTGATAAGTGGGCGGCCACCGGCGCATTTCAAATTCAAAACCGTAAACGGTAATTTTCTCTGCCACGCGCTTTTGAAAAAGCCTCAATAATAAATCCATAAATAATTGTTAACCTTATTTTATATTTAAAATAAATGATTTTATTTACATGCTAAACCTGTCAAGAAAAATAAGCTAAAAACCGAAATAATTGAATAATTCCCATTATATTATATTAATACAAAGTTCAATGAATTTCTTTTAAAATATTTAAAGTAATTTCCATTATAAATTCCGTTTTAAAATATTTAAAATTACTTTCGGGCCTGGGCCTTAATTTAATCTGGGGGACAGAAATGGGGCCGGCCCAGAAGCTGCTGCTACTTCGGTCAACATCGCCCATTATGACTCTCTCTTTCTCTCTCTCTCTCTCTCTCTCTCTCTCTCTCTCTCTCTCTCTAAAATCAAGCTTATTATTAATATGTACACAAGCAGTTCATTAGAAATAAGTTCCTAGAGAGAGGTTTTACACAGCCACTGGGCAACTACGACAGTCATTTCATTCCCATTTTGAGGGCTTTCTCACTCTAAAATCAAGCTTATTATTAGACTATGCACACATCAGTTCATTACAAGTACAATTTATGAGGCAAACACAACACCAGGTTCCTAGAGAGAGGTTTTACATAGCCACCGGGCAGCTACCACATTCATTCTGTCGATAAATGAAATAATATCAGCGCGCACCCATTATGAGGCCTTTCTCTCTCTAGAATCAAGCTTATTATTAGACTATGCACACATCAGTTCATTACAAGTACATTCATGACACAAACACAATAACACCAGGTTCCTAGAGAGAGGTTTTACATGGCCACTGGCAACTACGACATTCTATCAATAAATGAAACAATTTCAGCAACAAATGTGTACCGCAGTAAGCGACGGGCAGATGACTTCTCCCACCAGAGGGGCTGGCGGCCAGTGACCTCATGGAAACTGCAGCGATGGCAGACCCGCTGGGCGCTCAACAGCTGCAGCCGCCGGACGGGGTCTGCGACTGGGAGCCGCCTGCAGCAGAGGACTTCAGGTTGACATCAACCATGTCCTCCTGCTTCGCCGAGGAGATCGTCTCCATGCCTGGCAATGCGGCGGCGATCTTGCGGAAGAGAGCCTGCAGGAAGGCAGAGACAGCAGGTTCATCCGAGAATCACAAAGAGATTAACGATCCAAAGGGAAGAACAGAGGAGGAAGATCAGATTAGAATCGTCACCTTAATATTGAAACCAGCTTTTGCACTGGTCTCGATGAACATGACGCCAACCTCCCGAGCCTTCGTCTCTCCTTCTTCAATGGAGACCTGCCTGTGGCATTAAAGAGTAAAGGGTATGATGGCGATGATCCAACTGCAGATTCTCGGGAACTGGCCGTCATCGGATATGAATAATCAAATTGAGTGATGTTTAATCCTGGATTGATGTTCTTCGTCATTCTTCCATGTACGCAATGCATGCGGTGTAATGAGTGAACAACAATATATGCAGAGGATCAACCTGCACATCTCCGAGGGAGATGGAGATTTAAGTGCAACCAAACCCAGATTTTTGAAGAACTGGACAGCATTGATCAAACAGAATAGAATGGTCAACGATTAATCCCCACTTAATGTTCTTGATCATTCTGACATCTATGCGGTGCATGTGGTGTAATGAGTGAACAACAATATATGCAAAGGATCAACCTGCACATCTCCGAGGGAGATGGAGATTTAAGAGCGACCAAACCCAGATTTTGATGAACTGGACAGCATTGATCAAACAGAATGGAATGGTCAACGATTAATCCCCACTTAATGTTCTTGATCATTCTGATATTCATGCTGTATAAGCAAGAACTTGGTACTCTGGACCATGATAAAGAAATATTAAGAAAAATACTAAAAGACTCCAACATTCAAATGGGATGATTAAATTATGTGGTCAAATATATGAATTTATTATAACAAATGCCAATTAGTCTTAAGCGTCAGAGTTTCAGATTTTGTCCGAGTTTGGAAACCTCATGCTTCATCGTTCACGAGCCAGATCAATCAAATCTTGAGTTTAACATATACGGATCTACTAGATTCTATTATTTTCTCTTTTTTCTATTTTCAGCCGAATTTTCATTAAAAAAATATATAATTTCTTCACATTATTGTGAACTGAAATAGTCCCGGATTGAATGGGACTGCTAGATCTTGTAGCTGAAGTTAAAATACACAGACCAATATTTACTCTGCTCTAGCAATAGTTTGGGAGGGGGCTGAATAAGCTCAAAACGTAATGTTGAATCAGATTGGTCAAAGGAAACCTTCAAAGAACACCCTGCTCTAACATCTGTAACAACTTCTTCATTTTGAAAATGTTATTTATTTTAGGAATTTAGTATACCAATCAAGATGCAATGTGAATTTCTTATAAAGATTTGAACTCTATCCTTTGATACCAGCAAAGGTAGAATCTCCATCATCACAGCAACCATTAATGTATATTTTTTTTAAAATCATAACACCATGACTTTGCAGTTGACCATGAAAATTCTTTACAGTATAAGTGGAATTTTCGAAAAAAATAGTGTATATTAATACTTAGGAAAGAGGTATAACCAGTCTCTTAGTGGAAAAATAATTCTTTTAGTGGTATCGAGTTTAAAGAGCTGATTTCGATTGATGGAAGATAACCGGTTCATATTTCTTCTAAAAGGCCAGCTCAACTCAAATGAAAACCTAGGATCAATGGCTTCTGGCCCTCTTTAAAACCGTTACTATTAATGCGCAGGTCATCAAGACTGGTTTCAGATAATGTCTGTGCACTTCAAATAGTGTCATGGCGACTGTTTGATCCCAATCAATCACTCGACCAACAAAGTCGAGCAACAAAGTCGACCCTTTTCACAATAAATCATAATCAATCGAAACCAGCTTCACAATTTTAATAGCTTCACAGTAAATCATATTCAAGCAATAAACACAATTTTAATAGGAAACTGTGATATGACGAAGAAAGCACATTTCACGACCGATCCCCAAAGAAAATCCCAATCAATCACTCGACCGAACATTCAAATTTACTTATTTGAGGGGATGGCTTTGCACCTGGCAGATCCAGAGATTATAAATCAGCCTACCATACACCCTCAACAAGTAGCACAGGGTATGCAATAAATCGTTGTCTCCATGAGCATTGGGGTTCACTTTTTCAAGATTAATCATACTAGAACCCAAACCACATGCATTGATTATCCGAAATTGTGCTTCTGTATGCACAAGTTGAAGTTTTATACAATTCAGGCAAACATTTTCAGATATTTCATGAGATAAGGCTCTGAAGAATACCAAGAACAGTAACTAAAAAAAAAAATTAGCTCAGAAAATGAACTGTAGGATGCATAGATCACCAAACAAAGAAAATTTTCATTACAAGTATAATCAAGAAAAAAGTTTACAGGTTACCTTTTCTCCACAAGGTCCGTTTTGTTGCCAACCAGGACAATGATAACATCACTGCCCCTCTCAGTTCGGACCTCCTCGACCCACTTTGAAGTGTTCAAAAAAGACTGTCGACCTATATTAAGAAGATGCCATTACTAGCAAGATGGAAGGGAACAAAATAAAGCAAAGAATTGAAGTTATACAATTGTTGGCGCGCTTCAGAAAAACCAAAAAGAAAAAAAGAATCCTTCTCGTGGGCATGTACTTAATGATAATGATTAGTTTCATGAAGATAGTATGATTATGCCTGAAACCTTCCACACGGATACTTGATAACCCGAATCTTTCGGTCTTCCCTCAATTGAAAGAACAGACCGAAAGCTAAAGCCACTAAAATGTATTTGCTAATATCCAGGATCATTTAGAACTGAAATGAGACAGCTTGTGTGTTCTTAAAGCATGGTCTTAGACCGGTGATTACTTGCAACGTCATATACAATGACAGCAACAGAGGAGTCCCTAATGTAGCTCGGAATGAGACTCCTGAACCTCTCCTGTCCAGCTGTATCCCTGTAACAAAAAAAGGAATCAAAGAACGAGATATTTTTAAATATTTACGACGGGAATAATTCGTAATTGGAACGTCATTCTGAATAACGATAATGAACCGATAAATCGAACTATTTTTCTATCAGGACATTAAATACTACGACAAATATAGGACATTTCTTCAAGTTTTTATATCGGTGCTGCACCTGATCCACAGGAGAACCTTCTAGTTACAGGCAAAAACGGTGATTGCAAGGACTTGTTATGATAAAGTTTTACACCGCTGCTTTTATAATATTTTACACTTTTTGTCTTTGTACCCTGACAAAGGCCCTGCATAGCGTTTGTATGATGTTGACATTGGATTTCAGGCTTCTACTAATCATGGTCTTCAAGGGACTTGATTGGGGTTGTGTAGTTGGCATACTATCGTTGCATACAACTGAGCATCACCAAGGCACCAAGGTAAGCACCTTAGTGGGATGCACACTGATGCCCCGGGATGGCTGGAATAAACCACAAGCATTTTTTCTACACTCAAAAGCACATGGTAAATAAATATACTTTCAATATGCTCTTGAATAATCCCATTCCATAACATCGCTATGGACCACAGAAAGATGTTGTGCTCAAAGCCATGCTAAGGCTGTGCTCACATTATACGTAAGGAAAATCATATTCTAGGCAGCCAACAGGACCAGATGTACGACATGAACGCCAAGAATTGTGAAAGAAAAAACATACCAGAGCTGTAACCTCACTGTTCTATCTTCAAGATACATTGTCTTTGATAGAAAATCAATGCCAATAGTAGCCTGGACAAGAAGACAATAATGAGTATGACGAACGAAAGGAGAAGAAACTTGTCACTAGAGAAAAGGGAAGTACAAATGATACGGCCACATGATGAGCTTGTATATTGGTTTCCAGCTAACTAAATAACGGAAATGAGCAAAGTTTCAGTACTAAAGCAACCTGAGATCTTCAGACTAGTGACAACAAGACGAATGATCAGAGGGTTATACAAATTAACAGGTGAGAAGATCAATCAAAGCCCTTACATTAGGAGAAGACATGAGAAATCAATTAATAAACCTCAAGTCAAGTGACTTGATCAATGAAAGGCTTTGATTATTTATTTAGGGCCCTCATTCAGGTATCTCAATTGTAATGTGATGATGTTTTGTGATCACTGTTACTATGTTGCGTTAAAGCATTGACAAGGGCATGCTTCTCCACTCTGACAAGACTAGGAGACAGAAATACTCCAGAGTTGGGCATTGTCTCCATCCCCTTGAGGGGACAAACAGCTAAAACGGAGGACAAAAGCTCGATACATACAGAGAAAGAAATTAGCACGGGCAGAAGTGCAATGAAGAGCTAAAATTGCCAGACAAAAGAGTACAAGCTTCAAAAATGAACAAATGAGAAGGAAGCATGCTGAAACCGAAATGTTAAATAAACAGATGGATCTGATGGGAAAGTATGATATAAAAACTGCTTTAGGAATAAATCCCGAAGTGCGTCTGAATACTAAGTACCTTGGAGGGAAATAACCACGAGTCGCCCAGGTGTATTAAAGAGACCTCTGCCGAGGAAGTAGTGAAACAAAAAAGCGAAAACAGACAAAAGCGTCATCAAAGACAGATGGATCACAGAATATTTCATTCAGTTCATCATTTTTTTTGCTAGAGAAAAATAAGATCGTCGTAAGGCTCGCAATGACAGAGAAATAAAACAAACATAAACCAGTGAGATCACGACAGAAACAAAACACAGACAAGCCACGGGGTTCACGGACCAATAACCAAAGTGAGATCTCAACGGCCCAGAGGATTTGAGGAAAACCAAACAGTGGCACCTCTCCGGCCACCGGAAGCCGATGCCAAGGATCAAGCCGCTACCTGATACGTGTTGTCGAACTTGTCGTACATGAATCTGGTGATGATGCTGGTCTTTCCCACGGACTGATCCCCCAGGAAGACCAGCTTGTACTTGGCAAGGGCGGACACCGGGGCCATTGGCGTCTGAGGAGATCACCACGGATCTGGAACAACGCTCGCAAATTCCCCTCCCCACGGAAAACACAGAGATCAGGAATAAGAAGAAGAAGAAGAAGAAGAAGAAGAAGAGGAAGCAGAAGAAGCTTTTATAGCATGACTGGTTGTCTTCGAGGAAGGAGACTTCCTCTTCACCTCCGGTTCTCCGGAGGCCCCGTTCGGCGCCGGCAGCGGCGGGGCAGCGTTCCGGTGTCCCGCGGGAGATCCTAATCCTTACGCTGCAACTCCAATAAAGAGGCGCTCTCGCTATACACGAGGCCCAAATGAACCCAATAAGTAAAGCGTTCCAGTGTCTCTGCAGAGACAATTTAAGGGTAAAGGCGCACCATAGGATTTGGGATAATCTCCATGACGATGTGCAGGTTGGGAGAAAGCCCTAGAAGGGCTAAAATGCAAATATTATCTTGATTGGACCAAGTTGTCATGGCCAGCGTTCACATTACTTGAAGACAACCGAATGGTCAACATGAACTTAGCAAGTAATCAAGTGTCATTCTCGACCAATTCTAGATTTGCTTGAGACCCTAAATATTTAATTTGATTATAAAATTATGAACTACAGGAATGAAATTATTGTTGTACCCACCCAATAGATGATCCATCATGAGGGATTTACCTTATCATATCATCTGAATCTGAAAAACTTGATGAACAACAAGACCAATTGTAGCCTCAAGAGGGAGAGGGAGAGAGAGAGAGAGAGAGAGAGAATGGTGCATAATCTCCTTTCTATGAATATCTTGTTTCATGGAAGATGACTTGCTTAACCCCCTAAAAAATCATATAAATTTCACCTTTCCTACTTATATCATTCCATTTGGAATGAGCACCTTGTGTACTTGTGAAAACAAGAACACAAGATCATCAACTTAGGCTCAAGAGATAGATAGAGTGGGTGAGTGAGTGAGTGAGTGAGTGAGTGAGAGAGAGAGAGAGAGAGAGAATGATATATAATCCCTTTTTGTGAATATCTTATTTCATGGAGGAAGATTAGCTTTTTTCTATCTATTTAACCCCTTAAAAAATCATGTCATTCCATTTGGGTAAATGAGCACCTTGTGCACTTTGTGGAAACTGTTCTTGTTATTTTTCTTATAGATGAAGACCATGCATCCCCTTATCAGTCCACTTACTACTAATAGTTCCTAAGAAATTGTAAATATTTTACAAATGTCAAGGGAAAATGACTCCATTTGTCCTTCTCCATCTATTCTATATCTTTAAAAATTGAGAAATAATACTTTTCCCCCCTTTCTTTCAAGATGCTAAACTAGGTCATATAGCATTTCACTCATTAATGACAAGGTTTCAAATAATTTAATTATTTGAAACTATCATACACTTAGATAATTGATTCATTATCTACATGGAAGTATTATGGAGGCTCATTTTTTATAGTTTATTTTAATGGTCATATTTCTTAGAATAATAAGGTAACTTATGACAAGTTCACATCTATGCTCATATCTTGTAGCTCTAAAGGGAAATGAGGGTGTTCTCTATGCAATGAGCCTCGTGAGAGTGATTCCTAAACAAAACAAAGATAGCATGATCTAATGAAAAAACCGTGATTTTCTAGCATATTAGTTACTAGAAGCTTTAAAAACATAATGCTTCGTATAAACAAGCTCTTTCCCTTATTGGTAACAATAATATATTGAAATAAGAATGGTCTAATGAAATTGTGAATTTTTTTTGTTCCTCTTGTTGTGAATAATAAAATTCTTAAATTTTAATGATCATTTTTTATTATGAAATGCTTTATTGTCTCTCTTGTTAGTTTTTTTTAAATGTTTTACTGTTTTGTATAATAAGCTTGTTTCTCTTGTTGCCAATAATAACAACTAGAAACAATAAATTTTGAATAATATTTTATAATGGTTTCAACTTCGGACTTTTAATTTTTTTGAAAAGAAGAAAATTTCTTCAATATATCTATTCACAAAGAATTACATTTTTATCGCTCAACATGGAACTAAAATTCTGAGGAATTATTGATCATAATTTTCAATCATAGTGTCATGAAATTGTGAAATATTTTACTATTTTGTACAATAATAACAACTAGAAGCAAAAAAAATTGAATCATACTTTATAATGGTTACAAGTTCAGCCTTTAAAAAGAAAAAGATAAATTCTTTTATACATATTTATAAAGAGTATTATTTATTGCTCAACATGAAACTAAAATTATGAGGAATTTCTAATCATAACTTTCAATTATGGTGTAATGAAATGGTGAAACATTTTACTATTTTGCATAATAAGCTCGTTTCTCTTATTGCCAATAAATAATAAAAACTTTTTTTTGATAAAAATATTATCTAAGGATGGAAAAAAGTCATTTCTTATTAATTATTCATGAAGATATCATTAATGAAGGCTCTTGTTGTGGATATTTGCATATGAAGTTTAGTGGTATGTTTTCACAAATAAAATCATTTTCTAAGGATGAATCTACAAAATTGCGCTACCATGAACAAATCGTCTAGACTTGGGAGGTATGCCCTCCAATTCACCAAGAGGAATCACTATCATATATCCTCAGTTCACAAAAAAGAAAAATCAAGGCTTCATACTCCTCATACTTCATTTCCTAAGTTAGTACTTGACAAAAATTTAAATGTGATATTTTAGGGAGAGGAAAAGCTGACTCTTTGGTTTATATTCTTAAAATTATCGTCTTAAATTGTGAATAAACCCCTAGAACACAAGATAAACCATACTTATGTATTAGATCTCATATTTCATTTCTTACATATATGCCACTGTTTCCATTTGCATTTTTTTTGAGGAAAAAAAACACCTAAAATATCTCTATTAATTTTATTTCTTCTGAAAATAACACCTAAAATTGTAGTAAAAACCCTGTGATATATGAGAGAAATTATATTGAATCCCTAAACGCGTTTATCCTCAACCTATTTCCCATCAGAGGAACTTAGATCTCATATTTCATCTCCCATGCCTGTGCATGTCTAGTAAATGAAGAGGGAACCTTACACACCATCATCACCTAGGGGCGGTTCGTACTTAGGCTGATAATTATGTACTTTCTACACAAAAAACCAGAGTCTTTTCTGGAAAGAAGAGCAGAGATTGAAGAGATGGAAAGCCAACCTCTGATGAATCTCAGAGCTTTCTCCAGAGGGCGCTTCACCTTCTACCTTCGTTGACTTCCTGCAGAGATTCGGGATGTTATGATCATTGCAGGAGTTTGACTTCTCGGAGACTAAGACGGTATGTTCTACTTGAAAGACACAAGACTTGGTCACGGGATTCTAACTTTCAGCATATTATTTTCCCAAACTGTGAAAAATCATGATGTTTCTATAGAACAAGATCATTTCTGTTCTTGGCCACAATAATATCAGGAAAGGAGATGAATCTATTGATTCTTTACATCAGTCTTAATTAACATTGTTTAGAAAAGTAGTATCGGTTTTGCCAAAAACTGTGTTGACTTATCAAGAGATAGGAGAGGGAAAGTTTTCTATAAATACCTGGCAAATCGTGGGGCTGCCAAGTCCCAGCTTCAGCTGTTGAACCCAATTAAGATGGAACTGAAGGCTGTTGGAATGGTTGCAAGCTGCCCAGTACATCAGCCCCACCATTTATGCCAAGATAAGAAGGTAGGTAGGTAGGTAACTTGTCTCAGGCTTCCCCTCTCTGGAGTTCACTCGCTTCTCTGATGACCCTGCAAGAGGATTTGACCGTCAGAGGTTTGTTCTAGAAACTCACAGCGGGTGTCTGAAATCCATCAGGTTTACCTTCGCAAGTGGGTCAGTTCAGGCTCTTGGAGGAGCAGCTCCTGCAGTGGTCTTGGACTCAATTCCCTATTATCACCGGCAGTACCAAAAACGGGATCAAATTACGAAAAAAACCTTGTTGGTAGACTGAGATTTGTTGGTAAACAACTAAAAGTTGTTCATGGTGCTCCTTCTATTACGGGCAATGTTTTAGATACTAAAGAAAGACCAAGCTGGCGAGCCAAAAGGAAATAACAGGGATAGACTTCCCATGAGAACTGGTTGGCATCTAAGATTAAAGCATTATTCAGACAAGAGGAGATGAATGGTTAGAAAGGCATCGGTATAAATGAATGATTGCAGCTTAAAATAGCAAGGCTCAGAATATATAAATTTCATCCGGTGTGACAAGGAGAAGAGAACTAGCGAGCAGATCTACCATCAATAGCAAAGGTTTGGCTTAAGAAGAGCATGATCTGGAAAGTTCATTACCAAAGGAGGGATCAGATTTCCAGAAGGAAATTGATATTTGAGAAATGCTCATAAAAAACTGGAAATTTTCCATAAAATGTAATGCTTTGGATATTCAGGAAAATCCTAAATTGGGATACAAGAAGGTATTCTTATCCCCATTTTTGGTGGGAAAATATAATTTGGAACATTAATCAGGCCAGCATAGCTTTGCCACCTGTATAAATCAACAAGAAAGCGCCCCTTACTGAAATTGTGCACAATACATATCTTCATGGCCAAGAAAACATAATTAACGACTTAGTATTCATGAAACATAATGGATGAAGCATTTTCCTACCATACAAAAACAATGGCTGTTGCCATGATTTTCTTGTGTATTTATACTAAAACAATGGATGATACTAAAACATAGAGGCTGTTGCCATGATTTTCTTGTGTATTAATATAATGACGGCATTAATCAGACAAGGTGAAGCCAATTTTCCATTTTTACAGATCAATAAGGCAGGAGCACTTAAGAAAACAATGGCATACGGTATCAAATTCCATCAGCGAAGGGGAGGGGAGAGAGTAAACATACCTATCATCAACAGCAAGAAGTCTATTATGAAGAGCATAGTCAGCACCAACATATGTAACAACCAGCGAGCCAGCATCTGGATGAGGCCAGCTCCGAGAAGTAGGAAACCTAAGGACAAAGGTTCCCGGCTCCAAGTGTCCCCCAGGGCCCCTAAGTGAAGCCTCAGCTTCCTCTTTTGTGACGATTCCTTCTATCCACATGGGTGACATGGATTCCCACAGTGCGTTTATATGGTCCTTGGACAATGTAAAGGCTACTGGGAATAGCCAATGCCATAGCCTGTCAAAGTCCTCTCGGGCCAAGTCCTCGCCACATGCAGTGATTCTTCTGAGGACCTCTAAATCCTAAGGAAAAAGGGATATTGCATGTGAAAAAGAAAGAATTTAAAGTCAATACAACCCTTTTGAATAGAGATCGATATATGGGGCAGCACCTTTCTCGAGAGTCCCCTACTGATAGAACAAGATATCTTCCGAAATTTCCTATCAATTTCAGGAATTAGATCCGACCAGAGCACACGATTGTCATTACGTGAGACAGATCTCCAAGAATCATTGCCCTCATTGATCAATTGTTTGGCAATCAATATTTGATACCTGAAGGTAATCATATAAGCAGTTAAGGAAAGATTTCGTCGATTCAAATGTAATGTTCTGAAACAGGTTTCAAGATGAGAAATTATAAATACCGGTGATGTCGGCATCCAGCATACAAGGAAATCTGCTCAGCAAAGCTCATAATATCTTCATCACAGGCGAATGATATAACATCCCTGAGTATAAAGGATCTCTCCTCTGTTCCTTCCAGGCAATATTTGAAAACAGTAGCATCTGAGATCGATTTCCTTCCATCATCCAGCTTTCTGAAAACGGAGTTCCTAGCATCAGTACTCTCGGAGTCAGATAGCACAGTATCTGACCCAACATGGTGTTCAAATTTTGCATCCATATACGTTCCGTCGACATTTCCACCCTACATTTAAAAAAAAAACAGAGGAAACATAATGTCAATGGTATAAAAAGTAAACTTAGGCTTCAAAGAGCACGTCTTAGCGAAGTCCTACATTACTGGTCAAATTATGCGAATTAAGTCGATGTCCCTGAAAGCTCTCGTTAGCTTCAACTCTCACATGTGAATCGTCATAACCATATTCGATATGTTTTGATGAAGGGCAACTGCTCTTAGAGTCGCTCTCATTTGATAACTGCATGACGCTACAGTTGTCGTGGATCTCATGAGACCTTTCCTCAGCCCCCATTGAATGACTTCGTTTTCTCCCCAGGACAAAGGAACCCCTATTATGGCGACTCCTTGATATACAACGGATTGGAGGAGAATGGGCTTCTAAAAACGGGTATCTTTGAGCACCTGGCGCATAAAAATGGATGCGAAATAGCCTGTTTTCACACTTCGAAGAAAGCTGAGGCAGAAAGAAGAAGAACATGTCAGTGTCAGTTATTTAACAGAGAAATTGCAAAAATACTATTTATGAATTATTATAATATTTGTGGTGGTGGACCTGGATTATCATAATTGGAAATTTGAATCACGTCATCCATAATAACAGAGCCTCTGTTCAAATTATTAAAGATACCTGAGATATTTTGAGCTTAATAGATGCGCGACCATCAATAAGTTTAACTGTTCTTTCTGTTGAAGGGAATTCAAGCCCGTCACAGTGAATCAGAAGGGGAGCCTCTGCATTGTCATGAGGTTTCTTGACGGCTGTTCCATTGTCAGCATAAACAAGTGAAGCAATGAGCTGAAAAATGAACCGACAACAGCCATAAGAGACAAATTCTTCACATAATTTCAGTGAAAGTAGAATAGAAAATGGCAAGGATCTCAAACCTCAAATTCCCTGTGCACAGTAAAACCAAAGGCATCTAATAGAGCAACATCCAGGGAAAACTTCCGCCGACATGAAGCCTGGCATTGGGTCAAAATGTCAGAAGAACATGAAGCAGATTCCAAAAGTGGATTCTGAAGTCATGATCTTAAAAGTTTGTTGATAAAATAGGCAAATCTCATTTATTTATTTGAGATTTGGAGGAATATAGGTGAACATTTAATTAGAATTCATAGTTCCCAAAAACAACATAGAAGAAAGGTTTCTACTTCAAAGACATCTGCACAAATAAGGAACAATGATATCCAAGTACACTGATACAAGAATATAGGAAATTGGAAAATCACTATAGGATGTGAACAGCTTTAACACCATGATACTAATAGGATATGAAAGTTGGGTCAGAAATTGGCCAACCAAATAAACAAAACTGTAGAAGACTGAAACAAAATGCAATATTAAAAATAGCTCTATAGAGAAAAGTTCTTCAGAAACCTCATTTTTTTTCCTATCAAAATGGCAAGATATTTCATGGCTGTTAATTTGGATTCCCTCTATGGTCAGTTAACTGTTCAGACATCTGATTGCATAGCAATCGAATCATTTCTGAATGAAAGAATAGTCATTAGTTAATCATAGCAGACTCAGATACAGGCAAGATGTCCAATTGGTTAGTTGTTTTAATGATGAACCAAAAAATAAAAATTGTAGGTGTAAGCTTTATGTAGAAATTTTAAGGGAAGAATTAAAATTTTCATGCATAATTATCCCTGAAATTTACAAAAATCAGAACAAAAGCACTAATAACCATGAGAGGAGAGACAATCAACACTCGTCTCAACTTACTAGTACTGCAATACCATTCAAGAATTAAAGTCTCTCACCTTGCCACCAACAATATTCCAGACACCATTGCATTCCTCCTCCACTCCATCAGAGATATGTGAGCAATCAAGAGCTAATCGTATTGGAAGATTCTGAAATAAAGAATATTCTTCTGAATGAGAAAAAAAGAGCATTTTGGCAGAAACATGAGGAATTCATCATCAATTTCTTTGCAGTAAATAATGAAAAGTGCTTCATATTCATGAATACCTTGGTGGAGAGATCATTTATGATCCGGTATGATGATAGAGGAAAAATTTGAAGATCGTGAATGTAACCCTCCAAACATTTGTCACATCCATCATTTCCTGCTAAACTTATTCCCTCTAAAATGTCCTGATCTGGATTCTTAGAGAAGGAAGATAAAGACTTCTCTGCTACCGCTGCCCCGTCAATGTGAAGACGCACGTATTTTGTAGATACCTAACAGCACTAGCCACTTTCAAAAAGAAGAATAAAAAAAGGCAGTAACAGCAATAAATCAAATATCAATCTACAACTGCTGCTGTAAAGCAACAAATGACTAGGTGATGGTCCTATTTGCAGTGAACAGAATCTATGCATCAGAAAAGTCCTGAAGATAGTCTCTCTGATACCATACACGTGTTTTCATTATCCCCAGAGAAACATAAGCCAGAGATGCTATTCAATAAAAATGGTATCAGTGCTTGAAAATATGACACAAAATTAACCTGAAAATCCTAAATATCAATCAGGATTACATGGGCATGCCTAGATGACCACTGTGTCCGTAGCTGTATCCCACATGATAAGACTAAAGGTCTTGCATGCAAAACGTAGGAGATTCTCCAAAGAAAAGACATAAAACTTCCTCCCAGATGACAAGATGGGCAGTATAAAGGCAAACAGAAAATAAGAAAAGAAAGAAATGGATAAATGTGTGTCCATATGTGCGTGCGTGTATCTACAGTTATTTGTGTATACATATAAATATATTCAGAGAGAGGAGAGATAAATGGAGGATGACAACCAGTTGCTTACTTGTTATTGTTTTAAGTGCTTGCTGCAAGCAAACCAAGGCCTAGTTTTCAAAGTGACAATGATGTAAGCATAATAATGATTTTGATGTGACCAGATTGACAAGTTTGATGTGCTAATGATAACTTATCAAACTTGTAGGTGCAATCAAGTGGAATGTTTTCAATTACCCTCGTCACTACAGTATTTGGGGAAGGAAAGGGAGGATTAAAAAAGAACCTACCCTGTGAGAAATCAGTATACCATCCTTCATCAGTATCTTGCAGAATTACAGTTCAAAGGATCTAAAAGTAAGCAAGAGAATGTTGGCCAGGAAATTAAACGAGGGAAAATTTATTAATACCGATTCATTCCAATTGTCCATTTGAAGATGAAAAAAATAAAATATTTATTTTGAAATTATTAATTAAATCTCATTGACAAGTAATTAGAGCGTAAAATAAGCCAAAGAAACTCATTATTTATATCCCTTAAACATATGTTATGCATCGTATTCTTCGCTCATTGTAGCATGAATAGATGTTGAATTTATTTACTTTCTTCATATTCCCATTTGCTTGTTCATCATTTACCTGATAATATTTACTATTTTCTTTCCTAGATCAATAGACATACTCCTTCATGAAGAGTCGAGGGTTTTACATGAGCACCAAAAGAGTACTGGTTGATAATTATGTTATTTCTTTTTTTTTTGAAAGTGGGAAAATCGTTAACTGGTTATTGATCACATACTTTTAGCAAATAAAAAAGAATAGTTAAAAACACGTGCATCTCATGTTATGAAGGTCGGAAAAATGGATGAAAATCAATAAATTCTTCATTCGCATATTGGCAACATTGGTTGTACGTTATATCTCATCACTCAACATGTGTCACAGTTGTTTACTTCAGTTTTCCATACTAGAAGATAATTCATAGATTTGTTAAGATATACTGCCATGGTTAAGTAGAAGTGCAGAGGCAAACATTTAGGAGAAATTTTAGAAAGGAACTTGACAACTACAAAAACTTCTAGGCTACAAGCAGAATGGTCCTTCGAGTGCATATAGGACAAAGCAAGAACTCTTTTAGTCAACTCAACTTATCACATTATGGAAAATGAAAGTTTTGTTAAGGATCCCAGAGCCAATCATGCACCAGGTATACAGGTATACACTTGAAGGAAGCACATGGCTGAACCAATTTTGCTGTGACCAGGAGAATGACATCATATTGATTTGGTGAATAATGTAATAGGAACCGTTTTTCTGCTGATTTTCGTAGGTCACTAAATTCTACTTTATGTTTGACTATTCTCGCTATTTCTAGAAGTATTTGAGGTCTATTTGCAACCCTAGGTTATCCCAACCTTTTTCCTACTTCTTAGGAGGATTTAACACCGAACTTAAGATCCTAGTTTATTGCAACTGATTTCTCCATTTTGTGGGAGTATTTCAGGCCAAAATTTGGACCCATTAATAATGAGAGCTGTGGAATTTCTATGCCAGATCTATGAGCACCCCTGCAAAGGACTCATATTTCTCTTATAACTAGGAGGTCGAACTTGATGTCAAGACATTATCTTTTCAAGGACAATTTCTGCTCTTAGTTCTCTCTCCAAGATGGCCGTGAAGGTCCTTCGCTGGTGTGAAATCAAGGCCCCAAAGCATGAAGCTGAGGGTTATTTTGTCCTTGCTTGACCCTTGGCATCCCTTAGACTGTGTGGAATCTCTAAAATATCAAGAAGGGTTTAGTAGGAGGGCTACTTGTTCTAAGATCGTTGGGTACAAATCTCTGCACATGGTTTCAAGTTATCATTTTTTTTAAGTCTACTCTGAACCTCTCCTCTGACTTACTATCCGAGATCTATTATTGCTGGTTGTACTTGTCTTTAAGTTCCCACTAGCCTTACCTCAATTTTAGCCCACTCATAATGCATCATAATTAACCACCTTAGTCAAAGGAACTTTCCATATTTCCTATGATCTAAATCTTATTTTGGAAGCAAGCCCTTGCAAGTGACCCCAACTACAAATATATCTGTACTGCGACTACTCAAAGATGATGCTTCTTTGGACAGTCAATCATCATTTAAATTGATTTTGTTGATTTCTCTCAAAGTCAAATACATCGTGTCCCGCATCAAAGATATTAGACACCAGGTTGCATGTCAAGTTCGGAAACCCCCATTCCCATTATAGATGAAGATTTTACCTTGAAGGATGTCCACGTGAGACATCCTACATGCACTAGTCTAACAACTTTTATGGGGAAGCAGTCAAATCTTTTGCATCTATGTGAGAGATAGAATCTACACAGAATTCGTTCATTCTCCTAGGAGATTTGACAGATGATATACAGTAAAATTGATATCACATATCAGTATTGAATCAAATTGACGAGCTTTGGCAAAGTTGGAACCAAACACTAGACATGTAAGCCAATCGTCAGATTTCTTTGCTTATCCTTCATTCAACTATTTGTTCTATTTGTATGGAGAGAAGAAAGTGTACTTTTAAAAGAAATATCTCCCCAATGGTTGATAGTTTTAGTTGGCAGTGTAACAAGTTGCTCAAAGAGTGAGTGAGAGTAGTGTAAATGACAAAGAGTTGTATCTACTATTTGGAGGACGCTGAGCTTCTAGTGTGACATCTATCATTTCTACGTGAACTCAGCAGATATATATGTGAGAGCTTACAGATCACATGTTTAAATAAATTCACCCTTTTATCACTTATTATTACCCACTCCCAAAAAATTTATAAGAAGAGTATTCATGTCTTTTTACTACCCCTATCTTCCATTGGAACCTTGCTAAAGCGAAACTGAGGGATTGAGGCTTTAACCGACTATGGTAATTTGAGAATTTTTCTACCTCTAAAAGTGGATGGAAAAACAGATGTTCCAGCAAAAAAAAAAGTATGACAGAAAGAATCCCATCATACAAGACATGACATTATGACAGTGGCAAGAAGATGAGCATGTCAGACCCTATTCAGCAAGGTGCCAAAATTTAGCACAGGGGGATTGGGGTTCGGACATGAAAAGCTTGATATTTTAATCTGGACTGGACTTAATGCAAAAATCAATTCCACAATGAATTGGACGAAAGAAAATATTACTATATGTTGCAAGTGGAGCGACCATGTTTTGCATTTTTGCTTCTGTTAGAACACATTGAATCAAAAAAAAAAAAACGACGGTTTGCATTTTAGTGTGTGTTGGATACGAACTTCAACTTATGAGCATGATCAATTTTGAAATGGGTTTGAACTAGCTTAGCTTCAGACACAGTTGCAAACCATTGCGGGGCAATTTTCTGATCAAGATTGGACAGTGACTCAACACAACGCTGGATTCATTGATGTGGAGTTGGTATGAAATAAAATATGAAGTCAATCTAAAAAGAAACGTGTCTCGTAGACAGGGTTATGTTAAATTTAGTGGATCGTTTGCATGACATTTTAACTTCCAATGAACTGATTATATCTAGCCTCTTTTTGACTGATTTAAAGGGGACAACAAAAATGCCTTCGTTCACCATACTAGACTGGTGACAGGTGACAGGTGACAGGTGATGGCACACATGCACATACATATCTTCGTATTGCCATTGTCATGACCAATAGATCCATCAAATTCAGCGTAATACTTAAGCAAGATATACCAAGTAAAAATAAATACATTAAATTACTTATGCCCAACATAACCGTTATCTAGGCTTTTCTGCAATAAAAATCTCCCCAATTTCATAAACCTACACCTTTGCCACATAAGGCTTTACCAATGGAGGGGACCGTATTTAGTGTTCAAACAGTTCAAGCAATTGCCCTCAACAGATATGATCATAGCTCTGAATAGTCTGTCTCGATTGATACAAAAATAATCTGACACAGCATCCAGATAGTTCTAAAGTCATGATGATAAATACACAGAAGTCATCCACATACCTCACACCCAACATGAATCCATTTATCACTTAGACATCCAATTTTAGCAACTGCGCTTGAAATGTTATCATAGGACACTGAAATGCCACTGGGAGCTTCATCGTGCAAAACAAACAATGGAAAAAGTATAATTTTTTCTTCCTCGTTCAAACTCAAGAAGGGGACTTCATTGCTGGTCTCTGAGTGCATCTGCATGTATAATAAAAATTAGAAATATCATACCTCAAACAAGCCAGCAGAATGAATAGAAAATGCACCATTAGACCCAATGGTTAATTCAGAATAAATGTGAAAAAGAGCGAGTTAAAAAAGAATCGTAGTGACTAATACGGAACTAAATCTTCAATTATACAGATGGACCTCTACATCAACTGTCAATTGATTTTGAGTTAGATGGCCCATTGACTTTGCATGGTATTGAGTCAATGGTATTCTGAGCTGCATGCACACCATTTATGTCCATGTAACCAAAATCCACACGGACAAAAAGAACATTGTTACAATAACCCCGCACTCATTTGCAAAAGTATTGTTGTGACGAAAAAGATGCCCACACGAACTTATTCATAATAGTTTCGAGTTAAAAGGCCCATAAACGTTAACAAACAAGATTAACAAATTTATTCTTACTTAATACAAACTAAAAAAGTGAAAGATTGTTTTATAGTAAGTCAATATTTAAAAATTAAATACCTTCAACTATCTTATTGTTCTCGACCAAAACTACTAACCAACAGACATCTGTCACTAAGGGAAGAAAAAAATTCCCAGGCATAAATAATGAGTTATATAAACTTCTCTCTATTATCAGTGGTTGAAGAAACATAAACAATGGCAAGAAAAGCCTTCTATTATTGCTTCGTAATGAAATGACTCTTGGATCTTATACAAATGTTCGATCCAAATTTTCACAATGAAGAGAAAAGTAAACCACTTGTATAAGTGTCACTATGAACCATCTAGTAGTGAACAACCTTACTTGATGCTGAGTATAAAAATATATTAAGCATAATCAGGATTTCTTTTTAGAGATAAGTAACTTTGTACTGAATAATGGATTAAGTAAAAATTAATGAGGGAGTTAAGTAATAAGTAAAAAATCCTTTGTTTTATTTGATTTGAGCTAATGGATGGAAAAATTTGAAGTCCCAAAAGAATATAGTGGGAATTGTGTCCATTCTAGTGGTGATCAAGCTTTTCTCGTGCTCATCTTTCTACTCCTGCTTTCCCCTCCCCTTCCCCCTGAACTCTCTACTTTTTATGCACCAAGTTCAACCTAATTGGACTTGAGAAAGTTTTCTTAACCCTCGCTTGGAACTAATGTACGAGCTTATTCCTGGCTTCATACTATGCCTACGCTTCCAGAAACCCAGTTATCACCCAGCCTGTTGACAACGTGAAAATCCCATTAAGATCATGTTTTTCAAGCTAACATCCCATACAGTCAATATTTATTGGATCCCTGTAGACTTGAGAAGGTCAATCAAGATCCATTATTTACCAAAATGTTGATCTACAACAAGTTTTCACTCTTCCCATTTACTTGGAAATCTGCATTCAGTAAAGGCAATATTTGAGATTCCCATTTGAGATAAATCATCCAATATTTGAGCGACATGACCCTCTGATTTTAAGCTGTAGGTTCCAAATTCTGCAAGAAGGCACCAATCCAGATGAATTCCAACTAAGAAGTAGTGGCGATCAAAAGACACTTTTGGCAATGCGGCTTCCTATGTGACTTATTCAACATTTATTCTAAAAATATATTTATATGATAAAAAAATTGGAAAAAATAACTCTTCCGTCAAAAAAAAGAATGAGGAAAAAAGTAGGCAACACACAAATGAAGTGGTAGTCAGATGATAACTATGTTTAGATTCCAGACTAGTGATCCATCCTAAAGGGAGAGAGAGAGAGAGAGAGAGAGATAAATTCATTTCTGGGTGTTTAATAATTTATCTTGCAGATTTTTACCTTACTATTCCGAAGAGCTTTGGGAAAAAATGATAAAAGAGATAATACGCGCTGCTCGATTGTCACAAAGGAAAAGCGCGTCAAAAATTGGCTTTCAATCATCTATGGCACAACAGTGCGCTCTATTATATCACATTACTCCAAACAAGGGGATTCAAAATTACTTTAAGAAGAAAGAAAGAAAGAAGCACCGTTCCGATCATAGGAGACAGACACTTCCCTGCCCCGTCATGAGCGAAGGGATCAGAGAGAGAGAGAGATAGAAAGACCTGCCGGAGAACCACAGTAGAGGGACTGATCGGGCTCTTGAGGTACATCCAGAAACAGAGGCAGAAGCCGGCGCCGCCGCCGTCTCCCCCTCCGTTAACTACGCGCCTGTCAAGGCTTATTCTCAGGTCCTTCAGCTCGGAGTAGTCCCCGTCCAGCGGCTCCCCTCCCTCCTCCCCCATCCCCTCCCCTCCAGCTACTCCCCTACCAGAACCGAGAGAGAGAGAGAGCGAGAGCGAGAGCGAGAGAGAGACAGAGAGAGAGAGAGAGAGAGAGAGAGAGAGAGAGAGGAGAGAGAAAAGAGAGAGACGGGTGCAGGGTGGTTCAGAACTTCGAGTTCGGCGGCGGATTATTAACGGTCTCCGTTGTCCCCATCAATCATCCTGACCGTCCGTAGCTGGTCCATTGATCCTCCACAATGGGTCCACCGATCCTCCGGTCATCGTCCCATGGGTTTAGCAGAGCAGCAAGTTGGACTAAAAATGGCGGGTCGGCGGGCTGGCGGGCTGGCGGGCTGGCGGGCTGCCATAGGGAAGGCCCGAGTTCAACGGTTCAGCCCGTGGGCTCATCTGGGCCGGTCAAACAGATTTTCAACAAATAAAACAACCAAGGGACCCACGTGTCAGATAACCAACGGCCCCGATCAGAGCTGGCCTGAAACTTCCTCGGCCCCAACTCGGCCCGGCCCTGAAGAAAAAGCCCAGATGATGGGCTTTAGAGTGTGTCCCACTGTGCTGGGCCCCCACGAGGGCTAATACTCTCTCTCTCTCGCGCGCGCGCGCGCGCTCCCTCACATAAATACCTGAAGCTTGGGCCTTTTCTTAAGACTGAGTCAATATGTGGGTCCCTGGCCCAGAGAAAAGAGTACGGGCATACAGTTTCAGAATAAAAATTATGATAAAATACTATAATATGACGTCATAATTATGATATATTATATTTATAATATTTTTTACCAATTTTAAATAAAATAAAATAAAATTTCAAACCAATGGCTGTATTACTAATCTCAACATTTTCGCTAGCCCCAAACCTTGCAAAGCCCCGTCGGTGGCGTCCAATAGAATCCCGGGCGGATTCAGGGTCGGGTCCACGGTCGGGTCCAGGGTCGGGTCCGGGATAGGGTCCGGGTCGGATATCGACTCGCGACTCGCCGGACGGCGTACGTTAGCAAGGACGGAGGAAACGGCCTTCTTCCTGGCCGTTCCCGTCCCCCACCTTCCCCCCGCTTCTTCAAGCTCTCCCGCGCACGGCAGGCGCAGAGAACTCCCCCACCTCCGCCGCCGCCGCCGTCAATTGCCGGCGGAGGGGGATCTTTGGATCTGACTTGCAGCGTCTGTTGCTTCGGGGAGGAGCAGTTGCAGCTCGCCGCCTCGGACCTTTCGTGGAAACTCCGCTTGCCCTATGTAAGTTTTTTCAACTCCGCGTTGTTCCCGGCTCGCCTGAATCTGATCCGATCCATGATTCCGCGGAGATCTGTCTCCTGATATCTCTCCGTGCTCTGGTTGTTTTCAGTGGACAGTTGGATTCCATTCGGAGTCGGAAGGGAGCCTCGTACTGTCTGTTTCATGTCGGTTTTCCTGCTCCCTTCAAGTCTCCGATTCAATTCCACTCCTCCTTTCATGAATGTTGTTTTTACTGGTGGATCTTATTTTTCTTGCTTGATGATGATCGGGGAAGTCCACTCTATAATGCTATCAGCGCCTGAATATTAGGTGGCCGTTTGCCTGGATCACGAAACCCTGCCCGTTGACGCCCTTTTCGTATAAATTTTCTTTTTCACCGATCGTAGATCTCAATTAGAAAATTTAAATCAATATTGATTTGATCCGTCGGCGAGACTTGATCAATTTCGCGGAGTCGTTATGTAACTGTTTTCTATGTTTTGCTCATAGCATGGAATGTATCGGTGATCCACGCATTGTCAATGAAGGGGGCCCGGCCCTTGGCCATTTTGATCTAGATTTCTGCGAGAAAAATGTGTCAAGCTGTTGTATCCTGGCATTCGTATATAAGTATTTTTCATATTGTTGGTCTCCCACGGTTCCAAGTCTTCTTTGCTAATAGTTGGCTTCTATACTGACAGCTGAACTGGCACGATGGTCTCCTTTGAGATGAATGACCGGAAAAGTAAGTGTTCTTGCTTATTACTATTTGATAAATAATGGCGACGCTTTTCCACATGACCTTCTATTTATCAAATGGTTACTATAAACTGATTGTTGGACTCGAAAAGAATGATTTATCAGGAATTATCTATATTCTGTGTAACTTTAGAATGTTCAAGTTATTTAAATAGCAACGTTCTTGGAAAGTCAGTCTCAAATTTTGTGGCTTTAGAAGAGGAGACTGTTTGTTAAAGGCAATGTGGAGCTGAATAGTGAGGACCCGTTTACTGATTTCGTGCCCTATGGGGTTCAAAAGTCCTCGAGGTTATCCTTGATATCCCCACTCCAGTAAATAAAGTCAAGATCATTGAAAACTTATGATGAAAGAAATGTGTGTTGAGCTGGTTTCTGAAGTGATGGGCGGGTTGGTAGAAGGAGGAGGGAGGATGGGGAATAAAGAAAATCGGACCAATCTTGGAGTTCAGAATTCAATTCAGAAATTTCATAACCATGTAGATCATATCGGTCGGATACATTTGTTATTTTTTGGGAGGACTAAAGGTTTTGGGGTTATAGGAGATTTTTTGTTTGCTATCACAGTCAGAGTAACCTTAAAAGATAGAAAAGGAGGAGACTAAGAAGAGATGGGGGAGATGAGCGTGGGGTTCCCATCACCAATCCCAACTTTCATGGAAGAGAGAAGAACGCTAGCAAAAAACTTTGAAAAAGAAGAATTAGGGAAAATGAATAATATAGCCTGGACATTACCACTGTTTCTCGTCATTCTTTTGGATCCTACTTCTCCTTTTTTCCGCCCCTTTTCCACTTTGTTGGCCATCAGCCGTAGCCCATCTCTGTTTGTGGTTAATTGGGGAAATGTATCTGTAGGGCTGGAAAAGTGGGGAAAGGGGGGAAGTTGTGTGACGTTTGGGTGTGAACATCTGTTGTTATGCTTGAGTTAATATGTTGGGGATTACAAGATAAAATGCATGCGTGGAGACATTCAAAATATAAAATCATTGAGATACCAAAGACATGTTGCATAGGGTGAAGCAAGTGACAGCTCGAGTTATGTTAAGGCTTTCCATAAATGGATTTATCTAAATTACTGTCATTTTATGCTAGAATTATAGGGAAACTCAGAATGATAGTTTTCCGAATTAATGTCCGACCAACATGAATCAGTGGTCATAAAATTGGTTGACAGCTTTTGGTTTCCCTAGATTCCCATAAAGATATTGGAGTGAAGACTCCCTGAAAATTAGAACAAAAGTAGGGAAATGAGTCAAAGAGGTGACCTTCTGCAGGTGAGACTATCACTATCCCTGATGTCCAACTGGAGTCCCTTTATCCCCTCTCTCTCTCTGTCTCTCTGCATGCCACTTGGCTTTGGCTTTCCCCTTCCTTACTCTCTGCCCTCCCCTTTTCTTCTCATTTTCTCTCAAGGGATATATATATATATATATATATATATATATATATATATATATATATATATCATGGGCCAGCTTTCTGTCTACTGCAGCTGCTTCAGAAGCTACTAAAAAACACAGAAAGACCCCTCCTGAATACACACGCTGTACACGGAAGAAGCTAACCTAGTAAAAAATTTGACGTTTTCACAAAATTTTGAAGTGTTCAATTTAGGTAAAAATTGATCGTTTTATTTTACAATAAAATTTAGTTGTGGGGATTTTTCAGAACTGCTAAGCGGATCAAGATTGTTGGTAATTGGCCTCCTAATTTTTTTTTCTCATACATAAATACTGGGCACTTAGATTATGGCATTTTTACGAGTTCATATAGAGATTTGAGCGGGAACTTTTTGAAAGGGTGGAGGAGGTTACAGAAGATTCAATTTCTTTGATTTTTGCATATTATTCTCATTCATCATTTATAGTATGGAAGACAGCTGAGAAAAAGGCTGAACATTACTTAAGGAAGGTTTCCTTGTCTAGGAAACAAGGAACAAAGAAAAACCAGATACGTGGGGTGAGGAGAGCTAATTTTCAGGAAAAATCTGAACGTTGACCTCGTTTTGATTGCAAATGGCTTTTGATGTTTTGGCTTGAACTTTGACCGGTGGAAAGCAGAGAATGAAATGTCGTTTCATCTACCAACAGGACTCTCTATAATGTGTTGGCTAGACACCTCTGGAGTCAGGTCAACAAGCTTACTCAAACAAATACTGCTCGTAAGTCAGAGATGCCAAGAACAGATGCTTCTGTATTCCTTCTTGTGTTAGGAGTATTCCTTGTAACCATCAAAGGATTCTAGGGATAAGAATTCACTTTTTGCAAAAGCATATTGATAGCCGCTGCATGTACCAAGCCCTGAATGCGGCTTCATGAACACCGAACCAAGCAATGTTGGCAACAGTGGTTCACAAGCACGCCCTTATGCCCAGGATGACTGTCAAAAAGGGAGAATGAGCATGAAAAAATAGCCAATTGCTTCATTTATTGGTTCTCAAATCATGTTGTCGACAAGCCCTATGTTTTTGAATGAGAATTATTGATTTATTTCCCAAACTAGAAGGCCCATGTCAATTGGGCATTGCCTAGGGCTAAACATGCAGATTCTTCAGAGAGCAACGAATGACACCCATACAAGACCCCCCCACTCCAGATCCCACAGTAGTATGTGATATGATCAGACTGGCTTTGGAACCCAAGTATACTTGTAACTTTTTCTTATGGTAACTGACTGTTTTGATATATCCAGAGATTGGCCTGGGGTTGACTGGCTTTGGAACGCTCTTCTCAATTCTGGGAATCATCTTCTTCTTTGACAAAGGTCTCCTCGCCATGGGAAACGTAAGTGAAGCTTTTATGAACTGGAAAGATGGGAGATCCCTGTTTCTGGTAAATGCCTTGCTTCCTAAAGCTGTTTGACTTTCTGATCCTTGTCAGATCCTCTTTGTGTCGGGGGTGATGTTGACCATCGGATTGAAGTCAACCATACAGTTCTTCACCAAACGCAAGAACTACAAGGTTGAACTGTGTTTCCACGGACAGAATCCCCTCCTGTCCCTTTTCTACGGGCCGCCTTATGATTCACTCTTGGGTCATTTTTTTTGTTAATCTTATCAGGGTACGATCTCATTTGGCATTGGCTTCTTTCTAGTCCTCATCGGATGGCCTGTTTTTGGAATGATCTTGGAGTCGTACGGCTTCATCGTTCTCTTTAGGTATGTCGGCTTCTTCTTTCTTCCCTCTCATCAAGCTTCCTAATTAATTCTTCTAATGTTTTTTCACACACAGAAACCCGGAAAACGGGCTCCATGTCGTGCCTTATGAAGCCCGGCCCGAAAAAAAAAACTCTCTCCGGGGAATTATAGTAGAATCACATGTGCCCACACAAAAACCTGGAAAGTGGGCTCCATGCCGGGCCAAGTATGAAGCCCGGCCCGGAAAATATTTTAACCACGTAGACATCCCACTAGGGTTGACCTCCATCTGCTCTTTGATTCTTCAAGGTTTTAGTCCTCTAACTGGCGGCAATTTGGTTGTCTGGCAGTGGCTTCTGGCCGACCCTAGCGGTGTTCCTCCAGAGGATCCCGGTCCTCGGATGGCTCTTTCAGCAACCCTTTGTGACAGCGGTAAGTCAACCTACTGCGATAAGTCAACCCATTATGAATTTCTCTATGATGTTTGACCTTGACCCTTCCATCTCTGACTTCAGTTCTTGGATCGTTACCGGGGAAAGCGGGTCCCAGTGTAAGGCTGTCTCTGTAAGATATCGAGAACCCACCTCTCTCCCCGGTCCACGCTCTTCTCTCTCTCTCTGCACTCCATTTGTTAGCTTGTAACTGGGCGGATGGCTCTATTGATGTCCCAGTCGCCTAGGGAATCTGATTCAGTGTGAAATATGTGGCTAGGGTTTCTCTCGTGATCTTGTCAGTTGGATCATTCAAAATTAGATAGAATTGTTTCAATTTCTCTACGGTTTTCAATCTATTTCTCTCTCTCTCTCTCTCTCTCTCGATGCCTTGGATAGGCAATAAAAGAGTGCATAAGGTTAATGACTTTTTGCTTTATTTAGGTGTTTCATGAATCTACATGATGGTGTTAGGATATTTTCATATTATTAATTACTAAACTTTTTTTTTGTAAATTTTCCCGATTAAATGTGGGGATTATTTTTTAATCACTCGCTGATTTATCTTAAATTTATTATATAGAATGGAGCATTAATTGCATTATTTCATGGAAAGGTGGTTGGATATTCTAAAAAAACCCTCAAAGTTTTAATTACATATCATCAATTTTTGTCATTGTATAAATGCTTCATAAATAAATATATATATATATAACTACTGAATTTGTGGGTTTTCTGAGGTCCTATTTCTCCACGAGAGAAGATAGAGGGGGAGTATGGTTATGAGGATTAATTAGAAAAAATAAATTGAAAAATAAATATGAAATAATTTTGGTGAAATTAAAGGTTAAATTGATAGGAAATGGTGCTTATAAAAAAAATTGTTGATTGTTTTGGGGAGGTATAACTAAATAACCTAGATTTATGAAATATAATTTCTTGACTTTATTGATGCGGTTGTAACGCCTAAGTCTGACCTAGCCCGTGACATATATTGATTATACTCGTTAGGGCTTACGTAATCATAGTAGCCAATGTGCCAGAGGTCTTGAACGCCACGTTGGCTTGGCTCCCTTAAAAATCGGATTTCTGGGGAATCCACGTTGCTCATCGGAACGACTGTTGCGAAACAACGAAGAAAGCGGACCGAAAGCATCCGAATCGAACCGATATGGGGTATCCATTGAACCCGAGAAAAAAGGCCGGCCCTTCCGCACTAACGTGCACCCACTGTCCGGTGCAAGTTAGCAAACGTGCACCGGCCTCTGCCACCATAGCCCCGCCGCCGCTGCACCTTCTCCAGTTCCAGGCTCGCCATAAAGGAGGGGAGGAGGAAGAGGAAGATCAAAGTAGGAGGTGGAAGAAGATCGAGAGGAGGGCCTTCTGGTTTTCCCTAGGGACGGTCTTCCAGCGCAAGCCCCGACGATGTATCGCCAAGCCCGCCGCCTGCTAATGCTCCGGTCGTCAGGCGGACCCGGAGGCAACGGCCCCGCCCGATCCCTCTCCACTGGGCTTCCGGCGGCGCCAGCGGAGGACGCAACCTTCGTGGAGGCCTGGAAGAAGGTGGCCCCCAACATCGAGCCGCCCACGACGCCGCTGTCCTTCATGAAGCCCCGGCCGGCGACGCCGCCGTCGATCCCCGGCAAGCTCACCGTCAACTTCGTGCTTCCCTACCAGTCGGAGCTGGCGAATAAGGAGGTATGCTACTTCGTGTTCCTCCCTTCTCCCTTCTGCCCCCTTTTTTAGACAAATGTCTCCCTCTCTGGGATCCTCTACTTTCGCTCCTTATGATTCTAATGTACATCGATCTAATGTGAGGAAGAATCGAGGACCGAAATTAATTCGTTGCTTACGTCTGCTGCTCCTCTGTCAACATTCTATTGAAAACATCAGCTGTTTTTCCTCTAGAAAATGAATGTTTGGGATCCTACGATGCCTTTAATATTGTTTTGATTTCTGTTTTGGAGTTTTCTTTCACAAGAGATGCTGGGTGACGGATGGTCGATGTAATTGGCCACAATCTAGAACTGGTAGAAGGAGAAGCTTGTCGGTGCTCTTATATACGGGAGTCTCATTTCTTCGTCAATCTTCACACTTTGAGCTGCTTCTGGGTAGCTTTTGGGTTTTTTTGTTTCTTACACAAGGATTTCCGAGTTTTTTTTTTCCTGTATGGGAGAATGTAGACCTAATTGTTGCCACATTGTATGTCTTGTTTGGGGTAAACATCTTCATACGATCTTTGCCTCTATCTACCGTCAAATCTGATATTCAGTTTTATTTAGGATTGATCTCACTAGTCGCTAGGACGAATAGTTATGGTTACTTGAAAACAAGCAGGTCTATTGAGGTGTACTGATTGGTTTATTGAACCAAGTGTCCTATTATAATACCAGAGCTGGTTCTCTTACATTGCATTCAATGAGGTTTATGAAAGGATTATTCATATCATTGATCTGATAAGGTGGGACGGTGCCCATTGATTTCAATTGCTCATGTGACTAGGATCAGACAGTTGGGCCCCTTTCGGTTAAAATCTCCACATTTCATCTTCCACCCAACCATTTATTCATTATTTTCTAAGCTCCTATTGTCTATGCTTGTGTATAGGACCATATGCAGTGTGATGCCAAATAGCGTATAATCTTTTAGCTGGAACTTTTCATCTGGGGCACGTAATCATTTGAATCCAAGAAACATAGTCATGTGTGAAAAATAAGTGCATTTTTTTTTTTTGAAACCTTTTGGATAGTTGTCTAAGTAGCATAGATACCTGCCATGAGAAAGATCGTCCATATGCTTTTTATATTTTTCAAAGCATCTACTTATTTATAGTTTTGGAATGGATGATCGCATTACTTGATGAAACTCCATTGGATGGACTATAGAATTCGAACAGATCAAGGCTCTAAGCTATCCCTTACCCAATATTTTTCGTTATTTTTTCCGTAATCCTTTTTTATAACTTGAGTTTCAAGGATATTGTTTTCGAATTTCCGTCTGGATAAAAACTTTGGTTTTGGACTGTTCTGAGAGGTTCTTTCGTTTTAGTGTGAATGAGGCTTCTTTTCTTTTCCTTCACGATTTTTTACTTCGTGATATTGTGTAAATCACAATCTAGTCCAGAGGTCTGGGTGGCTGAGCTGGCGTTTTCGTTGTTCAGAAGTTCAGCAGCTATACTGCATTTTCTTTTACTTGGGAAGGTTCCTGGATTTAAACTTAAAGGAGGAAAAATAATCGTTCGAAGAATAATTCCGTTGACTAGCATCTGTGGGAAAACCTGTAGTTTATCAGTAATCTATCATTTTATGCCTCTTTTGAATTGTCCAGGGCGTGACATAATTTCTTTTCTGGGTCTGTTGGATTTTTTTCCTTTTTCTGTCATGATTATAGGGCCTTAGGTTTTGGTTGTTATCTGGGCCACATCTTCTTCTTGAGGATATGATACCCAATAAAAAGCATATTCCTTTGTGGGAGTATCCATGTGGAAAGTTGCGATTTATTATCTGTTACATTTCACTCTCCTGATTTCTGCACTTGCTGTACTTCGAATGGTAATAGCCTATTGGATGGGGACATCTCTTGGGTTAGACGTCTCAGAATTCTTGAGGAGATTATATGAACAGGTTATAGAGACAGTGACATCGTATGATATTTGATAAATTATCTGCTTTACATGGAACCACTATCAGCATAGTCTTAATAACACCGAGATATAGGTTTCCTTTCTTTTTTGAGGACGAGAATCTTATGTGCATGTGGGCAGTAGTGGTCCTGGTTGAGCCCCAATAGATAATAACCAGAGCTTTTTTTCTCAGTTACATTATTAGCTACGATCATTTCATTAAATGCTTGGCTGTTTATTCTTATGTGCTTTATTGAACTAAATGGATTATTAGTCGACTAAATTATATTCACACCCTGAAAGCATCCTCCTCCACTTTGAAGTATGTGAGAAAGAGTGCCAGCTTCCACCTTAAAACCCTTCATTTTACTTGCCAAGTATTTACTTTACAGCACCATTATGCTTCCAGGTTGTAGATAGCAGGAACACCAGGTTCTCCCATTTCTGTGGCACCACTCATCACTAACAGGATTCTCTCCATCTTACCGCATGCACTATTATGTAACCAAAGGATTTCAGGCTTGTGCCATTTCTGACCCTGTAACTGCGTTCATTTTATTCTGATTGATCTGTCCAGATTACTTATTCGTTAGGCTGCCCATGAGAACACTCATGGTCTTAATTTTGCCCCTTTCAGGCATCATTCTTTGTCATTATACTGACTCATTTCTGATTTTTCTTGGCCTATGTCTGCCTAAATATTCATACTTGATGCCATTCCCCTATAGTCGTCATGCTTGCCTCTACTTATGAGACCTCAAATGGTTATGTCAGGAGTCATTTAGTCAAAGATGATAAACCAAACATTAAGTAAGTATATTATCTGGGGGGTACTTCACTATTTGTCCCTCTCTTCTCCGTTTGTCCATCAATTGGTATCTTCTATGCGTAAGCCTTGTTTTCGTCTTTAATCAGATTTATGTTCTCGATGGCATGGGGTATTCCAGTTAGGGTGGAGGCTGTCTGCCTGTTCACACCTTCTCCCTCACTGAACAAAGAAAAATCTTTGTTTAAAAGTAGCTATTCATCCTTATTATATTTTCCTAGAGAAAGCAACAAGTCAAGCTTGTAATTTACAAACAAAATGACAATAAAAGCAGTTACATATATATGCCCATGCCCTGTGATGGACCATGGATCCAAGAAAACCCTTCAGATATCGATCAATTGCAAGAAACAGTGTGTGAAGTTGATGAGATCTTTATGGCAGGCGAGGTTGCGGGATGGAATATATTCTCCAAGAGGAGGCATAGATAAAAAGACACCGAATCCAGTGCCTATCTTATTTGCTCTTTTTTTCAGGCATCTTGGTCAGTTCTCAGTACCAGCATTTTTGTTCACTTCTCCAATGCAGAAGATTAAACCCACTCCTGAAAGATTAATTCTCCAATTCATGATATTTTTCCCATGAATGGCATTGGGAGCGTGCCCCTTAGTTTTTGATGAGGCAGCCAGACGTGATGCCCTAGTTTCATCGTCCACGGGGCTCTCTTTCCTTTTCCTCTCTAATTTCCATCGCTCTCTTCACTCTTGTATTGATGTTCCTTTCTCTTCTTATATCTTCTTATGCCTCCCCAACCACCATATATATCTTGCGTGAGAAACAAGGAGCTGGCATTGAATATTTCGTGTAGATCAGCCTTCACCCTAGAGTTTCCTTGCTTCTTTTAGCCAGATCTGAACCTGTACCAGTTCAGCCTGCTATTTCCCATTCCTAATTGACCTTCTCTTCCACTTCGTCTTCCTCCATTGTCCACCATTCAGCCTTCGATCTTCGTCTCGAAACAAGATGAAATCCACCCACCCCATGCCTCCTCATCTTCTACCTCTAGCGGATTAAAGCGGGTCTTTCCAATCTGTCAGCTCATGGTGTTTTGGTTCTTTTTTTTTTACGCTTTTACACCAGTAAAAATGTTTTAGCTTTCTTTATGGATCTGATATCCCTGATGATGGATGCATTTTCACTACACCAAATCCACCATGAGACTGAAAACATTTGTGGTTGTGAGCAGTTGACGTGTTTCAGCATTGAATATGTAAAACATGTAGTAGCAGCTTGGAAGGCATATCCCATGGGGAATCAGTGCTGTTCTTGGGGATCAGTCACCATTGAAGACCATTTAGGTTCCAAAGGGAGACGTAAGTCACTCCCTATGGTTTCATGTCATGATTTAATCCAGGCTTGCTTGCAGACAGGATTGTATTGTGTATTTGACTTTGTATATAAGGTGGACTCACCACCTGCGGCTGACCATGATCCTGTTGCCTGTGGTCAACCCTAAACCCACCCCTGACCCAGTGCTGATGGTTGACACAGCCTTTTTAGACTTGGGTTTATGCTCATTTTCCAAGTAGATTGAAGACTATCAAACAGATGAAAAAACTCTCCAGCCCACTGCTATTTGAAGAGGGTGGGTCGTCAGGTTCAGAAATTAGGGATCATGAACACTGTCAGTCTCCATTGAAACCCAAGAATCTTCCATCGTTTTTTTGTAGAGATTGCACTGCTAATATGTTCCAGGCACCCGTGGAAATCTGGGAATCAAATCCGTCCTGTGCTCTCAAAAGAGGCAAAAAAAAATTCCTGCAGGGGCTGGTTTTCAGCTCCTCAACCCTCTCTGGTGGAAGAAATGGATGGATGCTTGTGAGGATTTCCTGTTCATCCATGGTCCAGTGATTGATCTCTCCCTGTTTTCCACTGGCAGCAAGAGCTGAGGTTGGTCCTATCCAACTGATCGATCTTCTGATCTTCCTCTTCCTGTTGTTCTTCTTCGGGCAGGTGGACATGGTGATTGTGCCAGCGACGACGGGGCAGATGGGTGTGCTCCCGGGCCACGTGCCAACGATCGCAGAGCTGAAGCCTGGGGTGCTCTCGGTTCACGACGGCAGTGAGGTGGCCAAGTACTTCGTGAGCAGTGGCTTCGCCTTCGTCCACGCAAACTCGGTGACAGACATCGTGGCAGTGGAGGCCATCCCCGTTGACCAGATCGACCCCGCACTGGTCCAGAAGGGCCTTGCCGAGTTCAACCAGAGGCTCTCTTCCGCCTCCACCGACGTTGAGAAGGCGGAGGCTCAGATTGGCATCGACGTCCACAGTGCCCTCAATGCTGCCGTCACCGGCTAGAACCTCACCTCCCTCCTTTGCCGCCTGGTAGATTGCCGTCTCCTTCTTCTTCTCATTCTTCTTCTTCCTTTCCCCTCTGAGAGCAGACAATTGGCTCGCTTGCTCGGGGGGAGGAGTTCAATCAGAGAGTCTCTGTCTCTATTCCAGTTTTATGCATACTGCTTCTGGATGATAATCCCCTAGAATAAGAAAGTGAACTTGTGTGCGTGTGATCTCTCTCTCTCTCTCTCTCTCTCTCTATTCTCTCTCTATTCTCTCTCTCTCTCCAGTTTAATGCATGCTGCTTCATGATGATCATCCCCTGGAATAAAAAACTGAGCTTGTGTGTGTGATCTCTCTCTCTCTCTCTCTCTCTCTCTCTTTCTCCTATTCTATTTTGAGATTATTCTGTCCTGTAATTATATAGACAAAAATCATGTTGATAATATGGAGGGCTGTACTTTGGAAAGATTCAATCAAAGATGTCCAATACAAACCTACACAGATACTGGTGACTCGTACTAAATTGATTGTCCACACCCCCATCACGGCACTTCTCTAACTCTAAATCTCTACATAGAAACCATGGCACGGTGGGCAGCGGAAGCTTGAGACACTCAATCCAATGGATAAAAATTTTGAAGGATAGATTTTTCACATAGAATTATTCTTTTTAATGTATCACCTTACAACCACTGAGAAACTTACTATTAAACATCAAAAACTTATACTCTCTGCCGAAAACATTCCTAAAAATTAAACATCAAGGTTCAATAACTTGATACCAAGAGGAATTCAAACTTATAGAATGTATCCTTAAGAACACTTTTCTCAAAGGATTCTAGAATGATATTCAAGAAGAGATTTGTCTTCTCGAACCTGATGATTGAAGGCGAGAATGTGAACAACTCAGAATATAGAATTGAAAAAATACAACATCAAAGACCTTGACGGTATGAGTAAAACCCGAAATTATATACCCTCCAAAGCAACTGCTCCAAATTACTCTCTGCTCCAACACAAGGGATTCAAACTCTTCTTTCCTCACCGTGGAGATTGGATGGTGTCTAGAAAGAAACATGCAGCAAACATCTCGACCAACCAACCCATATAAGCATCAAATTCTGAAAAACGCAAGATAATCAACCTGAATCAGATACTTGAAACCGATTCAATCCAAGCTTTACCGAAAGAACAGGTGCATCATGATAATATGCATCCCCATCAGCACCCGGATCCCCGTCAGGTTTCCCATCCCCAGCCATAGCATCCCCCATAAACAAAAGAAGCAAGCCTTGTTTGTTGATGCCAAGGTATCTTGAAAAGAGGAACCAAAAGGGGCATGTATCAAGATGAACATACGAATCGACCCGACAGTACAAGAGATTCATCGACAAAGGAGATTAGCTCGGGCAGGTAAGGCAGTCTTTAGAGGGTCCGTCCTCCTCACGAATCGTAAGCCACGTTTTCCGTTTCACCGTAAAAGATTCCGATCTCTCGAATCCTGATCCCTCTGCATCTGAATTGGCTATTTCATCAGTACCAATCTTTTCATCCTATGATTCATAGGCGGCACTCGAATCCGTCTCAGAAAAATCCTCTGCCTAATTAAAAGTCAGAATAATCGGCTGAATAATAGGTATCCAAACCCAGAGTTCTGAAGCTGAGTAATGAGCTTGTACCGTCTTCCCCAAGGAAATGAATGACTTTCAATTCTAAGTATGAAACTGGAGCTGAACCCGTTCCTCAAGCTTAAGAGCTACGAGGATGCCGCCTTTCAAGGCACTCTTGAAACCGGCAAGCGCAAGCGCCTTCCTTGTCAGTTAAGTGTTCGGCCTAGTGATTGACACTGGCACGACTGGAAGAACCATGTGTGATCAAGTCTCAAGATTTCAAGTGATCTCCTACCAAAGATCGTAAAAGATTTCTTAAACTACGATTGACAACTTCTGTTTGACTGTCGGTTTGGAGATGAAAGGCGGTGGAAAAGTTTAGCTTAGTGCCTAAAAGATGCCAAAGTGTTTTCCAAAAGTAACTAGTAAAACAGATATCTCTATTCAATACTCTTTGGGAGACCATGGAGACGAACGACATCATTAAAGTAGAGTTGGGCAACTCGAGAAGCATCGGAAGATCTAGAACAGGCTATGAAATGTATCATTTTTTGAAAAACAATCAATGACGACCAAAATGAAATCCTGATGCCAAAGAGTACGTAAGAGGGCTAAAACGAAATCAATGCTCACATCATCATAGTCGGCTTTCAAAGGTTTGAATCCGATCGCATGCGAATTTCGTGACTTGTTATTTACTCATTGTGTTTGCTACCCATTCCATCTGTGTCAATCATATTTATCCTACATCAGAGAGTAAGATATGATCTTACCTGCAGCACTCGACCCCCAAGGAATCGGGCTTTTTTACTCTTGAAAATAGCTACCACCCAACATATCTATTGACATTTGTGCGGTATGGCCCGGGATGAGACAGCGAGGTCTCTGTCTTCTTCCTGAGCTGAATTGAGCCTACCCATTGAGGAAAAACCACTTTCTTCGTGCAAGCGCCTTGACTCGCTAGACTGATAAGCTGGACCACACTACTTACTGGCTTGATTGCATTGACTTACTGGATTGCCCATTTTTGTTACAGAAACCTGAGGCTCACTAAGCGTATATAATAAAATATAGTGAAAGGGTTGAACCCCCAAAACCAAGGGAGTGCAAACTTAAAGTTGAGTCCTCTCCGAACCGTAGGAGATAGTTGCCCACCATACGGAGTCTTTTACAATTCTGCATACGTGTCAGAACCTCTCCCATGTTCATGAAGATCACGTAAAATGAATTCCGAACGATCCAATTGCCCATGAAATGAAGTGAGATGATGCGTATAGGAGATATGTTGCTCTCTCGTGCATAAGATTCTGAGTCAATCATATTGACTCTATCTATCAAGACTTCCCCACAGTGTGGGAATGGTCTGGTCTGGTTCTAAGTTCCAAAGGAGGATAGGCGGTCACTCATCTATGATGGATCCTGTGACCGAAAAACTAGCCCAATCTATTTTTTTCTCCGATATCGATTCATGCTTGGGCCAGCTTTACCCAGAACAGAAGCTCCAGGAAGTCCTCTCCGATCTCAGGATTTGAACTAAGGTAAGGAACCCTTGACCCCAATCTGGTTTGAGCGCCCAGGCCCAAAATCCAATCTGGCTTTTCAACCGTCTGGATCCTATCAAGCTTCCTCCTCGTGGCTGATCCAGCCCATGACCCGTGCGTGCATCCCATAATCGTCCTCAACAGGCTCCTCATGTTCCTGTCTCTTCCTAGCCAATCCCTCCATCTTCTCCACCTCAGCCTACTCCTCCGATTTCATTAAATCATGCGCCTATCTCAATCCATCCAGTTGGTCAGTCTGGGTCCACCCCAATGGCCCTAACCGCTAATCAGTCTGGGCTCCCACAGGCAACCCAGACGCTTTGGTGGGTACTTCGTGTCTCCAAGCCGATTCAGATCTTTTTGTTTTCATTCCTCCAACATATCTATCAATCTTCGATTCTTTTGTGGTTCGGAGCTTGGATTCGAAAATGAGGATTCCGAGCTTTCTAATGAAGCCTCTTTCGATGACTTCTTGTCATGGAGAACCTGAGCTCGGTAACACACCTATCGTCTCCTCTGTCTTCAAACCAACTGGGCGATGACTCATTGATATCGGACTTGTTATTGTCATGAATTTCATATGCCGCAAGCTGAGATCGTCGACTTTGCTTTGTGAAGAGAAGGATTCCACTTCGGTTCCTTAAGATGTGTGACTTGGGGAATAAAAAAAAATAAAAAAATAGAGGATGGGAGTTGTCATAATCGTCAATTGTAATGACCTCCCGATGAGGTGAGGTGAGTATTGCCTTCTTTCATCGACATTCTTTACCTCGTCTCGAGTAGACTTGTGAACCTTTCTGTTCCTTCCAAAGTCCTTTTCTTTTGCTTGAATAAGCGAATGAGAATGGCAGGCTTGTAGTCACTCTCTCGCTTCATTGCATCTGTTTATCGCATGTGTCACTCGGGATCCGTGGTGCCTTTGTATTTAGAGAACTTATGGTATCATGGGGGTAAGGATGAGATGCTTTGGGCGCACTGGATTTTGTCTCCCCCACCCCCCCTGCCTTTGAAAGCGTCCTTCCATAACATTGTCTGGTCCGGTTCTTTCTTTCTCGAGTGTGGAATCATTTTCTGATCGTACCTGCCTCTACTCAAACCGAGCAAACTAAAGCGAGTGAGTTTACGAACGACAATTATTGAACATTCTAAGTACATCCAGCAGGAATCGAAGCTACTCAATTTGCCAGCCAATGTTGTAACCATTAAGCACCATGGATGCAACAGCGAGTGAACTAGGTTTCTTTGACATAAAGAAAGAAGGTTGTAATAACGAAACGGACATGTCCTAATTTTCTCCTTGCTAGTAGAACAAAACAGATATGGATGTGTATTCAATACAAAGGTCCCTTGGAGCTCCAAAGGGGAAGGTTTGGATCCTTCAATCGGAATGGATAAACTTCTGGAAGCCACTTTGTTTATTAAGGAGAAGAGCCTTTGATTGAGGCCCTCTTCCATTTCTCTCCCCCCCCCCCCTCCCTTTGATAAGATAGTCCATCACTTCCCCAACCTCACTGGTACAAGCACTCCATTCTGCAGATTGAGTCCCCTTCTTGTCATTATAGTGGGAAATAGGCAAGCTCAGTTATTAAGAAAACAGAACCTAGATCGGTGCTCCATACAATTCCTTGAATTGGTCAGGATTTATGTACACCCTTGTGAAAAAAGATGTCAAAAAAGGAGACAATGAAAAGCTTGAGGAAAATCTTCCCCACTCTAAAACAAAATCCATGTTATGCGTTCATTCCCTCATACCCTTTCTCTATATGAGAAAGTGTTAAAAGAATGAAAGGTTTGGTTGATGAAATACAATCATGTCACGCCTATGTATTATGTGTTCACTATAATAAGAAATATTTTGGTTGTCTATGAAGATGACCACTGCTACTTTAAGGAGCGACAATTCATGGAGAAAATCAGCGACTGAGGAATCACAATTCTCATCAATAGTGGTGCATCTCATAGTTTCATAGCAAAAGAAATTGTTTAGTAACTCAACATTCCAATCACCAATGTCTCATAATTTCATGTAAGTGAGAAAGTGATGAGAAGGTGTAAGGTTCAGGAATACATCAAGTCACATTCAAGCTTCAGACTTTCAAAATCTATAAGAACCTACTAACATTACGTCTAGTGATAGTCGATGTAGTTCTAGGAATGAAATAGATGAGCTCAATGAAGAATTCAAGCTATATTTTGAACATTCGAATTCTCTCCAATGGTTGGTTCGGAACGAGTCATTTTTAAAGAGGATATTGTGCAGCATAAGATGGATATCTCTCTCATGACCTTATCCAACATGATAAAGAAATGAGAAATCCTCATTGAACTTTATAAACGACCATAATAAAAATTTAGAGATAACCTCACTTGAGGCCTAACTCAAAAAGTAGTTAGATATCCTTGTTTCTAGAAAAACATAAATTGAGAATCACATTCAAGAAATACTAAAAGAGGATATCAATTAGTATTATAACTTCATGCATGCAAGTTTCAGCCAACAATCTGAGCTAAGGATATGTTTTGGGTATTTCAATTATCAAAGAACTATTAGATGAACTCCATGGGGCAACAATATTTTTAAAATTAGATCTAACATCATACTATCATCTGATCCAAATTTGGATGAAGGTTATCCTCAAAATGACATTTCATGTGTACTAAAGGACATTAAGAATTTATTGTATGTCATTCATTGTCTCCAATGCTCTAGTAAGTTTTTAGTTGCTTATGAATTAGATTTTTCACAAATTTCTTTTAAAGTTTGTGATGACTTTCTTTAATGACATCTTAATTTATGGCACAAATTTGAGAACACTGAACATCATTTGACTTTAGTCTTTGACATCCTTTACTCTCATCATCTGTACGTCAACTTGAAGAAATATTCTTTTAAGTAATTGAAGATTGTTTACTATAGACATTGGTCGTTCAAGACATGGTGAATACGTATTGTGGTGGCCATCTCTCTCTAATTTAGATGAGCTTAGGAGGTACTTGGGGCTGAATAGTTACTATTGACACTTCAGCTATGACTTCTTCTATGGCCACCCATGCAACAATTTAAAAGGGACGTCTTCAACAAGGGCCCCAAAGTTGAAGCAACAATCTTCACCATGATACTAATAATAACTCTTCTAAACAATTTTCATAATTTTGAATTAAAAGCAGATAACTCAAATCAAGGAGTCAAAGTAGTGCTCATGCAAGAAAAAAGACAATCTCATTTTTCAAATAATCATTATCCTTTATTTGTAAATTGAAGATCATTTAGGAATGAAAACTTATGACCATTGTCTTTATTGTCTTAAAATAAAATTATTATTTGCTTAGAAGAAAATTAATTATATTTAAAAATAAGTCCATCTTAGAACATAAATTATCAACTTAAGATTATTTACAGAAATTTAGTTCATATTTATGGATTATCATAAGTGGCTCTCAAAGATTATCAATTTTGACTTTGAAATTAGATACAAAGTGAGAGCATAAAATAAGGTTGTTAGTGTCTTATCTCAAAACTCTAATCATGTTATAATTTAAATTGTAGAATTATTCCATCCCAAACTAAGACATGAATCTAACCATGAGAAAGTGTTGACACAAGAGGGGAGAACCTTAGAATCTATGGAGTCTCAAGATAGAATATATGACCCCTATACAAGAGAGAGGAGAGATGAGAGAGAGAGATAGATAATGGGCCTTAGTGGGCTAAGAGTCTGATACCACTATCGAACACTTCCTCTCAAGTTGGAGTATATAAGTCGAACATGTCCAACTTAGTACATATGACGTCGTAGAAGATGTCAACTAGACTCTTCATAAAGACATCTGCAAGTTGATGAGATGGTGTCACACGAGGAGTAGAGATAAGTTCAGATGGAGCCTTATTTCGAATGTAATGACAATCGATCTCAATATGCTTTGTACACTTATGAAAGATAAGATTGCCGACAATGAAGATAGCGACTTAATTGTCGCAATGTATGAGCATTGGAAAGGAAGAAATAATACGAAAATTGTTGAGAAGTGATCGAAGCCATATCATTTCTCGCACTATCTTAGTCATAGCTTGATACTCAGATTCCACATTAGAGTAGGACATCACCTTCTATTTTCGAGAATGTCAGGTGACTAGGTTACTGCCAACATATGTGAAATAATCTATAGTAGACTTTCGGTCGCCCTTGTCACCTGCATACTCAGCATCATAGTAGTTTGTAATGCGGAGATGACCGTGTTGCCAATAGATAAGTCCTTGTCCTGGGGATATTTGATGTAGGCGATGACTTGTAGAACTCTCTCTCAATAAACTTGTCGAGGCTCCTAACTCAAGATATTAATTATGTACAAGATGTCAAGACGAGTGATGATGAGATATATCAACTTACTCAACAATTGCCAATACCAACTAACATCTTCGAATAGGATAGATGATGTGTCCCATAACTACGAGTGAGCTTCTATGGGCAAAGTCTCTGACTTACACCTAAGGAGGCTTATCTCTTGAAATATGTAGAGGACATACTTCCGCTAAGTGAGGACGAACTTTCCGTCTTAATACGCAAACTGAATCCCAAAGAAATACCGTGGAGTCCCCAAGTCGCGAATGTTGAGGTGTTATTGTAAGTAAGCTTTGGTAGTAGAGATGTCAACCTCATCACTTTCAATCACAAGAATGTCGTCGACATAAACTACAAGGATAATAAGACTATCTTATGTCTTCTTTGCGAGCACGATAAGGTCCACAGTACAAGAGGTGAAGCCAAAGGTGGTGAGTAAATTACTAAATTTGGCAAACCAAGCATGTGGACTCTATTTGAGCCCATAAATAACACGCTACAAGAAACACACCTTCGATGACTCCCCTTGAGTAACATACCTAGGAGGTTACTCCATAAAGATCTGCTCCATAAGATCACTGTAGAGAAAGGTATTAGAAATATCTAACTGGTAGAGAGATCATGCCTAGTTGACAAGAAGAGAAAAGAGCACGTGGACAAAGTTGAGGCAGATGACATGATAGAACGTCTTAGTGTAGTCAATCTTATATGTCTGTGTGAAGCCCCAAACAACTAGACGAGCTTTGTGACAAGTGATGGAGCCATTCAGGTGATATTTGATGCTAAACACCCACTTGTATGTCACAATATTGGCATCAGTTGGTTGCGGAACAAAATCTCAAGTCCTTTGAGCAACTAATACAGCTATCTCTGAATCCATGGTCACCTTCTATGTAAGTACTCGTACAACTTTAACATATGACTGTGGAAATGACTCGGAGGCCATAGAGAGGGCAAAGGAATGAAAGGAGGGAGAAAGGCGGTCATATGAGATAAACTAAGAGATGAGATGATGGGTGCAGGTGTGTGTACCTTTACGAAGGACAATAGAGAGATGAAGGTCATTAGGTGGAGCAGCGACAGAAGGCAAAGAGAGGATCATAGGAGAGGAAGAGGAGGATATTATATCTAGGGCAGGAGGAGTCACGAAAGACATGGGCCGAAGAGAGGCGGGTGCAGGTAACAACTCCAAAGAGAGTGGATAGGAGGGAAGAGAAGACAGAGGGTTCACAAAAACCACCAAGAGAAGGAACCTAAGCGGAGGGGACGTAGCGACCCGAGGAGAAAGAGGAGTCAAAATAAAAGAGAAGAAAGGAGACTCTTCATGAAAAGTGACATCGGCCGAAGTCACATAGCCATGAGTATCGGGAAAGTAGACCCCTTTAAGAGTATGAGGGGCGAGTTTAAAAAGAGAAGGAGAGGAATCCTAGACAAAGGCAGCGCATCTAAAGACCCGAAGGGGAAGAGAAAAAAGAGGAGAATTAGGGATTAAACAATGGAGAGGAATGACTCCCCTAAGAAGAGCGGAGAGAAGTCGATTGTAAGTAGCAGTCAGAAGGACATTAGTTTAGAGATAGTGGAAAATATTCATCTCAAGAAGAAGTGTGCAAGTGATGTCAAAGAACTAGTGATATTTGCACTCGACAACACCATTCTATTACAAAGTGTGAGGATAGGTGGTCTAGTGGAAGATGTCATGATCATCACAAAAGGGGTGGAGAGATGCTTGAACAAACTCAACAGTGCTATCAGTACGAAGAATATTGGACATAGTAGTGTATCGGGTGATAACTTTAGTGATGAAGTGGGCAACCATAGTGACGACCTCAGAGCAGTTGCAGAAGAGGTAAACCCAACTCACACAAGTGTATCATCAACAAAAACAATGTAATAACGATAGTCTGAGATAGAGGAAATACGAGATGAACCCCATACATTGCAATAGAAAAAGTTAAAAGAAGCAAAAAATAGAATGTCATCACAACTAAGATAAGAAGTACAGTGATGTTTACCTAGTTGACAAAACTTACACAAACTTAGAGAAAGAAAGTCACATTAAGATTTTTTGTAATTTACAGAAATAAAGATGGCCTAAATGGTGATGCCACAAAAGAAAAGTAGCTGTAGAGACAACAAAAAGAGCCCGAAGGTCAAATGAGGGTTTGTTAGAAACGAGTTCATAGACACTCTACTCGTTTTCACTGTCCAAACCAATCCTCTGTCCAATATACAGATCTGAAAAGTACAATGAAAGAAAAAGAATGTGATTGTACAAAGGACGGCATGAATAATAATACTGATAGATAGAAGGTAAGTAGGAAAACTAGGAACATAGAAAACTTGGGTGAGGTGAAGAGAGGAAGAAGTCGAGGTGGCACCATGACCTTTGATCAGATATGTTTGGCCATCGGCAATGGTGACAGGGGGATGGGTCGGGGTAAGTTGACAGGAGGAGAGAATAGTGAAGATACCGATCATGTGAATGGAGGCTCTTGAATCAATAATTCACGACGTCGAAGAAGAAGCAAGAAGAGCATGTGTACCTGACGTGAAGGAAGTCAGAAGCAAGTGGAAGTGTCAGTACCATTGGCGTGGCGAAGGGTGTCATACTTTACAGGTGTCAAGGTCACATGGAGGTAAGAGTTAGAACATGGGATGAAGTAGGAGATGTCAGAGTTAGAGAAGTTATCGCCAATTGTGCAAAAGCAAACTTGCCAAACTACTTCCAACACTTAGTAGATAGATGATTCTACTTCCCACAGTAAAGACATAGAGGAAAAGTATTACACCCACCTTTATGAAGAGTACGACCACTGTCAAGGTAGGAAGGTGGGGTATCATCTCGAGCCTACAAAACAACAACAAAAAGAGCCGAAGGAGTAGAGGTGGCACTTGGAGAGGAAGAAGAGGAGTGGATAAACATACCAATGATGACCTGAAAGGTTGTCGAGAAAATGGAGGTGAGATCATCCCCCCAGATCTAGGATGTGATGGACAAATGAACTCTATTGAGATAAACCCCAGAATAAAACTCTTGGCGATAGCATTAGAGGGTCAGGAGGTCGGTAGTAGGAGGCTGATAGATATCAACCTCCTAGATGAGGGCCTAGAGCCAACTATAGTGGGCCTAAATAGAGATATCACCTTATTTGCAAGAGAGAAGAGACTCAAAGATCTCCACAATGCGATCGATGTACATCTAGTTGGCATACATAATCTCCATAGTGAGTCACAAGAAATGGGTCGAGGTGATGCACGCTAGTGGCTCGGCAATACTGGGCTCAAGGCTCTAAAATATCTATGTGATGATGGTCGAGTCAAGCTACAACCATGTCGCATACGAGGCGTTCCGAAGGTTGAGTGGGTCTTCTGAGAGGTGATAGAGGAAACTGTGAGATTTATGGAAGAGTTCGAAGCCAGATGCCCACAACATATAATTGTGACCGTTGAAGATGTATACTAGTTAAGTAAGTTGCGTCGTGATGGAGTGGCGAGCTAGAGGAACCACTAGAGAAGGGAGAACACTAGCTAAAAGAAGCTCAAAGGACTCAGAGGTAGGGGACAGAGGGGGGTGAGACAACGCCATTAGGTCAATGGGTTTGAGCTAGAGGGGCAGGTGGTGGGCTGAGCAGGTCGAGGCCCAATGGGCAGGTCTGGAGGGGCAGGTAGAGCCAAAGGGGTAGGTAGAGTTGACTGGGGCCGGCTGAGGCTAATTGGGACTCATTGGGCCGGCTGGGCCAATCTCGAGTGGATCAGTCTATAAGAAAAATGCCGGTTGGCTCGTCAGGAGATAGGTGAAACCCTAGCCACCATGGTCGAACAGCGAGGGTTGGGGTGTGACAGCAAGGGCGTGACAGTGAGGAGGGACCTCGATGGCAGCGGTGATGCCCTCAGCACTTGAGAATGACAGCGCCCGTAACGGTGCGACAGTGAGGGCGCGACAGCGAGGAGGGGCCTCGACGGCGACGGTGACAATGGAGATGCCAGAGATGAGGAGGAGAGCAACAGCACCAGTGAGGAGCGACGGCGACAAGGAAGGCAGTGCCGAAAAGAGAAGGAGAGCAACGGTGCTAGAAGAGGGAAGAGAGGCAACACTGAAGAGCCGCCCGAGGAAGGAAGAGGCTGGTGAGGAAGAGAGCGACATGCTGAAGATGAGCGGCGCACTGGAGAGAAGGAGGACGACAAGGGATACCTAGGACTCTAATACCATGCTAACACAAGAGGGGATAACCTTGGAATCCATGTAGTCTCAAGATAGAATACATGACTCATATATGAGAGAGAGGAGAGATGAGAGAGAGAAAGAGATAATGGGCCCTAGTGGGCCAGGAGTCCAATACCACTATTGAACAAAAAGAATCAATTTGATTCTCAACTCACAATCATCATAGAACAATCAATTTCTCATCCCAAGAATTTTGGCCCCAATAACTACTTCAATGGAGGTACCTATTTCAGCTCAAGTAACTTGTTCTCTCAAAAAAATTATCAATGATCATATAATATATGAGAATTTCAAATGCAATGATAAGCGAGCACTTTTATTTTATGAATATACAAATAGATCAGCCAGAATGTTTGGTGGATCAACATGAAGAACTACATCAAATGGTATGTAGAAGCTTATCCACCTTCCAAATAAATAACTTAGAATCTCTCACCCTAGTCACCCTACTTCACTCCTAGCCATTTTAAAGAAGTTTTGAGATGACATAATTATAAATTCTATTAAAGGGTTTTTGACATTCGATAGATTCAATGCAATCTTGGTAGTGGTGAATCAATTAAGCAAACACATATAATTCCTCCTACTCATTAATCCATTCACTGTACAAGAAATCAAAAATATCTTCATTCATGACATAGTGAGACTATACAGAATTTTAACTTTAATCCACAATGATCAAGATCACATATTTATGAGTATCTTCTAGAGGGAGTTATTAGAATTATAAGGTACAACCCTATTCTAGATCACTATATATCACTTGCAAACTAATAGCCAATTGGAAGTGGTTAATCAAGGGCTCAAGACATGTCTTTGTTGCTTTGTTGGCAACCATTCACAACAAGGGTGCAAATGGTTGACTTAGGCTAAATTTTGGTAAAAATGAAAAAATTCACTGATCTTTAGTTACCACACATTTCAAAAATGGTAAAGACCTCTAGCTCTTCTCCATTATGAGACATAGTTAGCACAAGCAAACTATGTCAATGAGCTCATACAAGAATTGGAAATTATCCTAGACCAACTTAAAAATCATCTCACACAAGTACAAGTGCAAATGAAGATATATGTCAGCGAAAAATATTGTTATGTTGGATTCATAGTGGGTGATCATGTATATCTCTTACTTCATCCCTATCGACTGAAGTCTATTGCTTAACACCCTTTTGAGAAACTCAATCCATACTTTGTCAGCCCATTTGAGATCATAAATGAATTGGGTCGTTGACCTATCATCTAGCCCACCAACCACGAACATTTACCCAGATGATAGTTATCATCTAGATCACATGTCACAGTTGAAATAGACCACCAGATCACCACCTCAAATAGAAGAACCTCCTAGATTTAGAGAACATGTGAGAACCAATCTAACAGCAGCTTTTTAGAGTTTCAACTTGTGGACAATATGAAAGTATTAGGAGAAAATCTTGATCAGATTCTCATTACCCCTTATTATCCTTATCCACATCCTGGACGAACTTGATCGCCGCATGGAAGAGTCCTCTCTCTCTCTCTCTGTTATTTTACTCCCGAGATTATTCTGTCCACTCGGAAGGGTCAAATCAGAGAAGCCATGGATCCCTACAAGCTTCTCGGGATCAACCGGATCAACGGCGCCAGCCTCAGACGCCGAGCTGTATTCGCCGTCTCTCCTCCCTCCAATTTGCCCCTCACCGGCGATGCCGCGGCGCCGCCGCCCCAAAGCTCCCTCTCCAAGGATGTCCCTCTCGACCCTAGGTTGGGGACCTGGCTCAGGATCTTCCTCCCCAGCGGTGGCGAAGGAGGCGATGATCACCGGCGATCGTTACCCCTCGTAGTCGATTTCCACGGCGGCGGATTCGTCCTCTTCAGCGCCGCCTCCACGCCGTTCCACAAGATGTGCAGCCGCGTCGCCGCCGAGCTCCCCGCCATCGTCGTCGCCGTCGAGTACCGTCTCGCTCCCGAGCACCGCCTCCCCGCCGCCTATGACGACGCCGTCGCCGCCATCCTCTGGCTCCGCAACCAGGCCGCCGCCGCAATCTCGCCACCAAGGCCTGGATCCGAGGAAGCAGATCCGTGGCTAGCCCGCGCGGACTTCTCCCGCTGCTTCCTCTCCGGCACCAGCGCCGGCGGCAACATCGTCTACCACGCCGCGCGGAGGCTGCTGGTGGAGGATCCTCAGAACCTCAGCCCGCTTCAGATCCGCGGCCTCATCCTGAACCAGCCGTTCTTCGGCGGCGTGGAGAGGACGCCGTCGGAGAAGGCGATGATCGAAGACAAGATCCTCCCCCTTCCTATCACCGACCTCCTGTGGGAGCTCTCCCTTCCCGAAGGCGCCGACCGAGACCACGCCTTCTGCAACCCCATGCTCCACCACCGGCGGCGCCTCCACCATCGCCGTGAGCAGCCGCCGCTGCTGCCGAGATGCCTAGTACGGGGCTTCCTAGGAGACCCGCTGATCGACCGGCAGCGGGATCTGGTGGCGATTCTGGCGGAGCAGGCAGAGGGCACGGTGGCGCTGCTCGACAGGGAGGGCTTCCATTGCGTGGATATCTTCGACCCCGGCCAGTCCGACACCTTCCTCGCCGACGTCAAGCAGTTCATCTTCTCCTCCCCCTCCTCGCCTTCCGCCGCCGGTTCCATCTCCAGGTACAGACCGCCCGTTCCTCCACCATTGCCCGCCATCTCCCCCCTGCAACGGATGATCAAAACCCTAATTCCTCACCAGCAGATTATAAAGCACCATTAGATGTGAGAATCACTTCTGCTTCTGCTGGAGACGATACGAGTCAAGGCACCCGAAGACGATTCACCAAAGGCACAAGCCCAAGATTCATGGCATCGACGGACTTGCAGGTCCTTGCTCTAGTCAACCCTGCGAGCTGGATTCATCTCTCGGTAATTCAACGCTCTTTTCCAGTATAATCCATGCTGCTTCATTATGATCATCCCCTAAAAAACTGAACTTGTGACCGTGTGATCTCTCTCTCTCTCTCTCTTTGTTCCAATTTTATAATGCTGCTTCCGGATGTTCATCCCATAGAATATCAAATGAATTGTGTATGTGATATCTCTCTCTTTCTTTCCTCTATGTCTCTATCACTTTTTTGTCTTCTCTATCTCTATCTCTCTCTTGTCTGTCTCTCTAGATGGATAGATGGATGTGGGATCTTGTAGAGGATCCATGCATCTTAACTATCAGTGCAATGGAATAATTTCTTCTACAAGTTGGAGGTCTTGTCCAACAAGGATCATCTATCCTTGTAAGATACTCATGACACCCTATCGTCCACATCATAGCTGAACATGAACATTGCATGGAAGAGTCAAGCATCAGCAATTAAGAGGCCATTAGACAATGGAGGTGGTGGTTTATAAAAGCTCTCAGAAATCATGTGTGTCATTACTAACCCACTAATACTTATAAAAATAAGCCATGTGCTCAAGGGAAGGCATGTTGAGCTTTGTTCTATCTAAGTCATCTAAGTCATCTCGCATACTCTTCGCCCGTTTTATCATGTGCTATGTCTTTCTTCTTACATGATATCTCTAGTAGAAGTCTTTTTTCAGACCTAACTCTCTCTCTCTCTCTCTCTCTCTCTCTCTCTCTCTCTCTCTCTCTCTCTCTCTCTCTCTCTCTCTCTCTCTCTATGATAGCGCACTTGAAGGAGTTTGAAGAATTATACCTAAATCTCCTCATACTACAGCACAATGCTGCAACCTCATCAAAGCACTGATTCACCTCCTAATCATTGAATTAGAAGATGTTAATTTTTTTTTAAAAAATACTGAACTCAAGATAGAAATTAAAATTATATGTTATAGTGGGTTCATGTTGATCCTCAAGGATGGTTGTCAATTTAAATGTCAAATTTTGCTCTCTAATATTTAATTTATTAATCAGCACCGTGAAGGATAAGGAGAGAGAATGAGAGAGAGAGAAACTATTGTGTTCAACTACAATACTAAAAATATAGAAGACATTCAACCTTGGAGTAAATTAAGCTGTGAATAAAAGTTACCATCGAATCTCTTCCTTGTCTGTCACACAAGGGCAGACACAAGACAATGTAGAGGTTCTGAACGCATACATAATGTTCACAAAATCAAAGAAAATGAAAAGGAAAACCAACATTCAATTCTATTGTGTGCATGTCAACCACACCATTAATAAAGTGTAAAGTGAAGGTAGACCACGAAATAAGCTTAAAGTAACATTAACAAATTTAAAGTTCCATGTTCACTGCACAGTCAGTCCCCCACAGGTCGTCCAGAGGGGAGAGGAGATTCTTGGTATCCACCATGTCGTGCATGTTGCCGTCATTAACCTTACCCCCACCTGTCGCTCATGAGAACTCGTTGATATTTCTGGATTTTTGCAACCTCTGTTGTGATGCAGGTCGCCACAACAGCACCGTCTCACCGCTTGCTGCCACTACTCTACTGTGTCACCCAATAGTTGAGGGAGAGTTCACGGGCATGCTGCCACAACGTCCCCTGCCCTCTGTTGTCGGCCTACTTTGTCACCTCACATACCCTTGCTGTCACCTCACTGCACAGTCAGTCTCCCACAACGCCTTTCTAATCCTCGTAATGGGCATTCTATTAGGCTCCTTTCCAAGCTTCTTACTTGCCTCATTAATGAAGTTAGTAATGAGCGCCTTTCTCCAAACGTTGATGCTAGTTAATAGGCCTTCTTCTGCAGCCAATTCATAGTTAAATCAGAAAAAATTCCCAGCATTGAAAATATACCATTTTCACCAATAAATGATTTTTTCTAATGATTTTACCTTTAAAAATTTATATTTAAGTATAGGTTGGAAGAGTTAAAATGCATATTTAATTTAAGAGTTCATGCGATGCAATTGAATGATGCATCAACAAGCACCACAAGGATAAATGCCAGCCATTAAGCAACAATTGGAATATGTTGCTAGCACATTACTAGGATATTTCGGCCATCAAATAATAGCTGAATTATTTGGTATATGTTGTTGAGGTGCTATGTCACTACCTAGGTTCCCAATGTCCTAAAATTATATAGACGAAAATCATGTTGATAATCTGGAGGGTTGGACTTGGGGCAAAATCAGTCAAGCATGTCCAATGTAAACCTACAAAGATATTAGTGACTCAAATTAAAACGATTGTATCATTGGGGAATGACCACAACCACTTCTTTGACTCTGAATCTCAACATTGAAGGTGGCCAGAAGCTTAAGATATTCAAAGGATGAATTTTTCGTGTAGAATTATTCTTTTTGATGTATTAGTTTATAGCAGCCAAGAAACTTACTATTGATGAAGTATGGAAGGTAAAACATTTGTGTGGTTTTATGTGTGTGGGCACATGAGAACCCTTCAAGAATTGAGAAGTCTTGAGGCACCAAATGCTAGGAAAGTTTTAATTTCAATTAAACAAGCTCTCTCAATTGAAATTAAACAATAAGGTTCTATAACTTAATACCAAGAAGAATTTGAACTTATGACATTAGTTTTTAATGACCTCCCTGCATCTTTGAGATCAACTGTTCTCAAAAGATTAAGAAATGATATTTACAAAAGATTTGTCTTCTCAAACCTATGGGTTGAAGACGATAATATGAATAACTCAAAAGATCAAATTGAAAAACTGTGCCATTAAAGGTCATGATAGTATTAGTAAAATTCAAAATTTTGGAACCTCTAAAGAAATTGCTATGAATAACTCCCTACTCAAATAGTAGGGACCTAAACTCCTCTCTCCATATCATGGAGATCATAGGTGTTTAGGAAAATGTAACGAACACCTCAACTAACCCTTAAGCACCAAATTTAGGACAGTAAGGTAATCAACTTTACTTTTACTAAAATACAAGTATGTTATACCCAAAGAATATGTGTTTCTTGCAATCAAAAATATCATCCAAGCTATCGCTAATTTAGTGAGCTAAATATCTTGGTTGTTGACATAAATAAATTATTTTATAATAAATTACGTAAATTTAGATTTTATAAAATTATAAAATATTAATTTTTAGAAGTTTTTCAATAAGAATATATTAATTATAATTCGATAAAAAACTCAAAACATATTTTAAATATTTTAAATTGATGACAAGATGCAAGATAATATCATATAAAATTTTAGATTTTTTCTTGAAGAATATGAGTTTTTATGATTTTTAAACTAAACGTTAAAGAGAAAATCTATTGAAAAATTAATGACAAAGGAAAATAGAGTTTTACCTGATCATTATTCTATAAATAATTAAAAACGATTTAATGGATCAAATTAAGATCTATAAAATCTAAAAGAAACATAATTAACTAAAGAAGAGTTATGAAAGTTGAAATCATACCAAATCTCATTAATTTAAAGATTATCAAGTTTAAAAAGGTACGATAGAGTTCCACCGTCACAACAATGATCACTTGAATTCTAAGCATTTAATAGTATTATTGTTTGATGTACATGGTGCTAAAGGCTCTCTTTAAACATTCACGATGTGGACAATCTCAAGATCCATTTGCAAAGTCTAGAATTGGTAATGGATGTCAATAAAGCATCTCTAACAATTGTCACCCGAAGAAGTGAATGTTCAGCAGCAATAAGTTTTTTCGCAACTTTCACCTTCTGAAGATGAGTTACTTGGAGGTAGCGTGTATTTTAGGGAGCTTCTTCCTCAAGTCCACACAATGAGATAAAGCTCATATCACATTCAGTATGCTCTAAGAGATGACAACTCATCTCTCGATTGATCATCTTACTCTCGATAACGACACTTTCATTGAACAATTAAAGATGATTTTTTTAATTAATTTATTATCTTTTCATCTAGAATCCTCAATCAGTTGGTAAAAATCATTAATAAACATTGTTGATGAAGTTTACATTGATGATTGAGCGATTCTAGTGGCTTGATTGTTGATTAGAGTTTCGCAGAAAAATCATGAGTAAAATAGATAAAAATGTGAGTTTTGGTTCTAGTGGGATTCAAACCTTAGCCAAATGCTTGACTACGTGAGATACAATTAGTGAATTACTCCAATACCCTTAACCTAATGACGTCATAAGTATATTTCTTTCTTATAATGTAATGGTATTTTTGGTATTAAAATACTTAAAATATCACTAACGAATGTTAGTATGGGTTTAGTCCCACATCAACTATTTCATAATCTTTGATCCATATATGTCTAACGTGACTTAGTCATTGTATAGTAAATCACGCAAATTTAAAATTTATAAAACTAGAAAATATCAATTTTTGAATATTTAGAAGTATTTTTGAACAAATATATCAATTATAATTCAATAAAAAATCAAAAAATAGTGAAAAAAATTCAATCAATCAAAGGGATGTAATATAATATTGGATAATTTTCAAAAAAAATCTCAAAGAATACATTTTTTTATAAATTTTATATTAAGAAATAAAAATAAAATATATTTAAAATTTACGAAAAAGGAAAATAAGGGTGCGGACATCAAGATGACGTCAACGCCTGACAAATGCGAATTAAGTGGAGATAAAGTTCTACCTAGTAATTCTTACATAAATATTTACATACGATTTAATTGATCAAATTAAAATATGTAAAAGTTTAAATAATTGTAATTGAATGAAGAATAGCTTGGTAAATTTAAATCACATAAATTATCACTAAATAAAGTAAAAAGTAAGTTAAAAGTAAGAAAATAAGGTTTCAACATTGGGACAACGATGCGTTAGTGATGCACCAGAATTCTAAGCATTCAAAAAAATTGTCATGTAGTGTCCATGGCCTCGAAGGCTCACTTTGAATAGGGATGACACGGGTAACATCTAGATCTTCTTGTGAAGTCTAAAGATTAATAAAATGGGTCGTTGAATCATCTTCGATGAATATCACCCAACAGAGCGCAAAAATGATGACTTTGTGACTTTTCAATAATTGTCACCCGACAAAGAGGAGGTTGAGTAAAGGTGGGGCGCGTGTCAAGGAGCTTCATCCTCATGTCTACATAGCAAGATGAGGCTCTTCATCACATCTAGTATACTCTCAAGAGGTGGCAACTCGTCTCCCAGCAAATCATCCTCTTCTTAATGACGGCTTGTTCATCGATCAATCGGAGATAATTTACTTGATGGATTCGCGATCCTTTATCATAAATTGTTCAATAGTTTTAGTAACAATGCTTTATGAATCGTGTTGACAAAATTTTTGCCGATGATCTAATAATTCTAATAGCTTAATCCTTTACTAACGATCTGCAAGAAAGTTGTGATAATCAAATAAAAATACGAGTTTTAGTTCTAAGAGGATTCGAACCTGTGTCAGTCACCCACCTGTATGAGAGAGATTGAAATAAGTACTTTAATGCCTTTATAAAGTGACATCATCATGGTATCTCTATTATAACTAAAGGATAATTTATGTATTAAAATCTTCAAAGCCTTTTTAAGGAAGATGTGACGTCGAAGTTGTACGTCGGTTGTATGTTGGTTGTACGTCGGTTATACATCGAAGTTTTAGACAAATATATAGTAATAAAATATTTTCAAGCAATGAGTCCTTTTCTCCTACGTGTATGACTAGTCTTTGCCCAACAGTTGGCTAGCCATTAGTGACGTGGAAGGAGAGTGGTGCACACATGCCCCCATCGGTCCATACTTGGTCGAGCCACTACTCGTGGCTCCGCCCCTACTATGCTTCCGACCTACTTGTGGGCTTGGTTAGCCAGTAGGTCCACCCCTTTTTCTATTTTTTTTATTTTATTTCTTTTTCTTTATTTATTTAAAAAACAAGATTATAAAAATCATATAAAATAATATAAAATCATATAATTAACCAAAAAATCACATTAACTAATTAACATAAATATAAGTTTATTTATTATGAGTTAAGGCTAAAATTATATTATTTATTAACTATTAATCCATGATAATGAAAACTTATCAATGTCTATACAATATTTTCCTTTCAAATGCCTTCTCTCAAATCAAGATGGCCAAGACCATGTTGGGAGAGGGCTAAACTAGGTGGCTCACCCCCACATACACACGTGTATGACCACTCCTTGCTCCATACTTGACTAGTTGCCAATGTGTGAAAGGGAAGTGATGCACACATGTTCTACATGGGTCTTTACCTACTCAAGCCCTCGACTTGTGGCTCCCCCAAATGTGGATTTTACCTACATGCGATGTCCCCTAGGTCAATTGCCAAGTTTTGGCTGGTCAATGGGTTCACCCTTTTTTTTTAATTCAAATTTATGAATCTAAAAATTATATAAATTTACATAAAATCATAAAATTAACCAAAAATTATATTAATCATAAAAAACCTTTTTTTTAATTTAACATAAATATAAGTCTATTTATCATGAGTTAAGATGTAAAATATATTATTAATTAATTATTAACTCATGACAATTAAGACTTATTAGTTATCCAAGAAGATGATCACCCAAATGATGAAGCGAAAGATAATTACAACAAGATGTATGAAGAAGAAGCCTTCGTCAATCTTGCAATATCACTTTAACTCCTTGACCAAAGACTTTCTAATGAGAGTTATCAAAGTCATAGAAAAAATTAAAAATGAAGCTATCACAATTCTCAATATAACACTAATAATTTTATAGCACAAGAAATTGCATAATAACTCAACATTCTCATCACCAATGTCTTATAGTTTTATATAGGTACAAGAAGTGATGAGAAAGTGTAAGGTTTCAAAATATGTTAAGTCACATTCAAGCCTAAGGCATTCATAAACTGCAAAAGCCTAGTAATATTACTTGCAGATATAGTTGATGTAATCTTGGGAATGAAATAGGTGAGCTCGATGAAGAAAATCAAATTAGATTTTGAACATTGGACATTAGCTTTGATTGTTGGTTTGGAGTGAGTCATTTTCAAAGAGGATACTATATGGCATAGGACAAATATCTCTCTCAAAACTTTGTCCAAGAATACAAAGAAATTACAGATCATTATCTAACTCTATCAATTGACATAATAGAAATACATGGACAGCTCAACCTTTGAGGCACAACATATTTGGAGAAATTATCATACTTTCCTCTAATCACAAAGCAGATCGTGTGATCCCTCTAAGTTCAACTCTAAGTCCAATAACATTAAGCCATTTAGATATCCTTATTTTCCAAAAAATATGAATTGAGAATCTTGTTCAAGAAATATTGAAAGTAGGAATCATTTGACATTGTGATTTCATGCAGGTGAGTTGCAACCTACAATCTGAATTGAGGAGAGATTTTGATGTAGCCCAAGATACAAATTGAAGTCTCAACTACAAATTTGTGCCCTCTTATCCTAAATTTAGGTCATAAAGTGAAAAGTGCTAAAAAAAGAGCCCATGTATGTCACCAATGGACTTGAGGTCTGAAAAGTAATTTTCTATTTTATGTCTTTTCACTTCTAAAAGATATTTTATATCTCTTTCCTTCTAGAAGAGGCTTTAATGTGGTTCAATCATACCTAAACTTTGTTCAGGATCTCTGATTATCAGAATTTGTACTTGAGATTTGTTCAGTATATCTAACTATTAGAGTCTGTTTCAAGTCATTTCAAAGTTAATGAGAGTATTTCTAGAGGATATGTCTAAGATCTCAGTCTATCATAATATGTTTTAGGTCATTTCAAAGTTAGTCAAATTATATCTCTATGGTTTGTCAATGATCATTCAAGACAAGGTGAATGAGCATAATAATGGCCCTCTTGCTATAATTTAGATGAATTGAAAGGTTTTTTGGGGGTGAACAATTATTACTATCACTTCATTATAGACTACAACCTCTTCTATGACCAATTACACAATAATTTAAGAGAGACATCTTTCACTCAAGCCCAAAGTTGAAGTGACATTTCTACAACTAAAGGCAATCTTCACCAGAAACTTGATAATAGCTCTACTAAACATTTCTCTTTGAATTAGAAGTAGATGATTCTAAGTGAGGAGTCAAAGAGTAGTGATCATGCAACAAAAAAGCCAATTGTATTTGTCAGCTAGTCATTATCCTCTATTGGCTAATTGAAGACCATTTACAAATTAGAACTAATAACTATTGTCTTTGCCATCCTAAAATAAAATTATTATTTTCTCAAAAGAAAATTAATTATATTTACAACCCAATGTAGCCTCAAGTTCATCTTGGAACAAAATTTATCATCTTAGGACAGTTTAAAAATTATTTACAAAAATTAAGTTCATACTTATAGATTATCATAAATGCTTTTCTAAGATTATCAATTTTTGACTTCAAAATTAGATACAAAATTACAGCAAAAAATAAGACAATTAATGTCTTATCACAAAAACCTAATTTTACTACAAGAACTACCTTGTCCCAAATTAATACATGGATCCAATCATCTGGAAGAGTTGTTTTGCTCCTCAACTCACAAACATCGTACAATGGATGATATATCATCTTGAGAATTTTGGCTCGAATACTTGCTTCACCAAAAGTACCTATTTAAGCTCATGTAACTTGTTCTCTCAAAAAACATTTAGGCCCACTCAATATAAGCGACCACTCAAAAGCCAGTCTGTATATAATGTGCGTGGTAAGTAAGGGATATCCGACCCATTAACCGATCTCGTACTTTGGACGAGATATCCGACCCATTAACTGTTTAGGCCCATCTCGAGAAAGCCCATTTTAAGCATTTCACGTGGCATTTTTGGCATTTTGCTACGTATCAAGATTGTCCTAGAATCTTTCTCGGTCCCCGCATGCATGGTCCTCGAGACATGAAAATCCCCCCGCCCCTCCATAGGCCGTTGTCAACTCCCTCCCTGGTCCCGTGGACTTTTTGCCTTCTTCCTCCTCCATCCAGGGCAGCGGCGATGGCGGCGGTGCCGCCAATGGACCCCTACGATCTCCTCCGTGCAAGCCTCAACCCCGACGGCACCCTCAACCGCAGCAATCTGCTCCGCCTCCTCCCCCCCGGCGGCGCCGCCTCCTCCACCGCCGCTGCCGCCGTCGCCGTCGAGAAGGTCCCCCTCAACCCCTCCCACGGCACCCACCTCTGGATCTTCCTCCCGGGCTGCGACCCGGCGGCGCCGCCGCTCCCGGTGGTGTTCTACGTCCCCGGCGGCGGCTTCATCATCTTCAACGCCGAAATCGGCCCCTTCCTCAGCTCCTGCCGCCGCTTCGCCGGCGAGCTCCCCGCCGTCGTCGTTGCCCTACAGCACCGCCTCGCCCCCGAGCACCGCCTCCCCGCCGCCCATGACGATGCCGTCGCCGCCCTCCTCTGGCTCCGCCACCAGGCCGCCGCAGCAGCCGACCAGGCGGCGCCGCCACCGTGGCTCTCCGGCCGCCGCGCAGACTTCTCCCGGTGCTTCCTCCTCGGCAGCTCCTCCGGCGGCAACATAGTCTACCACGCTCTCCATCGCCTCCTAGCGGAGGGGGAAGAAGACCTGCGGCCGCTGGAGATCCGAGGGGTCGTCTTCAACGAGCCCTTCTTCGGCGGCGCCGCCAGGACACCCTCGGAGACGTCGACGGACCTCCCGATCAACGACCTTCTCTGGGAGCTCGCCCTCCCGGAGGGTACCGACAGGGACCACCCTTTCTGCAACCCCTTGCTCCGCCATCACCACTGGCGGCGGCGCCGGTGGCTGCCGAGATGCCTCATCCGGTGCTACCTCGGGGACCCGCTCATCGACCGCCTGAGGGCCCTCGCGGCGGAGCTCCGCCACCAGGCGGCGAAGCTGGTGACGCTGTTCGACGCCGACGGTTTCCATGGCATCGAACTCTACGACCCAAGTAAGTTCCAGTCCCTCATCGACGACCTCAAGCTCTTCATCTCTTCTTCTTCTTCTTCTTCCCCGCCGCCTCCGGCGGCGGCGGCGGCGGCGGCGGCGGAGGAGGAGGAAGAAAAAGAACACGCCAGCGGTGGCCGTTTTTAAGAAAACCCCGGTTTGAGATGTGCCCGTCTTCTCTGATTTCACGTACTACATTTGCAACTTGGTTTTCTGTGTTTTTTCATAAACAGAAGAAGCCATTTGGCGTTGAAAATTCCGGTCCATTATTTTTTAAAATCAGAATAAATAAACAGAAATGGGGACTGACAATTCGAGTGTATTGTATATTGTTCGTAATAGGGACGTTAAAAGCGCTAGTGAAATGGTTGAACTAGTCAACGGAAACCTATCATTCTCTCTCTCTCTCGAGATCCATATGTAGTATAATTTTTTGGCTAATCTGAATTTTATATTATCTAGGTGCAACCTAGGGTAGCCAATATTTAACTTATACAAATGCATACGTATGCAGAGAGAGAGAGATGGATGATGGCATTACAAATCACTTGGTGTGGATCGGTAGTAGGTATCTTTTGGGAGATGGGGATGTTAAAGAAAAGTCAACTGATCGATTAGGAGGAGGCCGGTTTCCATTTCTGAAAACCGGTTGACTTTGCTTCGGCTAAATGAGTGGGGATCCCATTTTCCATTTAAGTGAGCCAAACGCAGGCTCTGATGGGAAACCTGGGAATTTTGCTCCATCTTAGCTGCTAACCCCTCACTCACCCCCACGGAGGCTCTTCTTGGGCCGGCCCGGGTAGGCAGTATATCCTGGCTCACTTTCCCCCAGCCCATCCTGAACTGGGCCCATACCCCTTGCTAATGGGCCCTTTATCACGATCGAGCACTCGAGAAAACGGTCCAGATCGGGCCCATTTGGGCTGTTCCGCCTGTCCAATACTCGGGCCCATTTTATAACAGGTCTGTATTTGAGCCCATTTACAGAAAACCCCAATTATTTTGAAGCCTAACGGCCCATTTACTCTGTACGATGCATGCATATATCTATTTACAATACAATACAAATATATTACGTAAAGTTAATAAAAGCCCCTAAACATATTTATTTTTTATTGGAAACTAATTTAACTGTCTTATTAGATAATTGTCCTCAAAATTAAAACAGTCGGCTCAAGCTTGTTTTTTTTAATCAAAATGATCGTCAAAAAATGACATTTCTGGTAAGATAATTGGTTTCCCCTCTTCCCCCCACCCACCGTGAGGAAGTAGATTTAAAATAAAGCTATCGTCATAGGAGATCTGAAAATTCAAAGGTGAATAGGGATGAAAATGACATAATGGACACTAAAAGTAGAAGCCTACGTTTTCAATATGTGACGTCATCAGTGTGCCTAGATCAAATAGGTCCCAAAATGTCAAACCCGGAGAAAACGACGTCCATGGCTATACAAACTTGTGAGTCCCAACGTCACTTCTCTCTCTCTCTCTCTCTCTGTCTCTATCTCTCTATGTCTCTCTCTCTCTATCTATCTATCTCTCTATCCGTCTCTCTCTATCTCTCTCTCATAGTCACCTAGTGTGGACTGGCCAGAGTAATTACCTATTTATTACTTGGTGAGTAAGTTCAGCATGTAAATAATATAAAGTGGTAAAAAGTCAACGGTTGTGATAATTTCCCTCTTTTGTGACTACAAGCATTGAAAGAAGAAGAAAGCATGAAACGTGAGGTCCCAATGGGGGCGTTGACTAAGTTTTTTAAGACATAGAGGGGATTGTTGACCTCTAGAGGTCAAATCTACAAGCTGGATTGGTCAATGCAGTTTTTTTCCAAAAAAAGTGGCCATATCTACCGGTCAAGAGGATGCTCTCATTAATTAGCTCTGAATAAATTCGGTTAGTTCCCATTGATTTGACAAATTAATGCCCGTTATTTCCCATATAATGGGGACTTAGTGATGAACATATATCTTGATCTTACGTGGCATGATCAGATATTCACGCTTCATGATCTCGTCAGCTAAATTGGTGGCCGTTGGATCGAGGGAGGGGGCGATGGTTTATGTCTCTCTCTCTCTCTCTCTCTCTCTCTCTCTCTCTCCCTCCCTCCTTCAATATCTTGCGATTTATATATGGGTACATAAAAGTAATGAGTTTTGTATATATAAATGATTATATAAAGATTGTGGGTATTTATGTAATTGATCAGTTTTTCTTTGTTTCATCTGCATAGAAACTTCTTGGTTTGGAAAAATCTGGAGGCGTTCAATCGTTGACATGTAAGGTAGTCGAAGAAGACTGACGTGGACGAGAGCTGACCGTTAGATCGTTGAAAGTTATGGCCGTCCGATCGCGACTCGTGGGAGGCGGATCCTGCGCCGCCTGTAGATGGACGGATGGCCGTGATCTCTTCCCCAAAGTCTTTGACCCGGACTTTGGGCGGGTACATGATACGGTGGGTCCCATGGCATACGGTGGAGCCCATTTAGATAATTCTACTGGCTGTTCAAGCCGTCCACGTCAGCGGGCCACTCTCATACCCATATGGCCGTCGATCCCGTGGACCCACCGAACGTTGGACACATCGATCCGACGATTATGATTGCTGCGTTGAGGAGAACGAGCGCCACTCTCACTATCGGGCCGGCCCGGTATTGCTTTATTAGGGCTTTAATGAGCGGGGAAATAGCATCCGGGCTCGGCCCGCCCTATGCGGACTGCGTGGAGACCGTGCGACAGCGACAGGTGTCAATGGATGACGCCATCAAGGAATAAACGACCACGCGGGAATCGAGAGAGCAGCCGGGAAAAGCGACGGAGATTCTGGAAAAATGTACGGCCAGCGACCCGACCGTCTCTCGCGTGCTGAGCGGACACGTGTCCTCGAAGCCGAGACAACTTGGGGCCTAAACTTTATCAGAATTACGTAAAGTACCACGTTGAGGAATGAAGGCCACAGTGGGAACGAGGGTATGACAGTAGTAAATGATACATGTTGGGTTATTTGATGTACCAACTTTATTCGTATTAAATAAATGATAAAATCAATTATTAACTATTATTAAAGTGTCGAAAGGTGTGGTGGTGGGGAGAACGAGGTGCAGGTGATGGCAGGAGCGCGTAGCTCCTGAGAAGCGGCGTGCACAGAAGCCGTACGTCTGAGGAGAGAGACGAGGCACTGGGCGGGAAAGGAAAAAGTTTTGTCGTTATTTGAGAGTTGGGGGGCGTTGGGCGTAAGAACGGTGTGGGGCGATATGTAGCAGCTAGGGACCCCGGTTTTGGACGTCACCTCTGAACCGCCCACTCGGCCACCGGCTCCATAGGCGGGCTTTTAAAGTAGAGCCTTTCGCCGTCGCCGGCGAGACTCTCCATCTCCATCTCCACTCCATCTCCGGCGACCGTCGGAGCAGAGGATCCGGCGAAGGGAAGGCGAGAGAGAGGAGATCGCCGCCACCTTCGGAGATCAGGAAGTAGGTCGATCGGTGATGGCGGAGCACGGAAGCTCTTCCGGCGGAACCGCCGGCCAGCGGGAGGAAGGCGTCCGATCGGCTCCGGTGGGGAGGTGGGGGAGCTACGCGGCGATGGGGCCGGTGTCTCCGAGGCCGGGAAGTGGGGCGGCGAGGTTGTTCTTCTTCGACGCTCCGTGCGAAGGGTCTCCGCAACACTTCCTTGACGCCTGCTTCCTCTGCAAGAAGCCCCTCGGCCGCAACCGGGACATCTTCATGTACAGGTGCGACCTCAGATCGATCGATTTTCTTCGCTTTCCTGCTGCCGCCTGGTTTTTTCTTAGGGATCCGATCGGATCTGACGGGACGAAATGGATGGCCATCGCAGAGGTGACACGCCCTTCTGCAGCGAAGAGTGCCGCCAGGAGCAGATCGAGATAGACGAGGCCAGAGAGAAGAGCTTTGCCATATCCGTGAAAGTCGCCTCCTCAAGAAAGGAGAAGCAGAAGCAGACGGACAAGGTGGCGTCTCAGGGGATCGAGGTCCGCGCCGCCGGTGCCGTCCTGGCCGTCTAGCAGCCACCGCCACCACCCCCTCCCTCTCTCCATGAAATCAGAAAACCTACAGAACCACGGTTCCTGCGAGAGATCGCCCCCCTGCGCGTGAGGAATCTAGGAATCAGCGACTATTTCTCCCCTCCTCTGTACAAAGCAAAAACGAGGAGATCGTTCCCGGCGTGGCGTGTAACTGGAGATTGGCGGCAGTGGTGGCTTCTTCCTCCTGTTCTCCTACCTCCTCTCTCCTTCTCCCTTGTCGGTAGATTTTCGACCTCCAGTGTGCTCCGTCTCCTCGGTTCCACAACCAGAGAGAGAGAGGGAGATAGAGAGAGAGAGAGACAGGGAGACAGTGACCAGCAGCCTGGGATCTCCAGTTCCTCCCACCCGCAGCCTCCCCTGCAATGTTTCCTCTCTCTTTCTCTCTCTTCTCTCTCTCTGTGCAATGTACAGTGCAAGGAAGTGTGGGCTAACCGCAGCCGAAGCCTCCAGAAAAAAGCCCCTCCCTCTCTTCGGCGACGGCGGCTTCCGGCGACGTGTATTATCGTCTTCGTCACCAAGTCTTTAGAAACAGACTTATATAATATACTTCGGATTTTCGCATGAAAGTCGCCTCCGCAGCCCCGTTAGTCCCTTCCCTTCTTTCTATTTATATATATCCAAACCAACCCCCCCCAACCCCCCCCTCGCTGCCAAAAAGCGACCCTTTTTTAGCTGCCGGCCACCTTCCTCACAAACGCCCCGAGAGAATCCCCGAGCCGGGCCTTTTCGACCTCAATTATGTCTAGCGAGAGCGAGAGAGAGAGAGAGAGAGAGAGAGTGGGCCCAGATAAAAGGGGCGAAGACCAGTAATAATCCTCCGAGAGATCTACAGTTCTAGCTAATCGGGCGTGAACCCGAGTTTATTCCTATCGTGGAGTGAGAAAAAGAGAGAGAGAGAGAGGAAAAGAAGGGGGGGGGCACGTGGCGACGATGACGTGGGGGGAGGGGAGCGGGGAGGGGGATTAGTTTACCTCAAATTAGAGCTCGTCCTTGACCGGCTCAGCCGATCCGGGCTCGACGGCGGAGTGGACAGGTGCCGGGTCGCGGTGCTTTTGGATAAAGGCTATGATGTCCTCCTTGCTACGGCCGGAGTCATACTGGACCAACTTCCCGCTCGCCGACCGGAAGTACATGGTCGGATACCCCGCCACCTCAAAGTCGTTAGGGACGTCGTTCGCCGTCGCATCCTGGGCCCCACAGATGCCATGTCAGCCAGATATTTCCAAATTTCATATGAGAGAGAAAGGCCTCTGCCACGTGGAGGGCAAAGAACGAGCCGCGTCGTCAGGTTAGTGGGCTTTGGGCATGGCGGCCCGTTAAGAGTGGAAGTCAACGGGAACCCTCTAAGGGCAGTCTGGCGATGACCAAGTCAGCCAAAACTTTCCAAATTTGGGATGCGAGAGGGAGAGTGGCGCACGGGGAGGGGGGATGTGGGGGGAGGGGGGGGGGCTGCCACGTGGAAGGGCTGGGGCATTAAGGATGGAAGCCAACGGGGGACCGAAGGGGGAAGAAATGGTTACCAGATTGGCGATGACCGCGCTAAGGCATATTTCCAAAATTTGGGATGAGAGGAGTGAGCCCGATGCCAGGTGGAGGGCAGAGAATTGGGCCCTCGGCTCAGGGTCAGAGGTCAGTGGACTCTGGGCATGCAGGGCCATTAAAGCATGGAATTCAACGGGATCCCCCCGAAAGGCAGCTTGGCGATGACCACATTCACCAGATTTTCCAAATTTGGGATGAGAGAGGGAGAGACCCACAGAGGGGCCTGTGCCACGTGGTGGGCAGAGAGGGCGGCCTCGTCTCTCTGGGTCAGGGCTAAGTGGGCTTTGGGGATCCCGGCCCATAAAAAAATTGAAGTCAACGGGTCCCCGAAGGGAGCTTGGCGATGACCACATCCGCCAGATTTTCCAAATTTGGGTTGAGAGAGGGAATGGCCACAGGGTCTCTGCTACGTGGAGGATAGAGAAACGGGAGAGAGAGAGAGAGAGAGAGAGAGAGAGAGGGTTTACCAGTTTAGCGATGACCACGTCGGGGTCGTCTTGGAGGGCGACGGCCGCCGCCTCCAGGACGGGGGCGAGGCTCTGGCAATGGCCGCACCACGGCGCATAAATCTCGAGCAGGACTGCAGCAGACCAGGAGAAGAAGGTCGATTTTAATTCTTGAAGAATAATAAAAATAGGGGTTCATGTGATTAAAACTATCGATGAAAATCTGATATTCCCATAAATAGCAAATTCGTGAAAGAAAATGATTATGGGTGAGGTGGTCTGTGATCTTGATGATATTTGCTTCCTTCAGATTTACATCCCTCCCCAAAGGAAAAGATTGAGCTCGAAGTCAAACCCAAGAGACCCATTACTTATTACAAAGATCCAGCTAGAAGTCATTTAAAATCTCCACTTGCTTCTTGGAATATTTTCTCAGATTTATCAAAAAAAAAAAGAGGATCGAATTATTGGATTAAGAACCAAACAGTCTACGGTATGGTAACAAACATATTTACCATTTTTAGTATGAGTTGACCAGAATACTGAGCTAAGAGTGGGACAAGATATGGGGAAAGTAGACGAACCGTTCTTCCCAGAGTTGAAGAACATATCTTGGAGGCTGTTAGTCACAACAACTTTAACTGGCTCATTGTTCACTTCAGGGATAGGCGCTGACTTTGTGAACGACTGTAGATTGCCCGTCTGCAAACATATGTTCATGTTAAGAGCTTGATTCTCGGCGAGAAAAAACAAGCTATTTCGAAGGATTTGATAAATATTAGTCAGATCAGAGGATTCGGCTCAGCTAGAGAACGATAAGGTTTCCAAATCGGGAAGCCAAACTATTCAGTAACCTGATCACGATCTCATTTTCAGGAATGAAACAGGAATTGAAAACTGCCCTCTATGAACGATCAGGATTCAGTTTAAACAGATTATCAGAAAGTCAACGGTCGAACGATATGAATAATCTGAAAAGCGAAAACTAAAATTATTCAAAGCGCTAATTATGTTGATTCAACTTATAGCGATTTTTCAGGAAAAAATGGAAAAATAGGAACTATTCTAAGACCTGATAATTTTTAACTCTCATGATCCAATTCTGATAAAATACAAAAACGAACACGATTAGGTTTTCAGAGATTCTCAAAGAAATCCGACTGAGAATGATATTCATTTCCAAAATAAGAAAAGTAATATATATATATATATATATATATTACCATGTACTCCTTCATCCAAGGGACGATTTGATCTGGCTCCACCCTTCCTTTGTAGAACTTCTTTCCATCTTTGGCATTTAAAATGAGGATGGGCGCTAGGTCCAATGAGAGACCGAAGAACTGTTCATGCAGTCAACGAGTTCAGGTTATTACCATTCACGCACAAAGTTGACTGAATCGATCAAGGTCAAATGACGAAGTCAAATGGGCTCCTGGAGGGGATTAATTACCTCAAAAGCACCCTCGCTGGCTTCAAGATCACCCAACAAGAAGTTTATCTCCTTTTCCGTGTAGATACCGGCAGCGGTATGATAGGCTGATTTGTAGGCCTCAAAATTCTCGGTGCTGAAATTCACTAAGAGCAGCGCCTGCACTTTCAAGTCCCGCCATAATTTTCCATGAGTATTGAGCATAATATGAAGGAATCAGTGGTAATAAGTAATTAAGATGATGATGATGATGATGCCGTTCAAATAATTATACTGCTACTGATGATCCCCCCTCTTCCCCTTTCTCTCTCTAGATGAGCAAATGAACATGAATAGAGTGAGAATCAAAACACAAGGATTCCATCTAGTTCAGTCAAACAAGAACAGATCACCTCGGATGATCAGTAATTACAAGTAATTACTAATGCTGATGATGCCGTTCGAATAATTATGATACTCTCTAGATGAGCACATGAACATGGGTAGAGTGAGAATCAAAATACAAGGATTCTATCTAGTTCAGTCAAACAAGGAGAGATCACCTCGGATGATCAGTAGTTACTAGTAATTACCAATGCTAATGGTGCCGTTCAAATAACTGTGATACTTCTCTAGCCCGCCAATATTGATGAAACCCCCCTCCTTCCCCTTTCTCTCTCTAGATGAGCACATGAACATGCAGACAGAGAGAGTCGAAACACAAAGATTCTATCTAGTTGAGTCAAACAAGGACAGATCACCTTGGAATTCTCGCTGTTGAAGAAGTTGATGACCAGAGGGTGAGTGGCAGGGTCCTTGGTGAGCACAGTAACAAGAGGCTTGGTGGCTCTCTCTATAAACTTCTCCACAGCATCAGGATGAAAGTCCTGCGAGAAGAAACCGATGAGAAAGGAGTCTGGTCAAGGATTAAGTAGCAAAATGGGCAAATGAGTCAAATGGTACCTTAGAGTCAACATAAAGCTCATCATAGGGCTTGAACAGCCTAATCAGGGGGGGCTGAACATTAGTATCCCCTTTAGGGAGGGATTTTGCATTTTTTGTATGACCAAAGTTGTAGTCTGAACGCAGCTTCTCTGCAACATTCATGTATTTGTCGAATTCATCTCCTGAAAACTCGGAGAAAACTCCCACCTGCAACAGTGTTCGGCCAAGTCAACGCATGCAGAGCGAATGGAGAGCGAGGTTGAAGAGTCAACAGACGCAGACGAAGAACTCACAATGTAGACTTTCTTCTCGTCGAAGTGGTTGGCAACGTCTTCCAAGGAGTTGACCTCAGTAGATGGAGGACCCAACAGTTTCTTCAAATTCTCAACTATGCCATCGGCCTCTCGGGGGCCTTTGTAATCCGTGACGCTGCTCCCTCCGTTCTTGAACACCTTGAGGGTGGGAAAGCCGCCGATGTTATACTGGGTGAGAAGTTCTTTGTTGACCTCCTCATTGCCGTCAAGTTTGGCAAGAACGATCGGAGGATCATGCTTGCTCAGTACAGCTGCAGCTTTCTCGTACTGCACGCAGAGAGAGAGAGAGAGAGAGAGAGAGAGAGAGAGAGAGAGGTTAGTTTCTTCGAAGATGAGGGGAGGAGTGATTTGACTTGGTTTTACTGAACATTCCCATGGGGATAGTTGATACCTCGGGAGCGAGTTGCTGGCAGTGTCCACACCTGCCGAGAGACAGAAAGAAAGTTAGCAGAGGTAGAAGACGAGTTATCGCACAGAAAACCTCGGCAAGAAAGGGATCAAGGTGTTCATGGAAAGCAGGAGATCAGAACTTCGCAGGAGCTCTGATGGCGTCTTCGGAATCTTCGATGCGGAATAACTACGGGCAAAATCATCACGAAAAGCGTCCGATAGGAACGGAAACGAACTGAACATTCTACGATCAAAACAGTCCAAATGGGAAAATGACCCCCCTGCGAGGCGGTTTATGCTTCCGCGGAGCGAATTCTCATCCTGAAGGGGGGGAAATACTAAACTAGTGGATAATATAAATTATTCACTTCAAAATAAAATAAAAGAGACAGAAACGCTGAAGTCAGATTCCAGATCGGAAGGCGATGAGAGCACCGGATTAACGCTGCCGCGGCGAATTGTGAACAAATAATTGCTTCGAAATCGTAAACAAATAACGCGTCCGGTGATCTAGTCGTGATTTAGAGGCTCAATGGAAGTATCCGGATCAGGAAGTAAATATAAAAACAGATCCAGATGGATCGCCAGGATCACGCAAACCAACAGCACGGCGAAAGTAGAGCAGGCGGACACGACAAGATGCTGAGACTAAGATGCGGATTCACCAGGGGGCGTAGAACTCCACGACGATGAAAGGATGCTTGGAGACGGTCTCGGATATGTTGGAGGAGTCTAGGGTGAGCACGAAGGACGGATCCTCCGCGGCCGATGGGGTGTCGTCGGCGGCGGTGGTGGTGGTGGTGATGATGGTGGCGGCGGGGGCCGCCTCCTCCTCCGCCTCTGCTCGGCAGGAGACGGCGAAGGAGGAAAGAACCAGGTAAGCGGAGGCGATGGCCAGCCACGTCCGGACCCCAGTGGCCATCGCCATTCGTCTTCTTCTTCTCCTGCTGCAGCTACAACAACGGGAATAGTCGCAGACCACCTCACCTCATCTTATAGAGAAGAAGATGCCAGAGGAAGAAGATGAAGAGCAAACCATCTATTCAGACCCACTAAAAACTTGTAAGTATATAAAAATACTTAATTTTCATATATTGTTTTTAAAACCCTGCATACCACGCCTATACACCCCTTCCCGAATGAGCCTTTCCCCTTAAAGAGTACTTTACATATTTTAATATTTAAGAGGTTTCTAAACAATCTATTTGACCGTTATTTCTTAGTTTTGTTTATGATGTCATTGCCGTTATTCTGACCGTCCGATTCATATTTCACGGTCGAGATGTTTGCAGGGGGAATCGGGGCGACTCCCGTGACTAGCCTCTGTCCCGGAACGACAGCTCGGCGCCTAAATCACAACACGTGGGGCGACGCCGTTTACGGTCACCTCCCTAGTTACGTTGCTTACGGTCACCAGATAGGCCAGATTATGTCTTGGGTTCAGTCTCCCTCTGCTGCCGGTGACGTACCTCCTTCCTCGGCCCCTCCGCCGCCGGGGTCGTGTGATGGGTCTAATCTTCTCCGTGAACACTCAAAAATTGGATTTTTATTGGCGGCCGGGGAGGCCCAACTGTTCACTAATAACTCTCTTTGGTTGAGCAGCCTGCGTGGTCCCGGCGACCCTCCACCAACGAAGACATTCAATGTCTTCCCTTAAGAAGGTGGGATCACATCAGATTCGTTCCCTCACGTACAGGGAAATGAGGCCCACTTGGCAAAGTCAAACCTATACGCGTATTAAGTCATGGATAAGGTTTGAAATGGTGCACGGTATATCACATGTGTTTTCAACTGTTTGAATTCCTTGCCAACTGTGTGTGCAAGTCGCTCACTAGTTTCCTATATGATGATGATGATGATAGTGGCAGATTTGTGAAGGCCTTTTGGTGAAATCATACAGAGGCCTTCTTCTTTGATAAAATGGGAGGTGTGAATGGTGGTCTCACTGAATTCTTAACAAAAACCAAACACTTTTTCATTTAACTATATTTAGATGCAACAAGAAATTTATGGTTTTATTGACGTTAAACTTGTGCACATCATTGAAGTATGATTTTTTATATATAATATAAGATAAAAATTTTATATGTGAAATAAAATTGAAGATATTTGAAAATATTAAATATTTGAAGAAGCAAATTGAAGATGGTTTTAAGAGATTTAATCTAGTACCATCACTTAAGTGACACCCACTTTGTTTCTAATTATGACAATCCATGCTTAATGATGCTGTGCATTATGATGCCTTATTATTATTTGGTGAATAAACCCAAATGAGAATTTTAAATTATGTGGTTTACTCTTCACTCTATATGGGAACGAAATGATGAGATAATGACATCATATTCACATCAAAAGACTCACTCTCATTCAAGAGGAGAATGAATCTACTCTTTTTGGTGTTGTTATCTTGATTTTCCATGAGTGGGAAGTATCTTACCCTGTAAGCTTCACAAGTAGTGAGGAATGTCCTTTGACTTTTAACTCTTGGTTTTGTTCTAATCTTCTAGATGATCTAGATGTGTAGTATATGGCACAATCACAAATCCCAGGATATGTTGTGATTATTTTTATCTTTTTTCATGAAGTATGGTATTTTGACTAGCCATATCATCTCTTTAAATGATAGTTATGATGATGGTGATTGACGAATTCATTGTACAACGCCATTCATAACCCCTCTTTCACAACGGCCAACAGATACTCTCCAATTCTCTGATAGTTGTGGGCCATTCTCATCCCCTAATGTTTACTTTGGAGCCAATCTTGTTTTATTGTTGTTGACAAGAAATGCGTAAAGGTAAAATTCTCCATGGACCAAGATCTCAGTAGAAAATAATTCATGCATATCAACCAACAAGTAGTTTTTTGACCTTTTACATGGTAGGTTGACGAAATTCATTTCCATTCAATTTCGTCCATTTTTTTCTTTTATTTCACTTTGAAATTCTCTTTAAGATTCATGACTCTATAAAGTTAATAGTTGATTGCAAGATTCAACTTTCTTGTGATTAAATTATAATTTAATCAAAGTCTTTTATATGAAGATAATGAAGGATTTCATTATGGATATTTCTTAGATGATAAGAATAATTTGATGCTTGTTCAAAAATTTGATGAAGATAATGAAAAAATGCAACTTGATTTCATTGTCCTCTTCATAGTGGAAAGCTATGTGATTGTTGAAGACGTTGTCACCTCAAAATGGATGAAATAGAAGAAATAAAAGTCAATCTAACATGACTATTAGAAATTAGAACAAGTAAAAGTCAATCCAACATGACTATTAAGGATTCAAATATCCTCTAGAGAAACCAATATGCTTGACCATTAAATAGAATATATATATATATATATATATATGAAGTTTATCAATTCAAACAAGTATAGTAAGGATCTATTATTATTGAAATAGAGTCAATATTATTTCTCAAAATAATTTTTTTTTGCAATAAAAACTTATTTATATTACATCAAAAAAAATTATGACTAAAAAGTAGTAGACAAATTGATTCATGATCTCAATATGAAACATCATAACTTAGGTGATACATAATATTCTAATGTATATTAAATAATATTCAATGATATTAAAAAAATCATAAGTGAAAATATGAGTGACTTTAATTTAATCAATTAATTCAATATAAATAATATTTTAAAGTAATAATTTAACATCATGGGTACCTAGGAGACTAAATAAATTTTCATACTCATATTTTACTTCAAGAGTTCTCATGATGCTAATGTGATAATTAATACTTTTCCATAGTGCTAGTCTATGTAAATATTAGTAATTTTCACATAAATGTGTGAAATAGTATTTTCAGATATCACATAACTTAATTCTGAAATTCAACATTATTGGTGTAAATATATTTCTTGAATTCTTACTTGAATATTAAAATTTTAATATATTCTCTTCTTGAATTTATACTCATATATAAAGTTATATTTATTCATATATAAAACATAAATTGCAATAAGCATAATTTGGTCTATTCACTGATCTTATGTGTTTGTCATCATCAAAATATTATGCATTTAATACTCTAAGATTTCTAACTTATAATTTTGTACGTAGTTATCATTGATCAAGTGAGTAAAACCATGCTGTTGACTTGGAGTGTTAAAAATGAGGAATTGAAGGCTTATAGTGGTTTGACATATTAGGTCTACTATAATTAAAAAATATATTATTAGGTTTTATTAACTCATGTTTGTTGGCTTTAGGAGCCTAGATTGTTTCGATGATCAATATAAATATGGAAGAATAAATTGACAAAGGTCATGACTATATAATTAACCATATGGATAATCTTGATAAATGTTATGGAAAAAAGTCAAAATATTGAAAAAGTTCATAACAAAGGTAAAAGTATCCTTTTACATTACAAGATAAATTGAATGTTCTAGTGAGCTTGAAAATACACAAATTAGTTACATATTATCTACATAATTTATATTATTTACAAAATATTTTCTTGTATCTCTTAAGTTGTGGTTGACAAGATAAACACATGAGCAGAGAGAAAGACTATCATTATGCATAATGCAAATAAAAAAAAGAACTATTAAAACCCACCTCCTCCACAAAGAGACCAATTCTATACATTCAGGGGTTATTGAAAAATCATAATAAATGAATAAAAAATAGTGAATATATAAGGAGCACTCTTCTCAACAAGAAGTGAGGAACAATAAAAAAATCAAGATCAAGAGGAAACTATTGAAAATAAATAAGGACAAAAGGTGTTAGAATTATAAGGTTAGATGAAACACTAAGTAGGGGGTGAATTTGGGTTTTTGAAATTTTTACTTAATTTTCAGACTTATCTAATTTCTACTCATACCTATCTATGTGTTGGCGGATATGTTGACACATACGCTATAGTAAGACTTTTCATTAATGTCTGATCAAGAGCACAAAATGTTTTATATTGATTCACCTTTCACTAACTTACTTCTAGTTTCAAAGGGAACTACCTTTCAGTATTAACTATTCTCCATAGAAATATATGCTTATGCTTTACAAGGTGAGCCACCCAAACTACACATGTTCATTTTCAAAGATATCCAACCCTTCTTGGGTCAGATACCACTATCAACACCTCATGCCTTCAGTCAGTATGTGCTCTCATCACCATGCAATTATGTTAAGGCCTGATGGAGATTAATTATCACAGTGGGTGAGTTCATTTATTGAACTGATGAAGATGATGAAACTATTTTGTTGAATGTTGAATATTCATATCAATGTTATTTTGAACAAAATAATTTCTCTAATAAATAAGCTTTCTTCTTGTACTCATTTTTCCATTTTATTGAACCTCTAATGTTCAACACACTCATTCAAAAACTTGTCATTTTCTGAAATACATGATAACGAAATTCAGATCTTCTTAACTTTTAATCTTCTTATTCCCACAACCATTTCCATTCAAATTTGAATTGAAACTTCCTTACAATGGACCAAATCATCAAATATTTTTCCTCTTTTGTCCATGTAAGTGGCTAATGTGTCACTATCTAGATGTTCTTTCTAAAACTTCAATTTTAATATTTTTCTCATTTTCTTGTCAGTTTAATACACTTGTATTTTAGAAAACCTGTTTAACATCATTTCAAAATGATAAGACATTATAACATGATTAAGTCATCACATAATCAAAGATGAAATATTTCACTTTCAAAAATATGTTGGCACATGCCTTTCATTTGTAGATATTTTCATCAATTGATGATTCTTTATTAATCAATATTCTTAAAAATATAAATCCGTTTCATCTCATGGATCAACACTCTGAATTTTAATTATTTGTAAATAAAAACATAATTATTTAATAATAAATAAATATGATTAACTTGTTTAATACATTAAATACTGGAAATATGTAAATGATTCTCATAAATAGGCATTGACAATATATACTAATATTTTTTTTAGTCATCAATACTAATTCAACAAAAGTCACATCCTCAACAATAAAATTCCCAAATGAGAATTAGATGAATCAAGCCCCCGAAAATTTTATAGCTTAAATGACAAGAATGTTACCTCATTCAACATTATATTTTAGATAGAGTACATTTGATATGTAGGCTGATCTAGAGCTTCACTCAAATAGATATTATTTTATGTTAATATTATTGATCTCCTAGAGCTTTTAATCTAGAAAAGAAGGGTATGTCTCTTGCATTTAGTCTCCTAGAGTCATGGATTTGATACAAAATACTGGATTGTCCTTTGCCTTGGTCTCTTATCCATGAATCTGGAGGTGATTAATAGGTAGAATATTGTGTTTACTAGAGTTGTTAATCTAGTAAAGGTGGTTGAAACCATTATTCCATTTGTATTTTGGAAATGATTTACTAGAACTCGAAGACATAAACCCTAGAGAGAGGAGTAGGTTAAGTAGATACAACCATAAAGTTGTGTCAATGAAATCCTCATCCTTCCAAGTCTAAAAAATTAATGAAATTATACCCAAAACCAATTACCCCCAGTTACATTTCTATATAAATTCCAACATTGTTAATACAATTCATTGAACATTAAGGCTTTGACTAGCCTCTAATATATTCATGATTCTATGTAGCCCACATACCCAAAATGCTCATAAATTGACAACTCTAGGTCAGCTTGAGAATGTGTAGTGTTTAAATATTAGTATCAAATAATAAGAATAATCAATTTTCATAACTTTAACATGTAAGTTTTTTGAGCATAGAGATGTGAGCTCAAAGATGTGAAAGCTTCTCATGTGACATCATTTTTCAATGCTTAAAAATTACATGGAAAATGTAGCATCTATAGTGTAAAATCTCATCTTGAAAGTTACTAGATTTTATTCTTTTATCAGTCAACATTCACCTTTAGTTTCATTTTTGTAGTATTTCAGAAATAGCTTCTAGTAGTTAGTAGAATAGTTGCTAGTTGCCCAATGAATAATTTCAATAACATGATGTATTTTTCATGCTAAAATTTACTACATGTCAGTTTTCTTGACTCAATTGAGTCATGAGGAAATAATATTAAAGTATCTGTGACAAATTCTAATGAGGATTATATACTTTCCATTCTCATAATCGATGAGGAATCTTGTGCGCTGTTCTTGGGGGAAAATATTTTCCATTCCTATGAGAAATATCAAACTGATTTATTGGTAATTGTGTGGATTGATCTTGGATTAATATTTTTTAACTGTTACAAAAAATATTGGATAATTAGTGATGAGTTATATAGCTTACATCCTCACAAAAATTGATCAAGGTATTTGCAAGGGAATTTGTAATTTTTTTTAGTTTATTTAATCGTGAGCAAGACCAATTTTTTTTTTTTTTGGGGGTGGTGGACCTCTGGTGAGATCCTCTGAAGAGGGGAGGTGTTGGGGCGTTGACTTTAGTGGAAGGTTGACGCTTGAGACAAAAATCTTGGGTTCAAAACTAAAGCTGATACTTTTCTATTTTTAGCAAGAAAACAGCATTTAGGCGCATTGAATAAATCAGCCTTTAAATATATGTATAATTACAATCAATAAGGTTAAGTATGATAAATAGTGCACTAGGCCTAACTTCTAAAAATTATAAGTCGTCTCCCAAACTATAGCTTCACCTTGTTTAAAGAAAAACCTGGTCAATGCATGGGAAACACAGGAGACCTCAGTGGACACAACAACAAATGGCGATATCTGGCCAATAATTCGACACTAAATCCATCCCAATTTAATAAATACAGAGCTCAAGATGGAGACCTGGATGGATCCTTGGGCGGCCTGCGGCAGCTGTACACGACCGTCTGATCCGATTACCACTGGGTCAATAACCATGGAGAAGAGATGGTTCTTCCATTTATAGAACAAACGGCTTTGTGTAGACATCGAATGGCTCACAAGATGTCAACTGGGGCTCCTGATTGGTGGAAGAACCCATGGAATCCATGTTAGATTCAGACTTTTGGCAAGAACAAGAAGGAGACTGAACAATGTCAACTGGAGAAGACCCACCTGAGTGAACCCACCGCTGACACTTCCTCCAGTGAGAAGCATGGTGACGAGGGTGGTGACGGCCCCACCACCGCCACCACTGCCGGTTGAACTCCCCGCATTGCGAATGGTGGACCGCATGGAGTTGAGGATGCTCCCATAGGTACCGCCTTGCCCGCGCTCGATCGCTTGGATGAAACAGAAAGTCATTGCCCCTGTTGAGGTGATTCTTGAGAGAGCCTGCTCATTTGGAATGCCAATGTGGAAGGATTATGGCTTGCCAGAGGCCCATTTATAGCAAAGAACAGATGAATCTCACTAGCTGGTGAATGCTGACAAAATATAGAGATCAGACTAAACGAGTTGGTTTTATGTTAAGAAGGTGCTTCACAAGGCAGATTTGGAATGATTCCCCAGAAAAACAGAATCATATTCCCTCAGCAGAAATTGAGAAGAATCAAGAAAAAAGTTTTCACCGAGGTGTCTGCTGAAGTCTGATGGTCATCACAGCCACTGAAGGAGATAGCCTCTCCTCCATTGGTTCCCTTCAATACACCTGATCGCGGCCGATGATCTTCCCATATGTATTGTCCGCTCCTAGGAGGGAGTAAAAGAAATTGACCAGAGGAATAGCATCTTCAGTGATTATTTCTACAGGGTAAGCCCTATTATCTACGGAAATAATTGAAGAAGCAGGATTACGCCATCCAGATCAATAGAATCCATGAAATGCTTCAAAATAACTAGATGGGATGAGGCTGCATGCCGTTCTACTGCCTCGGCAGGCCACCTGAGTATGCTCCCTGAATGTGAGGCTTCTATCTATGATTGCTCCAAATAAATGGACATCCACTGCTATAAACATGTAGATATATCGTTTAAAATACGAAAATTGGGGAGAAAAAGGTATGATGTTTTCACTTCTTAAATTAAGTATGAAAGCACGGGTCAAAATCTTATTTATACTTCAACCTTAATATTTAAACAGGTATTCCTCGTCCTAATTCCAGATTTGTGAAGTTCAAAGAGAAAAAAATGTTAATAAATTGGGTCCTTTGCACGGTATTTAAGTTACCTAGGTTCTGGTACAGAACCTCATAGACAACCTGCTACAAAATCTTTTGTTTTCCATAATATCATTTCAAGAGGCATATAAAATTTAACCCAAAAAAAAATCACTTTAGATGTCAACTAATGCAGAAAGATAAATATGTCTCTCCAAAGGAGCAATGAGAAACAAAAACTGTCCTGACCTGTTCATTCTGCAGAGAAATGGCAAATCCAGTACAGTGCCGCTGTGACAAGCATCAATAATAGCATGGAGCTTGACTCCACGAGGAAGAGGCTTGACAATCGCAGTATTAATTTCATCATCAACAATCATCCCCTGTGTTTCAAAGTCTAACGGACAAAGGGTTTCATCAAATCCATCCACCTCATCTCCACTATAACTTCTTTGTTGTGACCCATGACCAGAGTAATGGAACAACAGCGAGTCTCCAGGTTGACACCCTTGAACGAGCCAAAATAACGCCATTCGAATGTTGTGCTTTGTTGGAGTCTTATATGGATCACGTTCTTCTTCTGCAACCCAGCTTCCAATGAAAATAGTTCAGACAGCTTCAATGGTAACTTAAGTATCGTTTGAGGAGATAGAAAAGAGACATTGCTTTGTATACGCCATATTATTTAAGAAGAAGATACTTTTGGTAATAGGTAAAAACCAGATATAGGATCAAGAAGTAGAAAAATTCTCATGAAAACGATAGGTTATCAAATATTACACAATAAATAGGAAAGTATCATAGGAGAATACTGCTATGTAGGCACAGAAACAACTGAACAACCAGTTTTTTAATGCATAATTGAGACGGAAAATGGGTGATTAAATGTAGATCAACAAAACGAAAATCTAGCAGCCCTTTGTGAGACCCTAGTCTGTATAAACCATTACCTAAATGAGGGTCAATCATATCTTCTACCAGAGACTGAAGAAGCAATCAGCGTCCTAATTTGACACAAATAGAAGATTTGAATTACCATGAGTGAGTTGAATTATTTCAGTACTATGAAAATAAATAAAAATATATTTTATAAATTTTATTATCCAAATAATTTACGTGCAATATATCATTTAGTGTTATTGTAAACAAAGAAAAAAATAATGTTTTTATAAAATAATAAATAAAAAATCTGTGCCAATATATTTGAAAAGAAACCTTAAAACTTTATAGTTTTACATTTATATAGCCTGGCTACACAGGCAGTCCTGGATTACACAATGGGTTGGATGTATGCAATACAAGTATCATGTAACATCGACAAAGTAACAAGCATAACCTAGGTTTGATGACATGAAAACTATGGCCTTGAATACTTTCAGCAATTTGTTTATTATTTCTGGGAAAGTTTTGAGAAGGCGTACATACATCCTATAAGTCCTTCATAATTATGCACAGTCCTATGGTCTCATATGGAACAGGGATGGTGAATGGTGGAACTTCATACGTATTAAACATATGTGAACCAAGTGGAGGATGGGCTAGAATTGACCCATCCTTTTAGTGAGGGAACGACCTCAGAGATGAAAGCTTCACATCTCACTAAGCGTATCCATGTTTATAAAGACACTATAAAGATTTATTAATGAAATCATCAGTCTTACAGCGGGAAGATACTCTACATATGATATCATGTTATAATACTTGCAGGGCTGCTTATGTTAAAAGCTCCAATAAAATAATGGGTGACCTCCTTGACGATTAACAGTGTTTTGGAACAGCAATATCCTGAGTCTCTAGTCAAAAAGGACTACCAGGATCAGAGTCTAATCACATCCTCTCCCTTATCTTGTGATATGACATGGCATTGACGTTAGATAGGATAAACATCTCTTCAAGCATAACGAAATGCAAATCCCCATGACTCGCACCATTTTCCATAATATATTTCAAGCACATTTGATCGAAGAATCATAAGTTATTTAATGCATCCTTCCTCAAAGAAAGTAGTACACAATTTTTCTGAGGAAAAAAGGCACAAATGTATCAAAACGGGACAGTGAATGAACAAAGGGCAACAATGATAAAAACCCTACAAATTGCAACGTGTGAAGGGTAAAAATAAGAGTAATGGGAATGATAAAACTTATTCTACTGTGAAACTCATGCATCTGTTATCTCCTCTTCTCAAACTCTTCCTGACACCTGTAAACCAAAAAACAGATCTCTCCCTTTCACCTCACTGTGTTCCAAAACAAAATACGAACAGCAAATGTTACTCTAATTCTGCCGTCTAGTGTGACCAAGTTTAAACATAAGTAGTTTGACGCATGAAAATGAGGGGAAATCATGAAATTTTCCTTCTCAGAGAACATTCAAAGATCTGTCCCTGTTCTAACAATTCATATAAATTATGGTAGTTCTTCAGCCCAATAATCGCACCATAATTACGAAGAATGACATCTCACCCAACTGATTAATAAAAACACCAATCAGAACGATTAATTTTACAACGATTTGATGGACATCAGAAAAATGGTCTTCCACTCATCGACAAAAGAATGAAATTCAATTGGGAATGCGGCATGAATTCACAAGAACGCCGCAAGAACATGAAAATAAGTGGGACAAAAGGATGAACTCTTGAATAATTTTCAGGAACTTTCAGCACCACTTGTTCCCCTTCTTTCAAATGTCAAGTTTTTCCTCGGAAAACGTATCACCAACCATTATTATGAGATTGAAATGGCTACTTTCATGCCGATCTATTTATGCGTTGCCGCGCCTACATCAGCTAATCTATAAATATATAAAACCATGTCTTACCGGTAAGCATGATGATAGAGGCCTCGGGGAAGTGGAACCGGTTGATGAGGAGGTGCCGCATGCATTTCGCATCGTTGATGCAGCCCTTGAGTTCGTGCCTCGAGAATTTGTACGATATCCCGCATATCACCGCCTTCTTCCGCCCGTGGGGAGACGCTGGGGGGCCTCCGGGCGGACCATAGGGAGACGGGAGCTGGGGTGGCGGAGGGGCTGCACCATACCCGTTTCCATGATACTGCCCCGGCGGCAGCGCAGGCGCTTCCCTGGGATCGGCGATGTTGGTGATCGCCTGGCAGATGGCACAACGTATCGACCTCGCCCCCGGCGGCAGCTGCAGCGGCGTTCGACACCGCGAGCAGTTGACCAGCATCATCGTCGCCATCCCTGCCTAGAAAGATAAAGAGATAAGAGAGGGAGGGAGAGGGAGAGCGAAGGAGAGGAAGAGGGAGAGGGCGAGGGAGGGGAAGAGGGAGGGAGGGAGGGAGGGAGGGAGGGAGAGAGAGAGAGAGAGAGAGAGAGAGAGGAAAACCGACGCGGAAGGTTGGACAATGCTGACTGGGGGAGAGGGAAGACGTAGATCGGCGTACTATGTACCGCGGAAAATTATAATCATGACCCAATAGCCTACCTCGTCGGTGACTTCACATCCACCGTTGGATCATGAAGATGCCCGTCAACGACTACCAGTTGACGGGCATTGTCCGTCCGAGGACCACGTTCGCTTCCGCGTTAACGACTACCGCATTATAACCCCACCACGTTCGCTTCCGAGGACCACAGTAAACGACACGGCAAAATCCCACCTGAAACACTACCGCGTTGAATATTCCACATCCAGAAGCCCATAATCAATCCGAAATGGGATCCGAAACGATTAAAGATCCATAAGGATCCAACAATATTCGAAATGAGACTATCGGAGATCCAGCGAGACCCGAATAATATCCATGAAGGATCCGACATAGGATCTGGACTTTAAATTAATTAGAGGAGATAAATTAATTAAATATTTTAAATGGTTAATTTTATTTCAGAGACTTGACAGCACATTGGGTAAGAAAATAATTTCAATTAATGGGGGAGATTAATAAACTTTTCGAAATAGGTTTAATCGCCATTTAAGTATTTTTCAGGGTCTTAAGAAAATAAACCATAGTTTTACTGTGCCGTGTACAACAGCGGTCGGCCCATTTGTTGGCCCGGAGGGATATTAAAAAGTGCAATTTTTAGGGTTTCGGTGAGCAGAGGAATTGCCAGTTGCGGTCGAGAAGATTCTCCCGTCGGCCGTCGCCACCGCCGCCGCTGCTCCTCTCCCCAGCCCCTGCAATGGTACGCTCCCATCCTCTCGATCTGCCGTGGTATGTCCAGTGGAAACCCCCGGTTCTTCCTTCCCCTTTCTGGGATTCGCTGTGTCATGATTTAGCGCAGTCGTCCTCTGTTTGGGTCTGTTTATCTGAAATGCTGGAGGAAAATATTAGTGGAGATGATAGTTCAGTATCTAGTTTGGTGGAGAAGTAGGCGGAGGACACCGTTGAATGATATTGATAGGACTCCCTCGCCGTGTCATGGGAGCATACAGAAATAAGTTCAGGAGGAAGAAATGTTGGTGCACCTGAGAGTTCAAGTCAGAGTTGAGCTAGTCGGTGAGTTGACTAGGGGCCATTTACCTTTTACATATGGGCTTCTCGATGCTACCGTAAATAAATCCTTGAGTTTTTGGTTTCCTTAGTATTGTCTGATTTATTATGTGTGCACTCTCTTGAGGCTTGGAGCATCTTAGCAATAGCCCAGCTATCATTGTCTAATTGTGATATTCCGAGCGGTGTTTCCGATGATAATTACCTGAACTAGGTTTGTAAGACGTTCACCCTTGATGTTTTTCCACTACGTCTGGATCTAAGGGAGGAAAACAGCTCTCGTTGGAGCCTGAACTGAGTGTAATTTTATGATTTTTGAAGGGAGATGATTATCTGAACGTGTCTGCGAGATTGACATTGGCTGATTGCATGCGGCGTCTCATATTTCAGATCAGAATTAGTCAGATAGTCCCAATATATGTCTTTATGTGGGCCTCCTCAATCTTGGTCTTGGTCTTGGTCTTGGTCTTGGTCTTGATTGTTTTTTGTTAAGTAACCCTCTTCCTTGATCTTTTAAATCGTACGTTGTTGCTAGACTGAATGATGTAAGCTAAATAATAAATTTACTGACAGCGGTAGCAGCACTCCATTTTTTATTTCTAGTTCTGAATCTAGTTCTCAATCTCATCGTCAGATGATAATTTCCTCATTTTTTGTTCACAGACGAAGCGAACCAAGAAGGCTGGAATCGTTGGGAAGTATGGTAAAGTCGACCAGTCACTAATCTTTTTGATCGAATCAGAATGGAGAATAAACTCAAGCCACTGAAAAATTTCAGAGATATCTGAAGGATAGAAGCGTTGCTGCAGGTACCAGGTATGGTGCCAGCTTGCGGAAACAGATCAAGAAGATGGAAGTCAGTCAACATGCCAAGTACTTCTGTGAATTCTGTGGCAAGGTATCCCTAAGCTATTCCTTTCCCTGATGCACCGAATGGGATTGCCTAAGTTGGCTGATTAATAGTTATAGATGCCATTAGAAACTTTGAATTGTATCAGCTTATAAGGATTCCAATCCATATCAGCCAATGGCTGCAAACCGTGCCCATCTAATCTCACAAACTACTTCCAATCTTTCAAGCACCAGTCTAAAATATTGGGTTTGCTGATTCATGGTTTTTAGATACTTACAGGAACCAGGATGGATACTAAAAGAATCATCCCTGTTGGGATTAAATTGGCTAATAACAATTCCAACCCTGATTGACCAATCGCTATGTACAATGTCTTTATGAATTTGATTGTCAAAATTTTTCCTTGCCAAGAAATGATGATCTGCCTGCCTAATCCCACAAATCACTTTCAGTAGAAAGAAATATAATCTAATCTTTTAAACAGTACTCAGTAAGGAGGAAAGCTACGGGGATCTGGCCATGCAGGGACTGCGGCAAAGTCAAGGCTGGCGGTGCCTACACTCTCAAGTAAGCTCAAGAGACAATCCAAACTCTTTGCTCTGTCAAGGCCTAATTATTCAGCTGGATTAATTCCTCTCTACTTATTTGATCATTTCAGCACGGCAAGTGCTGTGACTGTTCGGAGTACCATCCGCAGACTAAGAGAGCAAGTTGAGAGCTGAGGAAAATTGCCGTGTCAGTGGACATTTCTTTTGAGTTCTTCTGGAGTAGTTACCTCATCATCATCTTTGGTTTTCTTCTGCCTGACTTTAGAGGAAATTTATGTGAAACTATTTTGTTGACTGCTCTCAAGTGTTAGGAGTTTTCATTGACCCTCAATTAAAGGAAGGTTGTCCATTCGCATTGCTCCTCCCTGCTATGTATCATGGGGTGCAATCTTTTCAGGCCTTATTAGGCCCTGCTGGAGAGCTTTTGGCAATGCTTATGTGATCAGGTAGGATGAGCTTGCATTAGTGCTTTCCAAGTCTATGCATACATGTAAAAATCTAGTTGTAGCGATGTAAAAAATGTAAAAATAAAGTGATGAAATTTCGGATAATACTTGGTTTTTTCCTCCCTACATGATTTTTATTGCATCTTTAATGTTATGTACGTGATAATCCTACTACTTAGTACCTTATTTTAATAATTTTTGGGCCTCATCATTGTTTAAGTTGCTGCTCGTGTTGCAAGTGTTTAGTTTCTTAATGTTGTATTCTATATTTCTAATTGTTTACCATTTGCCTTTAACTATTTGCCCATTTTATTATCTATTGCTTTTTAAGCATTTATCATATTATATTTTTTTAATGTACGTTATTTATATTTAATACTTGAGCCTATAATTTTTTTAAAAAAGACCCCATCAATCTTGTAATTATTTAGAGCTTATTGTGATATAGACAGTTCATACGTATATACTAATTATTTTTACTAATTATAGTTAACATGCCTATGCCTGCTTTAAAACCAAACTTGTTAAGTACATTTATTTTTCTAAAATATTTTTGTGTCATGTTTTCCTCTTAATATCAGTTTTTCAAAAATGGGCATTAATTTAGACATTCCTCCAATATCAGCGTCATGAACTATATAAGTATTTAGTTATACTATGTATTATCATGTAATTATGATATCTTAACCGGGTTTTGCTTTATAGCCTTGAAAAATGCCTTGGGATACTATCAGCCTCAATTAGTAGATTGCAGCATGGAGAAATGCCCAAAGGGACTAGCAACTTCATGGTGTCAGTCCATCCTTATATAGCCAAAAATGGTGGCCAGGCGCATTTAGGAACATATCAATAGAGAGAGAGAGAGAGAGAGAGAGAGAGAGAGAGAGAGAGAGAGAGAGAGAGAGAACCTTGATGGTCTCCAAAGGTGAAGCATGCTTGATGTTTTTGAGATGGGCAGATTAATTTGAAACCATGATCGTAGCCCAAATGATTTAGATAAAAAATAATGTGAATCTCTATTGATGAAACCTTGGTTAATGATCATATATAGAATTATTAAAATAAATTTGGGTTTCTTTTTGTTCCCCTCATTGCAAACACCCAAATTAGAAATTGTATTATGATTTTTTTCCAAAAAATATGTTAAAAATTTAGGGCATGGCATATACTTCAATTTAATATTAGTTAAGCGTAAAATGGTGTTATGGAAATCTCTTTATGCAAATAAGCATGTGAATTGAAAATGCATTTATGCAAATAAAATAATGATTATTCGGAATCTAGCCTTTAAAAATAGCCTTTATATGAGAAATTATTTATATTTCACTTTAATTTACCCATTAGAGTAAATTAGTCCATCAGTTCTCTGTTTCACCTTTTAGGGCAAGCAATATGCTTTATTTAATATTATTTAATCCTAAAGTGGTATTATGGAAATTCCTCTATGTAAATAAACGTGTGACCTGAGAATACATTAATGAAAATATGATAAGGATTATTTCGGAATTTATTCTTTAAAAACAGGCTTTATATGCGCCAGATATGAGACAAACGGGGCTCAGTCTGAGCCCAAACACAGCGCCCTGACAGCCCTTGCTACCGCGACGTTTGGATTCTTTATAAAAAAACCCATAAAAAATAGGAATAGACTTAAGTACTCTTCCAGGGTACATTGTAAATTAATTATAAGTTGAAACATTCATTAATCTGATTATCAAATAAATAAATAAACACCGTTTAAGAATTTTCTGGAGTTTCTAGACGTTTCCCTGAATTTTCGACAATTTCTCTGTATTTCTGAGTTTTACTGGATTTTTGGGTAAATTTTCGTGGGAATTTTAATCGCCGGGAATTTATGTGAATTAATTGTTGGAAATCAAACTAGCGATGGTTTGGACGAAAGGGGATTCGAACTAGCGACCTTTGGGGGATGACTCTTAAGTTAAAGTGAAATGGACAGACCTAGCGCATGAGATCGGATCCCCCCTCCCTTTCGGCGTGGCGGAGAGAGGAGCTGACGGCGACGACGGCAAGTTGCGGATCGATCCTCAGTACGGCGTAGAGTCCTGGGGAGCTCTCAAGTACGCACAGGAGACTTTGATTGCTGGCCTCAGTGTGGGTACGCCAGCAATCGATCAAACCACGTCCCAGACTTGAATTATCTCTTTAATTTTTACTGTTTTCGCCAATTTCATCATTGAGTCAAGCAGAGTTCATGTTTGTGTGTTTCAGACGTTGATTTTCACGATCTGAATCCATATAAACCTTCGTATTGGGGTTTTTATTGGCAGGACTCTGTCCGTTGATTCATTTTCCTTTTTCCTTCTTATTAGGCCGCATGCCCCAGCGGCCCCACTCTTCCTCTCTTCCGGTAGGTAATTGTTGGCTCGGTCAGCAATATTTTTTAAAGTGTTTCCTTCTGTTTTATTAGACTTTGAAATTTATAGGTTTTATTAAGGTCCAAAACTTGTTATACATCACTAAGAAAAGGTATACATATATATACATCAACTTTTAAAAAAATCAAATTGACACTACATTTTCTAATTCCTCCCTGTGGATTGACCTGTTTTCACATTTGATTACGAGTTATATTTTTCCAGCGAAACCAGTTTATAAATGTTAAATTTGATGCATTTTTAGCAACGACTAAAGTGCACAACTAAAGTGCGCATTTTAATGCATTTTTCTCATTCTTCCCTCAGATCAACCAGTTTTCACCATTTGATTACGAGTTATATTTTTCAGTGGAGCCAGGGTATAAATTTTAAATTTGACGCATTTTGTAGCAACATTTTGTAGCAACGAACAAAGTGCACATCACCCTCCCTCCTTGGGCTTAGAAATATTTCCCTCTTATGCCAAGCTCAAATTTTTCATGTCTAACCAGACCCCAAGTGGGCCCATGCGAAAATTTTGGTATCTAACAACCATTCTTTTGGGAAAATGTGACACCCCGTCGAAAATATTTGGGAGATTAGCATTTTTCCACATGACTAGTCAAAAAATCGGATGGATGCTCATATATGGAGCTATTAACGTTACTTCATAGTATTTCTTAATTAATTACACCCATCCTCTTTGCTATGTGGGCTGATTCCTGACATGGATCCTAGTGCCCCATTTTAATATGGAGTTCTGCAAGACCAGTATATTTCCGAGTTTAATTCTTTTTTGGAATGAACTAAGAGGGATGAATGCCAAAATTGTCATTTGACAACCATTCTTCTACTACAGTATCACCCATAGAAAGCAATTTGGGAGATTAACAATGTTTGTTTGAGGACAATTTCACTCATCCTCTTTTCTATGTGGGCCTATTTCTAACATGCAAGCGCAGTGCCCTATCTTATGATTGAGTTCTGCGGGAACATTATATGCCACCTCCCTATATTTTCTCCTCTTTGAGATTTTTAATATATATATTATGGGTTATTCATGGGTTCATGTGCCACGTGGGTTTTGACCGTTGACTCATGAGAAAAGTACATCTTTTTGAAATATTTCCTCGTTTGACTTTTTTAATGCTAAATTTCGTCGTTTTTTCTTAGCTGAGCTAAGAACCTAAAGTCAGCCCGTCTACGAATTTGTTCAGGCGAACTGCTTTGGTACTGGTCTAAGAAGCTAGGTCGCACAGGTGATCCTTGGAAGACGATAAGCCCATGGTACATTGTACCAACCCTATAAAGGTTGGAAGTGCTTTATATGTTTCTAGCGAGAGAGAGAGAGAGAGAGAGAGAGAGAGAGAGGAGAGAGATGATGGCATCGTCACGGGGGGATGCTCCTGTGTCAACTAGTCTCAGTGCTTCTTCGTCGGCTGCTGCATACTCTCCACCATATCCGAGTGCCGCCAGGCTTTCGGATTCCCAGTGCTTCTCCCAGTACTCTGCTTCTCTCAAGTGTGAGTGAATTTTCCCCCCCTCTCTCTCTCTCTCTCCCGCCCTCCCTCCGGGCTTTCCCACCATTTCTTCTCTTTGCTTAATTTACTTGGGTTTTTTATTAGATGATTATAATTATGGAAGTTGCTTAAGTTGCGAGGATGGACTGTTCGCTAGCTTTGTTGTGGATAGGGAAAGTTTCTCTCATTCACATGATTTTGGATCACTTTTAGTAGAGAAAGGCTATAACTACGGTTCTTTTACCCACAGTTGTATGGTTAAGAGTTAGTTTCCAACAACATATTAACAAAGGGGATTAGAGTTTTTTCTTTGAAGGGGGATCAATGTTCGCATGAAAAAGGGCCAAGGCTTAAATTTGTTCCAACAAAAAGAACATTTTTGCTTCTGTGTTTCTCACATTTCTTTCTCCACACCAAAGTGATTGTAACCATTTTAGGCCAACCGAGGTCTTTATTTTGGGGTGGGATTTATTTTATTTATGATTCTAGTTTATTTCTTTTGATTTCATCATCACTAATTGTGAACAGTCTAATTCTTATCTCATAAAAGAAGATTGGGAAAAGTAAAAGAAGATAGTTGTTTTGGAAGAATCATCACATATTCATGTTATGGCTGATAATGTGCTTAGTAGATAATCCAAAAATATTTCTGATTATCATCATGCCGTGTATCAGATTTCAATACCCAAAAAACTCCATTTATTATGTAGCTTCATCTGTACTAGTCTCTAACCTAAGCCATTTTAATTTACGTCCCACTATTGGTTGTTGGTATCCTATGTATAATGGATCTAGGTCCAACATTTGGTCCTTGTCCTGGTAGACCTAATCATTGATTGGTCCATACCTAATTTGCATGGGTTCTTTATGCTTTGACTTCGAGTTTAGCCTCCTTTGTTGGAACCGATAGGTAATATTTATAGTTCTTTATGGTTGCTTTCCACACTTGAATAAGTTGGCAGGTAACATGAGAAATCCTCCAAGTTTTTATTTTGAACACATTTGGTCTAATAGTGATTGTACTATAAATGTTTTGAAGGTCTAGAGTCCAACTCGGATAAGAGCAAATGCCAAAAACAATTTGATGACTACAAAGAGTGTAAGAAGAAGGAGGTATATCATTCCTTTTCTTTTCACTTTTCTCTGGTCTATTAAGTTCGGTTAAAGAATATTTTCTGATTATTGCAGTTATATCTAGAACTAGAAATTTTCATGCTACTACGATGTTTTTATTGCATATTTCCGAATCAGATCTATCACTCTCTCTCTTGCTGTCTCTCTGTCTCTCTGTCTCTCTGTCTCTCTCTCTCTCTGTCTCTGTCTTTGTCTCTGTCTCTGTCTCTCTCTCTCTCTCTCTCTCAAATTGTTTTTTGGCAAGAATCTATCATCTATGGATTTGGGGAAAAAAAGAGTAATGAACAATTTATTATGGATGATTAAACTCTGGTTGAAAACTGACTTGGAGGTGGAAGATAGGTACATTTCCAGGGAAGATTTAATTGTATTATCATTATTTTTCACAAAGAATCGGAGTGATCTCTAGAATCATCTCAGAAACCGCCAATCCCAGTTCTAATTGGGATCTCCCAATTCTATCCTCTATGCTTCGTTGCCATTGGGGGGGGGGGGGGGTAGTATTCTTCTCGAAATATTGTCTAAGCTACAAGCATCTGTTCCTTGGTTGACTCATTGGGGACTGAGCTGCCCCAGAGTAAGATGAGTATCCCTTTTATCACATATTATATGGTTTTAATTCTCTCTCATTCCCCTTAGCATTGAAAACTCTCAAGGCTAGGATCATTGACTTTGCTTGGTCAATGATGGCTTCTAGCTTCATACGCGGTTTTGTTTCGGTTTTTTGTTAGATTGGCCTTTATGAAAATGAGTTTTGAGAATAATATGGGCTACGTTTTCAACAAATTATTCACGGTTTTAACTCTACCTATCCTTTTTTCCTTTTCAGGTAAAAAGTAGTCAAAGTTTAAGCCTGAGAAGTAGTCAAAGTTTGACTTGTTGCTTGTGATTACTCCCTGTTGTCTCCTAGCTTCATATGTCATCTTCTTTTGATTTGATAGGTTGGCCCACATGAACTAATCTACCCTAAAAGAGTAGCATGGCCAACCTTTTGACTGAGTAATTAAAGGCTTTGTCTCCCTCACGGCTTCAGTGTGTTGGAATAATCAACAGTTTGACTTTAAAGCTTGACATTAGCCAATGGTGTATTTTAGCTTCATATGCGGTCTTGTTTCTGTTTCATAGGTGGACCCACATGAACTAGTCTACACACAGCAATTTGAAAATCCTTGGTGTTGTGATTTGTTAGGCTTGGGATTAGTCAACAGTGAGATCTGATCTTCTTTTTGGTTCCACAGAGGGAGGCTCGGCTGGAGCGCAATAGAAGCAGATCGCTGTTTTAATGAGGGGAGTGGGCCCCCCCATCTTCGCAGTCAAAGGCTTATTCCATAATAACCCATGTCAGATCATTTGTGGTCTTTCTCATTCCTTTTTCTGTGCATCCTTGGAGTTTTGTCTGAATGATAGAATAAATAAGGTGATACTGATGTGCTCCATTGTTTGTGGGAGTCAACGGGGTTTTCTCCCCTCTTCTTCCCGCAGAGAGAGAGAGAGAGAGAGAGAGAGAGAGAGAGAGAGAGAGAGAGAGAGAGAGAACCTTGATGATCTCCTAAGGTGAACCATGCTTCGTGTTTTTGAGATGGGCAGATTAGTTTGTAACCATGATAATGGCATTCCAACCCAAATGATTTAGACGAAAAATAATGTGAATCTCTATTTGCAAACACCCAAATTAGAATTTGTGCGTTGACTTTTGTCCAAAAAATATATGTTAACCATTTGGGGCAAAACATGAAGAAAAAGATTAAATGAGAGGTCGGGGCGTTCTGACTCTCGTGCTGGCTTTCCTCATCAGTTGAAAATGTTGGACATTTTCCCCGTAAATATTGGGAACGGTTAGGATTCTCCATGAACAATCAAGGCAATCCATCATATGCTTACATGATAATCTGGAGACAGGATAGATGATTATGTAAATTGTTATGGCAGCCTTCAAAGTCAACGACATATCGAACATATGAGTTCCACAAAAAAATGATTGCTTAACATTATAAATATGTAAAAATGAAGTACAACTAGAAATTCTCATACAACAAAAATGTTGCCTTCTCTGTGATAGCTGCCACTGACAAGGGTGGAGAAGAAGGAAAAAGTGATTTTAGAAAGAAAAACAAAGGTTCGATCGAAGTGCAGAACCATCATTGTCGCCAAGAGTGGTTCGTATAAATGGAAAATTATATAACACTGAAATTTCTTACTTCGAAGAAAGAGTAGGGTAGAAAGAAAATGATCGATCTACGTACAGAGCCGTCATACTCACTGGTAATGGTTCACATGCATGAAGAATTATCTAACACTAAACATTTCTTAATTATGGCTGTGACAAACAAAAAAATTTAGCTTAACTTTAGTGATCGTACCTCGAGGTCTGGTTCTTTCACCAAAATGATGGGACAGGTTGCATGGAAAACTCCTTCGTATCTTCCAATGGCTGACTGCCAAGGATTCATAGTCAAGCATGTTTGCTTTGAAAAGTTCCAGGTTCTCCGAAATTTTCCATTCTCTTCAAGTGGCATTCTTCACATCACCTGAAGATGAATACACAATCCTTTGAGGACTCTTGAGTTGATAAATCTCATTTAAGTTGGCTCTATTCAAAGAAACCTCAAGAGAGATTTCAAAGGTTTGTCAAAAGGCTCATTTTGCAAGAGAAAGATGGGGATTTTGGAAGACAAACTTTAAGCAGAGACCGGTAAAAAGCTCCTTAAGTCAAAGTTTAGTATTAAAACTAAATGAACGAGAGAATAATGTGTTGCCCTCTAAAACGAGAAGCTAAAAGCCACTGAGGAGGCGGAGTATGGGGGACTCCCTACTTGGGTCTCTCTCTGTTCTGTGGATGGTAAAGCCCTTGGATAGGAGCTGCTTCATCAACCATGAGGCGATGAAGCCTCCCGCCCCCGTCACACAAACCCTTCTCTCCTTCGCCATGACCCAGCACCGCTCTTCTACCCCTCTCTCAGTTCTTTGTCTGCGTGAGTGCACCGAGTCTCATCTCCAATGCTTTACATAGCAAACAGAGAGAGAGAGAGAGAGAGAGAGAGAGAGAGAGAGAGAGCGTGTCAGAGAACACGGACCTAACAAGCTGTCACATGGGTCACTGTACCCAACCACATGCATCCCATATGATTGACCAATATCCAAGCTGCGGAGACTTTGTAAGACACCAGACACGTTCTTTAAGCACTGATTGACCACTCTACCAATAACATTCGTTGGTCACCATGCCGCACACCTTCACGTGCCAGCCTCTATTGTTGTACACTGCAATGTACCATGTCACATTAAACCCACGCATACTGCCGGGGCCCAAAGAAGCCACCACCAGGCTTTATGCCGGCCGTCAGTGCAACTATGTACCAAAACATGTCCGTAAACATAATTGTCAAACAAATGGGACAAAGAATCTCAACTCTAGGACATAGTGGGAAAAACCCTTAACATGGCTTTACTACCCTCCTTTTTATGTATCAACCATTTTCTCGAGGAGATTTGTTTGATAACACATGTTTCCCTTGGTGGGCACCACACAACAATTCATACACGTGACAATAGTAACTACCTCTACTAGTCACTTGTAGTTGAAGTCTGATCTTTGATGATATATTGACACATTCTTCGTCACCCTATGAGATATAAGAGAGGAAGAAAAGTTGGTGGGTCATCCTGAAGTATTACCTTAAGAAATTTCATAACATCATGCTTGATAAATTATCTACTATATTACCACCTATGTGTGATAGAAAAGATGCTAATTAATTGTTATCAATAGAATGTCATCTAGCTAGGGCCCAATGCCTCCACCACACGTAGAGTTAAGGACTTGTTTGATCAACTTGGAGATGCAGAAGTTTGAATCATATATTTCGTGTGTTACACCAAGTTGGACTTAAAGAGTGGCTACCACCAAGTTTGAATCAAGAGAGGAGATGAGTAGAAGATAACGTGTGTTACATGCTATGAGTCATATGAATTTACAGTAATGTCTTTTGAGTTAATCAATATCTATGTCATATTTTTTGTACTCATGAACCATATATTTCAACTTTTTTTAGACAAATTTATTATTATGTCTTTGGACAATATTTGGTATACAATCATACTATGCAAGAACATTTGTCACACCTATGATAATTACTTGAAACTTTTAAGCACCATCAACTATATTTGAACCCGAGAAAGTCTGCATTTGCTATTACAGAAGTGAAATTTCTTGACCATGTAGTTGGTAGAGGAAAAATATAAATTGATCATACGAAGGTGATGGTGATTGAAGAATGGTTGACGCCGATTGAGTTAAGGTCATTCTTAGGGCTTAAAAATTACTATCCCAAGTTGATAGGGAGCTTCTCTTAGATAGGCACACCTCTAACAGAGCTCTTTAAGGACTAGAAGTGGGTATGGTATGATGGTTGTCAACATGTATTTGATGACGTACATGCAACGATCATGAAGGAACCAATGCTCTAGTTTCTAAACTTCGACAACCCTTTTGAAGTATACACCGATGCGTCAAATGTAGCTATTAAAGGGATTTCAAGGACATCTCGTCGTATTTGAATGACAGAAATTAAGTGACACAAAGTAGCATTACTTGGTACATGTGAAGGAGATGACGATAATGCTTCACTTCTTATGAATATAAAGACAATACCTTTTATATAATTTCTTTATTATTTATATTAATAATGTGACCACTAGTTGTTTTGACTCTCATAATAAGTTATCTCCCAAATAGATCTATTGACAAGATTTCTTGGCCAGAGTACGACTTTTCACTCAAATACAAATTGAGACATACTAATGTGGTAGATGATATCTTGAGCTGACGAGGAACTATAGATGGAGTAGCCACCATCTCAACTAATACCACCAACATACAAGTAACATACACTATTGACTTAGTGGCCAAACACCTTATCCAGTGACATATACTAGGGAAACTTGACACTTCTAGATAGAGGATGGTATCCTTTATGTAGAGGGTTGTCGACCTTATGTACCACATGGAGGCCAACTTCAATATAGTCTCCTATATGAGACATATGATGCACCTCATGTAGGGTACCCCAAATAATAATGTACATTGGCTTTATTGGATGGTAGCTACTTTTGACTTAACATGGAGTGAGATGTAGAAATATGTATTCATTCGTGTTTGATCTGTCAACAAGACAAGGTGGAGAGATGAAATGCTATAGGAATGTTGGAGCAATTGCCCATATCATAGGGACTATGAGAGTCCTTGTTTATAGATTTCATCATAGGCCTCCCACGAGTGGGTGAGCATGATGATATTTATACCAACATAGTCTGAATGCAAGGTAGAAGAAGTGACTAAGTTATTCTTGACATGCATCATCAAGTTGTGAGGTATCCCATGAGATATAGTTTTTGATCATGACCCACACTTCACAAGATGATTCTAGTCAATTATCTTCACCCTTCTTAGCATTGAACTTAACTTCTCTACCATTCTTTATCCACAAATAGATGGTTAAATAGAGATATTAAATGGGATGCTGAAAGTTTACCTTAAGTATTATGTCATGACATGACATGACATGACAATTGAGTCGACATACTAGATGTCACTCAATTTGTCTATAATATCAAATAGTGTGTCCACATGATACTCACCATTCAAACTAGCTACTAGCAGGCAACCACTAACACCCCCAAAGCTTGTGAACAACGGGGTGTAGGGTACTTCTCAGCTACCTACCACTTTGTCAAGAACTGCAATTACTTCATTGAAGAGGCCAAAAGGTGTTGGCAAAAGTAACTTGGAGGATGAATGAAAATATTGATAAGCACTGATAAGAGGTCGAGTATGTAGTAGGGGATTGGGTATTACTTCATATCTACTGTACTAACAAGATACTCCAAAGACAAAAGTGGCATAATAGATTGATTCCTCAGTTTGATGGACCTTTTCAAATAGTGGCTCCAGTGAGGTGATTAGCCTACTAGCTTCAACTTTCACCACACCTCTTAGTACACTCGGTTTTTCATGTCTCTCTATTGAAAGCTTATCATGCATAGGAGGATAACTTGGAGTGGAACTGACCACACCAACCTCTGCCATTGATCCATACACATTACTCCACCTCACTATCAGTAATATTATAACATCATGTGGTTGACAAGGCTAGCCACAATCATGTCCACCATAACACTTTCTACCTCATTTAGTAAACATGACAACCACATGAAGCAGCTACGTGAGAGAAGGATGTGGACCTTTGGTAATTTAAAGACCTAATCTGAGCTTACTAGGACTAACATGATCCGACGAGGATGTCGAATCTCACAAGAGGGTAATAATGTTACTAAGGTCCTTCCACAGGAACCACCTATGGCAACAATACTATATCACACTCGACAGGAGTGCATGTGTGGAGGATCAGAAGACACATCACCAATGCACACCGGCATGACACCCATGTGCAGTGGCAAGGCACTTGTGTGCGTTGGCACAATGCCTACACATGGTGACACAGTGCCTGTGTGTGAAAGCTAGATTCTTGTAGTTTAATTTATTTTATTATTTTATTTTTGTGTGTTAACTTACATAATAATTATAATACTATATTTTTTAATTAGGAAGTTTGAAGTTAAAGGACTTAATGTAATTTTTTATTTAAAAAAAGAATAAAATATAAAAATATCACTGCCCACTAGTAAGTTGACACTTAGTAGTAGACCTAGAGGAGTGCTACACTCAAGTGGGTAGACCCAAACTAAGGAAATCACGAGTTGGGCTCGAATGACAAAGGATTCGCTTCATATATGTATGTGTCACTCCCCTATCACATTCTAAGGGCCAACTAGTTATGGAGCAAGGAGCATTATACAAATGTGTGCATGAGGGCGGACCACCTATTACCTTCTCTCAAGATGGTCCTAGACATTCGTTTTATTCGGGAGAAGGGATATTTGCACTAAAAATGTAGCTTTGATATATATTCAGTTCAATCGCTAAAAAACTTCTGATGTGGGACTAAATGTTTTCATCTATTTTAGGACAATAGTCTAGAGTGCAGTGTGATCTAGTGGTTGTTAAGCAGGCCATGTTACCATATAAGGTAGATCTTGGGACAAACAAACCGCCACGATACTCGAAATGTGAAGCGTTCTATTGGCAGCTTGCGAATCCTATGTCATTCAGCATGTATGTGACCAGAAATGATGATCCGACGGTGAATAAAGTGCCATGGTACTAGGGACTTAAGTTTATGCTCAGTAGTGATTTGTGGTGGGTTAATCATGCATTGCTTAGTGCACCATGCGATCAAGCACATCTGATCTAGCAACATGCAAAGCACCATGATATTGGAAACTTAAGTTCTTACACGTATCATCGCTAAGGATAAAAGATAATAATTAATTGTTATTTTATAAAATAAATATTATTAATTATCATTATTTTCTCCTTTTGTGTGATCAATGCTTCTAGCAATTGACAAATTTGTTTCTTTTTTCTCGATTGCACTCAAGGCCTCCGGTGAGTGGTCAACTCTTCTCCTCTCTCCCTATACAAAAGTGATAGCATGGTTGACTCCTCTTTTTGGCAAATCTCTTTGATAAGTAGTTTATCACTTCCAAATGATACTTCTGGGACTTCCAGCATAGTGTGGCACGTTTGAATGAAACCAACCATCACACCGGTGTCTCTAGTTGCTCAAGAGACATACTAAACTTGTACTATGATTTATTTCCTACATTTTTCATTTATTAACTTTTTACAGTAAGTTATTTCCATTTCATAAATGTTTCAATTGAAATGAGTAAAATTATTTTAAATCTTAATGAATAATCTTCGTTCTTTTTTTGAATCCTCCAAAACTCACATGAGATTAAGCTAAAATTATGTCCAACTTATTTTTTATTAATTTTCAGTAGAATATTAAAATATTTATGTTCTTGACATTTTGCAAATAATATTAAAAATTAATGTTATTTGTGAAATGTCCAAATGAATGTAAAATTAATGAGATTAAAGGTTGATTAATGAGTGTGAAACTATTAAAACAAGATGGTGACATTCACAGTTGACCACATGTCATGTGTATGAATTCTGAAGTACACATTCATTGGAAATCATGATTACTCTGAAAATGAGTTGACCATGTTACTCTTTGTTTTTATTATTGTCTTATTTCTTTTCCTCTCTCTTATAAGATTTCTTTTCTCTCCATCTCACATGAGATCTCTCTCTTTCTCCCCTTCTCTCTCGATTGATCTCTCTCTCTTTCTCTCTTTCTTTCCTTTTGTTCTTCGCTTTCTTTATTCCTCTCATCTCTCACTTCTATTTTATTATTTTTGTAAAATATTAATAAAATATCAAAATCACTCTATATATAAACTAAATTTATTTTTTTCAAAGAATTAATAAATTTCTCTATGTTTGACCTAAGTACATCTATATTAATATATTATTAAGTCTTAGTTATAAATATTATTAGATAATGAGTACTTAAACACAACGACAAGTGCACATCATTGTGCATGGGGGTACGGTATCTACGCACAACAATGTGGCATACACATGTGATGACACAACATCTGTACTCGTTGGTGAGGCACCGCACATGGTGACATGGCACCTGCGTACAATGGCATGGCACATGCACATGTTGACGTGGCACTTGTGTCCAATGACACAAAATGCATGCACATAGGCATGCCATGTACACAAGAAGGTGCAACAATGTTTTGAACGATTATGACATGGCAAAAGTCATGTGAGCAGATGATGATGTCATGAGGATGCCATCATCCAAAGGAGGAGCAGAGGATGTCACTACCTTGACATCAACTGGAGTGAGAACACTTAGTCCCATACCAGAAATAAAAGGAATGTTTCCTAGGGACCATCTATAAAGAGGGACCTCTAGCCTAATGTATGCTTCACTTTTGGTTATCAAGAATATCCATATTGGTCATACATGAGTTTGTTGGAGATTTGAGTGCTAAACACCTAACAAGAATTTCATGTAGAGTGATCTACTTGTCACAATGTATGTTAGCAATTATCACGTGTTGTGGGTATGCAACAACAAGTACTATCTCTTGTAGGTAGAAGAGATGGCATCAGGGAGGGAGGGGGGTGGCCGTTAACGTGACTTAGTCGTTGTATATTAAATCACGCAAATTTAAAATTTATAAAACTAGAAAATATAATTTTTTATATATTTAGAAGTATTTCTGAACAAATATATCAATTATAATTCAATAAAACTTCCAAAAATAGCGTTAATTTTCTAGGTCAATTACAGCGATGTAATATAATATCTGGCAATTATTTAGAATTTTCTGCAAAGAATACTATTTTCTATGAATTTTATACTAGGAAATGAAAAGGAAATATATTTAAAATTCACAAAAAAAAGGAAATAGGGGTGTGGACGTCAAGATGATGTCAGCACCTGACGAACGCGAATCGGGCGAAAATAGAGTTTCGCCCAGTGATTCTTACGTAAGCGATTACAGACGATTTAATTGATCAAATTAAGATCTATAAAAGCCGGAAGAATCGTAATGAAATGAAGTATATCTGGGTAAATTTAAAATTAACAAATTATCACTACATGAAGCGTAAAGTAAGTTGAAAGTAGGAAAACAAAGTTTCGGCGTCGCGGCGGCAATGCGTCGGTGATGCACCGGAGTTCTGAGTGTTCGGGAGGATTGTCGTGCAGTGTCCACGGCCTCGAAGGCTCTCCTTGGACAAAGACGACGTGGACAAGCTCTAGATCTCCTTGCAAAGTCTAGAGATTAATGAAATGGGTCGTCGAATCGTCTCCGGCGGCTGTCACCCGGCAGAGTGAAAAAATAGTGACTTTGCGGCTCTCTAGCGGCTGTCACCCGATAGAGAGGAGCTGGATGGAGGTGGGGCGCGTGTTAGGGAGCTTCATCCTCAGGTCCGCGCAGCAAGAGGAGGCTCTTCATCGCATCTGGTACGCTCTCAGGAGGTGGCGACTTGTCTCCTGGCGGATCGTCCTCTTCCCGACGATGGCTTGTTCGTCGATCAATCGGAGATGATTTACTCGATGGATTTGTGATCCTTTTATCGCGAATCGTTCAGCAATTTTAGTAGCAATGCTCCGCGAATCGCATTGACGAGATTTTCGCCGATGATCCAGCGATTCTCATTGCTTAATCCTTCATCGGCGATCTGCAGGAAAGTCACAATAATCAGATAAAAATATATGACTTTTGACTCTGGGAGGATTCGAACCCGCGCCGGTTGTCCGCCCCTTCTGAGGAAGGTGTGACACGGGTTTAGTCCCACATCGGTTGTGCACCGATTTTTCGGGTGAATATATAGTGATGTTACATTTCTAAGCAAAGTTCCTTCTCTCGCGTGTACGACCACTCCTTGCCCCACAGCCGGCTGGCCACCGATGACATGGAAGGGGAGTGGCGCACACGTGCCCCTATCTGTCCAAGCCGCTCAAGCCCCTGCTCGCGGCTACTCCCCGACTGAGCTTCCGACCCACTTGCGGGCCCGGCTGGCCGGCGGGTCCCCCTCATTTTGTCTTATTTCTTTTTCTTCATTTATCTCAAAAGCAAGACTGTAAAAATCATATAAATTCATGTAAAATCACATAATTACCTAAAAATTCACATTAATCAACTGAAAACCACTTTTCACACTTTAACACAAATATAAGTCTATTTATCATGAGTTAAGGCTAAAACTATATTATTTACTAATTATTAACTCATGATAATGAAGACTTATCACCTAGCGAACACAAATCAGGCAGAAATAGAGTTCCGCCCGACGATTCTTACGTAAGCGATTACATACGATTTAATTGATCAAATTAAGATCTATAAAAGCCGGAAGAATCGTAATGGAATGAAGTATATCTTGGTAAATTTAAAATCAATAAATTATCACTAAATAAAATGGAAATTAAGTTGAAAACAGGAAAACAGAGTTCCGGCATTGCGGCGGCGATGCGTCGATGATGCACCGAAATCCTGAGCATTCGGGAGGACCGTCATGCAGTGTCCACAGCCTCAAAGGCTCTCCTTGGACAAAGACGACGTGGGAAATCTCTAGATCTCCTTGCGAAGTCTAGAGATCAATGAAATGGGTCGTCGAATCGTCTTCAACGGCTGTCACCCGGCGGAGCAGAAAAACAGTGACTTTGCGACTCTCCGGTGGCTGTCACCCGACAGAGAGGAGCTAGATGGAGGTGGGGCGCGTGTCACGGAGCTTTATCCTTAGGTCTGTGCAGCAAGAGGAGGCTCTTCATCGCATCCGGTATGCTCTCAAGAGGTGGCGACTCGTCTCTTGACGAATTGTCCTCTTCCCGACGATCGGTTGTTCGTCGATCAATCGGAGATGCTTTACTCGATGGATTCGCGATCCTTTTATCGCGAATTGTTCAGCAATTTTAGTAACAATGCTCCGCGAATCGTATTGATGAGATTTTCGCCGATGATCCAGTGATTCTGGTTGCTTAATCCTTCATCAGCCATCTGTAGGAAAATCGCAATAATTAGATAAAAAATATGAATTTTGGCTCTGGGAGGATTCGAACCCGTGCCGGTTGCCCACCTTTTCTGAGGAAGGTGACGCGGGTTTAGTCCCACATCGCTTGTGCGGCGAAGTGTCTGGTGAATATATAGTAATATTACATTTCTGATTAGGTCCCTTTCTCGCGTGTGTATGACCACTCCTTGCCCCACAGTTGGCTGGCCACCGGTGACGTGGAAGGGGAGTGGCGCACACGTGCCCTTATCGGTCCAAGCCACTTGAGCACTTGCTCGCAGCTACTCCCCGACTGCACTTTCAACCTGCTTGCAGGCCCGGCTGGCCGGCGGGTCCCCCCTATTTTATTTTATTTTTATTTTTATTTCTTTTTCTTCATTTATCTCAAAAGTAAGATTGTAAAAATCATATAAATTCGTATAAAATCACATAATTACCCAAAAATTCACGTTAATCAATTGAAAACACTTTTCACACTTTAACACAAATATAAGTCTATTTATCATGAGTTAAGACTAAAACTATATTATTTACTAATTATTAACTCATGATAATGAAGACTTATCACACCCCCCAACTTAAATCATTGCTAGTCTCTTAGCAATGGAATTACAAAAATAAAAATTTACAAATCTCAAACATCATATTTCAATACATAAAAAAATAAAATTAGAAATGATGTACCTTTAGACACTTTGGATTCTTATATCAAGTATTTAAGAATGATGTCAACTACTTAAATATTTAAGCACTCCATTCATTAATAAATACTTCCTATTAATAAACCATAAAATGTGATCAGGCCACTAACTAGAGAACCACATGAGTCTCCTTCAGCTCTCCTATTGAAAATTTGTGAAAGACCTCAGTAGGGAGCAAATTCACGCTCGCTCCCAAATCAAGCAAAACATTAAAGAATGTAATTTCCCCAATTCGACATGTAATCAATGGAGCCCCAAGATCTTTACACTTCCTTGACAAGGAATGAGAGATCACTACACTGGCTTCCTCATAAAGTGTTATCCTTCAAGGTGATCTACGTGGTGTGTATAAGTTTTTCAAAAACTTTGCATAAGTAGGAATGTGCTTGATCGCATCCACCAAGGGGATGGTGATCTGAACCTATTGAAATATTTTCATTAGCTCTTCATCAGGTTCTACTCTCACTCTCAATTTGGGCTCAAGTGCCTTAGGAAATGGCATCACTTTGGCTTGCCCTTTTGGGTCAGTTGTTTCTGGTTTCTCAAGGCCCACTGATCCCTCAGGCCTTAAGTGTCTCAATTGCCCTTCCCCATCTGAGAGTAGGCTGTTGCAGTCATCCTTAGGATTTAGTATGGGATAGGTGTCAACACTCCCTTCAAATCGATCTTTGATGACTTTTCTATTCCTCAAAGTGGTCACAGCTTTCACGTTCTCAAAATGTTGAGATGTCAAAGCTTGTTGTGCTGCAAAATATTGATTGATTACGAGGATTACTAGTGGGTTGACTAGGCAGTTGTCCTACTTCTCTTCTAGGGTTAGTGATTGCTAATTTTCCTATCTCCTTTTATAATTTTGTATGTTTTGTTGATGCTGGTGTTGTATCTGATTATTTTTCTACTGCATCTACAATAGATTGTGTCCATTTTCATCTAAGTTTGTTTTAACTACAATATTTCTTTTCTTGAAGTTGATGTTGCATCATTTGCATCATCTGATTCATCATTTGTTGCAGCATTGCAACAGATGAATTGGACTGTGTTGGATCTATATTTATGCTTCGTTGATTCGAATTTGGGCCTGCAGGAGGTTGGTTAAATTGAGCATTTCCTGATAACTCAAATGCTGGCCTAAATCCACCTGAGTAGTTATGAGGTGGTTGGTATGAATATGGTTACTTCTGACTTGTCACATAAGGGGGAAGTGCTGCTACTGGTTGAGATGAGAAAAAAATTGAGGATGCAGCTGGTGGGTTCAAGTAGTTGTTTGGGTTTTTCTAAGAAAAAAATGGATGAGTTCTCCAACTATGTTCTTGAGCAGCATTAACTTGCTCCAGTGCACCCATATTCGTTGAACGTAATTGTGGGCACTGACGATCGTAATGAACATTACTGCCACACACCATACACCTTGTGTATGGGTTTTGGTGTTGCAATCCTTCTAAACCAGCTACATGTTGATTTTGCTCGGAATGATGGAAAAGACGATCACACAATTGATCAATCTTTTGGTGAACTTTATTCGGCTCTGCTCTCCACTCCTTTTCCTCTGAATTTCTAACTTCATGAACCCCTCTCCTCTTTTCTCCTGTGCTACGATTATAAAAGGCAAAGGATTCCCTATCAGCAGAATTTTCACTAAGTGTTTCATACAATTGGCACATCTCTTCCTCAGCCTTGTTCATGAATGCCCCACCACAAGTTGCATCCACTAAAATTTATTTTGTTCTAAAATTCCATCATAAAAGACTCAATTAATTTGTCATCCATCTCTTCAATAGCTCCTTAAACCTTTCCCATGCTTCATGAAAGGTTCCCCTTGGTTTCTGTGTAAAATTTAAAATTAATTTCCTCATAGCATGTGTTTTTCCTATAGGATAAAATTTATGTAGAAAGACTTGCTCGATCTCCTGCCAAGAAGTCAACTCTTGATTTAATGAGATCAGCCAACCTCGAGCTTTGTCATGTAAGGAAAAAGGAAACAGCTTCATTCAAAGTGCCTCTTGTGGGATATTGGAAAAATGCACCAGATCACAGGTAGATAAGAAATTTTCTTTGTGCTGATGCAGCTCTTCATTTGGTAAGCCATGGAATGTGGGAAGCATTTGAATCATGCGATGCTTGATATCAAACTGCATATCATGTGCTAATGGTATTCTAATGTGTGATGATGGTCAATAGAAATTTGGTGTGTAATGGTCGCGCATAGGTCTATAGGTGTGAGGATTTTCTAAATTTTGTGAACTACCTTGGTTCCCTATGTTGGTAGGGTGAGACTCTTGTTCATTTTTCCCCCTAGAACTTTGTCCTCTCTCTCCTTCAACTGCTACATCAGGTTGTTTAAGGCTCTTTCTCCCATCTATATTTTTGGATAATCAGTATACTATAGAATTTGTACGAAAGTTTTGGAGAAAGACAACATGTTCAATGAAAATTTGGACAAAAATTAACTTTCTGTATGCTAATTTAATTCAGTAAAAGATAGTGCTCAGAAATCAAAAAGGCATAATAACTGACGTGAGAGTTTAACATGTTGTGTTTTTTTTAAATGGTAAAAACACAAGTGAATGTGAGAATTTAACGTTGTGCTGAAATAAACTGAAATAAGGTAAAACAAGAGATCTAGATGGACTGGAAATAACTGGCGTGAAATAAAATTCAGCAGAACACAAAGAAAGTATTTATAAATTTTCAGAATTTCAAATATAGAATAAATAGGAACTAACAAAATTGTCACCAACTAGAATCAAACTGAAATGCAGTACTGCACACAATTATATATCCTGATTACTATTATTATTTTGAAAGACTAACATAGAGCAATAAAATTCAACTCAATTTACATTCTGAAATTAGTCTTCACTGATGTAAATTGACGATTTTAAGAAAAAATCCTCCTTGACAATGGCACCAAAAATTGATTGATCAAAAATCGTTGTTATTAAGATAATCTATCTTACATTTATAAACTGAGTTTCAAAGGTTAAGTTTCTTGGGAAATTAGTGAAAAACTAACTCAAACTCAAGGAGGATTTGAAATCAAGGCATTTTCATCATTAATTTGTTAATTCCAGCGGTGATGTTCACTATAGGATTTGTCAAGGAGGACAAATTCAGCCAATGCTAATTTTTGTTGCCCAATAATCTTCGTGAATCACTAAAGCCACATATTAAATCAGATCCTTCAATGAATTGATAGAATCAATTCTCTAAATTGGAAAGAGGCGTAGGGCTCACAAAAATGGAAATTGCATTAAATTGAAACCATAATTTTCTTACAACGGGGGAAGTAAAATGAGAACACAAATAAACTTTTAATTAAACTTTTAACTACTCCCACTTAATCTGACATCCGTGGGGAGAAATGACGCCACACGTAGGTGGAGAGCTTGATGGACCTTGGTTTGCTGCACCAGGCAAGGGTGCTTGGCACGCCAGGTAGGGGTGGTCTTCACCGCTTGGTTGCTCCAAGGCTTCGCATGCAAAGACCTTGAGCGACTTTCGACTCAAATCCACTAGCGCTGTCACTCACCGGTGAAAAGGGGGAGGAGATGAAGGAGGTCCGTTGAGGTTGCCGACGGCACCAAAAAAGGAGAAGGTTTGAGATGGTCAGCTCGAGATGGAAACTGCACCTAGGGTTGAGAGGGGAGAGAAATCGAAAAGTCCCCCCAAATGTCATGCCCTCCTTTGCTTAATACATCAATTCATTTTTACTTTCCACATTTGCCCCTACAACCATGGATAATAACAACCAAGTATATAAGCATTAAAGAAAGAATTATGAAAAATTCATAACAGATTTTTAAAGATAAAAATAGAGGACAACCACTGATCACCTAACATTATATTACATATAAGTATTAATGTATTTGTGTCATTTTCGTGCATATTTTATTCTCTATTATTGAACTTGATCTACTTGTGGTGATAATAATCTACCAAGTTATCAGGTACTGTATTAATATCACAATTAAGCAAAGAAAACAAAAGTATTGAAATTGATGGACCTATGAGGCATCGATAGAGTACTTGCCCTAGTAAATTGATCACAACCTTCTATGAATGAAGAAGACCTTGTGGTGACTGAAAATGGTGCAAAATGACAATCATTAATAACACTTATTCTTATCTCTAGCATAATTTAAATCCACTATTGGAGGATCTGTGGACACCAATTTTGTATTGTGTTGGAAGGAGCATGAAATCATCCTCGACTTCATGACTATCAACATTCATCACAAAATAATTATGCAAAATTCAGGAAAATAACGTCACTACATCATGTACATTGACACTTAGACTTTTCAACTCTAACCTTTTCACTTGCCTCATAGTCTTTTGTACATCTTTATTGTGGCTTTATGGGGATCTTCAATTGTAATCATAACTGATTGTTTACTAAATATGCATCTATGTGGGTGAACATAAGGTATTAATCTTTAATGAAGTTACAATGTTGAGCTCCTATAACGATTTATTGGATACTCACATGACAACCCTAATGATTATGACCTGGTACATAAATGAGATTTGTCACTAAGTCGTGTTAAATTGAATAAATATGCCTAATTTAGGCTTGCACCCAAGACTATATCGCTTTAGATAGACATAGGCAAGAAAACCCAGGACAGTGTATTTAGGCATAAAAACACTTCTTGAGATAGGTATAGCCACCTAATTGTACCCCTCTCAATGACTCTCGAGTTAAGCCTTTATACATGTTACTGGTAGTTATGGAATTATTTTATACGCTCATTTTGGTCACTTATATATGTTCTTAATCCCAGCTTTCTTTTGATCAATGCTTTTTGGAAAGACATTCCAATACTGTCTCTTGTGTAATATTTTTCTAAAATGATAAGGATCAAGTTTAGGCCCTTTTTTCTACATTTAGAGAATACATTCATTGCTCTAATGAACTGAGGACATCCAGCTCTTACTTTCAGTGATGTGTGTCACGTGGGTGACATTTATTGTTTTGGTTTGCGTTTTAACTCCATTTGAATTCTAATTTAAATGATTTCATATTACAACCAGCTATATCCAAGTGTACAATGTATGGTTGTCAGTCATTTTTTGTTCCTTGGTATGATGCTAATATGAAATTTATATGGCAATTATAAAACTTTTCATTACATTGAACTTGACACATATGTTCTCTTTTGTTTTATGATTGTCACAATTTTTTATATTACCTTTCTATCATATAGACTCAAAAGTATAATCCACATCTAAATAAAAATGCCTCCACCATTTTCTTCTTAGTCACACATCACAATGTCTTTAGGTAAGTGAACACACATAGAGGAAGAGCAGTCCTGGGCCATGGCGAAGGAGAAGAGAGTTTGTGTGACAGGCTGGAGGCTTCGTCACCTCTTGGTTGGTGAAGCTGCTCCTCTCCAAGAGCTTCACCGTCCACGGAATAATGAGAGACCTAAGTAGGGAGTCCCCTCTACTCCACCTCCTCGTCAGCTTCTAGTTTTTTATTCTTACCAATTTATGTGATTCTTCTGGCTTCTCATTTTAGAGGGCAACACATTCTTCTCTCGTTCATTTAGTTTTAATACTTAACTTCGACTTAAGGAGCTTTTTGCCGGTCTCTGCTCTTCCAAAAGTTGCATCTTTCTCTTGCAAAATGAGCCTTTTGATAAACCTTTGAAATGTCTCTTGAGGTTTCTTTGAATGGAGCCAGCGTAAGTGAGAGTAACCGACTCAGTAGTCCTCTAAGGGTGTGTATTCATTTTCAGGCGATGTGAAAATGCCCACATGAAGAGAATGGAAGATTCGGGGAACCTGAAACTTTTCAAAGGAGACATGCTTGACTATGAATCCTTAGCAGTCGCTGTTGCAGGATATGAAGTAGTTTTCCATGCAGCTTGTCCTGTCATTCTGGTGAAAGAACCAGACCCTGAGCTACGATTGCTAAAGTTAAGCGATCATTTTCAAAGGATAATTTTTTTGTTTTGTCACAGCCATAATTAAGAAATTTTCAGTTTTAGATAATTTTTCATGCATGCAAAGGATTACTAGTGAGTATGACTATTCTGTACGTAGATTGATCATTTTCTTTCTAAAACCTTTTTTTCCTATCCCTACTCTTTCTTCGAAGTAAGAAAATTTAAGTGTTATAGAATTAATAACATTTTATTGTTGATCGATCAGTATGATCATTTACTAATGATTCTGATGATGGATAGTCTTGGCGAGTATGATGCTTCTGCATGTATATCACACCTTTTTTTTTCTTTCTGAAATTACTTTTTCCTTCCACTCTACCCTTGCTAGTTTGAGTTATTACACGGAACACAAGTTTTTTGTTGAATGGGACTTCTGACCGTACTTCATTATTTCGTATTCGATATAATGTTAAGCAATCAGCTTTTTCGTGGAATGCATATGTTCGATATATCATTGAGATAGAAGGCTACACCTCGATGAGGATCACCAAGATTAATCAACCATAACAATTTACGTAATCATCATTCCTACCTCCGGATAATCGTGTAAACATATGATGGATTGCCTTCATTATTTATTGACAATGTTCCTTTACCCTGACACTTATGGGGAAAATGTCCATTCTTTTCAACTAGTGGGGAAATTCAGTTCGCAAATCAGAACGTCCTGGTCTCCTATTTAATCTTTCTTCATATTGTTGCAGATAGAAATGGTTCATCCCGCACTTGACGAAATGCTTAATGTGCTGAAAGCATGTTCCAAGGCAAACGTTAGATGGGTTTTCATGGTTTCGTCTCTTGCTGCCATCCTCAGGAACCCGAAATGTCCATTTGAGAAGATCATGGATGAGGACACGGTCTGATAAGGAGTCCAGCAAGAACAACAGGGTAAGTTACGGTGCAATTCTATGCCAAGTTAGGATTCTAGAAGTGGTCAATTTCTTACATTTATATACTATATATTCTGAGAGCATTTAGTTTATTTTGACGACTAAAAACATGAGATTTAACAAAAGCGTTGTCAACCATTATGTTACGATGAGACAATAGTAAGTTTGCTAGTGATTTTGATCACACACTTTATGATAACAATGCTTGTTTGGATTGCTAGTGAGTGTTCTAAGGGTTTTGCATTTCATCATAATAACTCAGAACTAGAAGCAATAAAATATATTTAATAGATTCTTACACTGATATATAGATCTATATCTATATACTCCTTTTTTCCCTCCATATGCTGAGTTTCTATCCATGAAAAGCATGGCAAAAATTTGCCCTCATTTTGTGCAAAATAGTCATAAATTTTCTTACTTGTTGAAAAAAATAGTAAACCAAATAAATTTCTCATTTATTGTAGATTTTCACAAGGATTATTTGACCTATATTTCATAATCATTGGAGCAGGTCTGAGATGATCCTTATTATCTTGTTGCATGGTTTCTATGTAGTTGTATGCATTATGCTATGAGTATTTTTTCAATGTACATCATCACTTATAAGGAGGATTTGTGATTTTTCTTTGGTGTAGTGTTGGTATAACTTAGTGACGTGACTTAGTCGTTGTATAGTAAATCACACAAATTTAAAATTTATAAAACTAGAAAATACAAATTTTTAGATATTTAGAAGTATTTTAAAACAAATATATCAATTATAATTCAATAAAACTTCCAAAAATAGTGGTAATTCTCTAGGTCAATCACAGGGATGTAATATAATATCGGGTAATTATTCAGAATTTTCCTCAAAAAATAATATTTTCTATGAATTTTATACTAGGAAATGAAAATGAAATATATTTAAAATTCACAAAAAAGGGAAATAAGGGTGTGGACGTTAGGATGACATCAGCGCCCGACAAACGTGAATCAGACGAAAATAGAGTTCTACTTGATGATTCTTACATAAGTGATTATAGATGATTTAATTGATCAAATTAATATCGGTAAAAGCCGAAAGAATTGTAATTGAATGAAGTATATCTTGGTAAATTTATATCACACAAATTATCACTAAATGAAGTGGAAATTAAGTTGAAAGCAGAAAAACAGAGTTCCGGCATCATGGCGGTGATGCGTCGGTGATACACCAGAATCCTGAGCATTCAGGAGGATCGTCGTGTAGTGTCCACAACCTCGATGGCTCTCCTTAGACAAGGACGACGTGAGCAATCTCTAGATCTCCTTGCGAAGTCAAGAGATCAATGAAATCAGTCATTGATAAGTCTTCATTATCATGAGTTAATAATTAGTAATTAATATAGTTTTAGCCTTAACTCATGATAAATAGACTTATATTTGTGTTAAAGTGTGAAAAGTGGTTTTCAGTTGATTAACATGAATTTTTGGGTAATTATGTGATTTATTATATAACGACTAAGTCACGTCAAATTTTGGCGCCGTTGTTGGGGATGTATTGCATAATATTTAGTATTTTTCTATTTTTCTCTTAGAGTACACAAAATAAAATAAAATAAACTCTTATTTTATTTTTTCTTGTCAAATTATTTTTTTTAGAAAAAGGGAACAAAAAGAAGCAAGGCAAGGACTGGAGCATACTAAAGGAGGGTAACAATTTCTAAACTTTTCCCTCGAATTTATTGATTTTTTATGCATGGTAGAAGATCCTTGCATCCAAGGCTAGAAAATCCTTTCATTATTTCATTCAAAACTAAAAATCTGAAAGAAAAATTAATTTTGATGGATCTTGAAGGAAGTACAGATCAAATTGAGAGCAATCCTATGGCCATGAAAAATCATTATATCCCTTATTCATTTCAAAGAGCATCCAATATTAGAGTCCCATTAGCACCCACTGTTAAATTCGAAATAAATCCAGGAATTTTTCAAATGCTCCCTAATTTTCATGGATTGCTTTTAGAGGAACCTCATCAGTACTTAGAAAAATTTCATATGGTCTGTGATTTAGTTAATCTCCCTCAAGTTACACCGGAAATTATTAAGATGAAATTATTTCCTCATACACTTAGGGACAAAGCTAGTCATTGGCTATCCACATTAGATAGAGAATTAACTAGCTGGAAAGACATAGAACATGCCTTTCTTTGAAAAAAATTTCTCTTAGGTAAAACTCAAAATATGAGAAAACATATATGGAGTTTTTCTCAAAGACTAGGAGAAACTTTACATGAGACATGGGAAATATTCAAAGATTTACTTAGGAAGTGTCCTCATCATGCTATACCCAAGTGGTAGCTCAATATAATTTTTTATGATGGATTATTAGAACAACATAGAAATATGGTTGATTTTATAAGTGGAGGAGCTTTTATCCTCCGCCGAAATCCAACTCATGGAATTGGAGGCTCAACCAACTATTGAACTTGATGCCGAGGTTTAGAAAGTCGCCCACCATAGGCATGGTCGCGGCAATCTCTGCGCCTCCCTCCCCTTTAAGTTGCTCCCCGAAGTCGATGAATGACTTGAAGTAGCTGTCGTCCACCTTGTTCACTGCCTTGCGGATCACCTGTGCCACGTGGGAGTAGCTCACCCAGAGTACCTCTCCAGCCGTGAGTTTTGGATAGGCCCAGAGCACAAGGTTGCCATAGTACTCCGGTGGCACGGGGGGCCTAATCCTCTGCCGGCCGTTGACAACAAGTTTGACTTGGGTCATCTCATCGTCAGGAAGCTTGCGCGCAAAGGTCGTCTTCTTCCACATGTGGGTGAGGACGCTCAAGAATGTGCTCACTTGACGGCTGGGGTCGCCACCATTGACCATGCCCTTGAGCTTGCCGATGAACTCCTTGGAGAAGTGGAAGGACTGGTTACACATCTTGGACAGGTTGACTCCGACATCCCCCCCAGGCCGGGTGGCTCCACTCTTGCACCTAAACTTCGTGCCATATTTCTATAAAAGCTTGCCCAAAGGTGCTCTTTGTAAATCTTGCCCAAAGGTGGCTCCACTCTAGCTGATCAGCATTTCACTGAGGAAGAAAGCTTGCCCAAAGGTGCTCTTCCGATCTTCCACATCACTAGCAAAGTTGCTATCACTATAGTTGACTAATTTTGCTTTTGTCTCCCCTTTCTCATAGACTAAGCCATAGTCAATTGTACCTCTTACGTACCTTAGAATGCACTTGATCCCTAAGAGATGTTCTGAAGTGGGGTGCTCCATAAACTTGCTTAGTAATCCCACAGAGAAAGTTAGATCAGGGCGAGTGTGAGTCAAATACCTTAGACTTCCGATGAGGCTACGGAAGTAGGTAGAATCAACTGACAATCCTAAATTCTATTGATTAAATTTATCTCTAGCTTCAAGTGAAGCATGGACTGGATTGCACTCTCACATCCTCGCAACATCTTGTTTTTAAATGTATAGGCTCTGATAAGTCTTCATTATCATGAGTTAATAATTAATAAATAATATAGTTTTAGTCTTAACTCATGATAAATAGACTTATATTTATGTTAAATTATAAAAAGTGATTTTAAGTTGATTAACCTGAATTTTTAACTAATTCTATAATTTTTTATAAATTTATATGACTTTTATAGTCCTATTTTTAAGATAAATGAAGAAAAAGAAATAAAAATAAAAATATAGCAAAAGGGGGGGGACCTATCGATCAACCAGATCTATAAGCAGGTTGGAAGTATAGTCGGGGGGAGTTGTGAGCAAGGGCTCGAGTGGCTAGGACCAATGGGGGCACATGTGCACCACTCCCCTTCCACGTCACTAGTGGCCAACTAGTTGTGGGGTAAGGAGTGGTCGTACACACGGGAGAAAATGACTCATTGCTTGCAAATGTGATATTACTATATATTCGCCTAAAACTTTGGCACACAAACGATGTGGGATCACACCTTCTCCCGAAAGGCTTTGAAGATTTTAATACCTAAACTACCCCTTAATTATAATAGAGATATACTATGATGACGTCACTTAATAAGGGCATTATAGTACTTTTTTCAATCTCTCTCATACAAGTGGACAACTAGTGTAGGTCTGAATTCTCTTAGAGCCAAAACTCGTATTTTTATTTGATTATCGCGACTTTCCTACAGATCGCTAGTGAAAGATTAAGCCGGTAGAATCGCTGGATCATCGGCGAAAATCTCGTCAACACTATTCGTGGAGCATTATTACCAAAATTGCTAAATGATTTGCGATAAAAAGATTATGAATTCATTGAGTAAATCATCTCTAATTGATTGATGAACAAGCCGTCATCGGGAAGAGAACGATCAATTGGGAGACGAGTTGCCACCTCTTAAGAGTGTACTGGATGCAATGAAGAGCCTCTTCTTGTTGTGCGAACCTAAGGATGAAGTTCCCTAACACGCGCCCTCACCTCTATTCAGCTCCTCTCCATCAAGTGACAGCCGCTAGAGAGTCACAAAGTCGCCGTTTTTTTGCTCTGTTGGATGACAACCATTAGAGACAATTTTACGACCCATTTTATTGATCTCTAGACTTCGCAAGGAGATATAGAGATTGCTCATGTCGTCTTTGTCCAAGAAGAGCCTTCGAGGCCGTGGACATTACACAATGATCCTCTCGAATGCTTAAGACTCTGGTGCATCACTAATGCATCGCCACCGTGATGCCGGAACTTTATTTTTCTACTTTCAACTTAATTTTTGCTTCATTTAGTAATAATTTGTGTGATTTAGATTTACCAAGTTATACTTCATTCAATTACAATTCTTTTGGATTTTACAGATCTTAATTTGATCAATTAAATCATTTGTAAGTACTTATGTCAAAATCGTCGAGTAGAACTCTATTTCTGTCTGATTTGCATTCGTTGGACACTGATGTCATCTTGACGTCAGCACCTTTATTTTTCTTTTTTACGAATTTTAAATACATTTCATTTTCATTTCTTAGTATAAAATTCATAAAAATTATATTTTTCGAAGAAAATTTTGCAAAATTACCTAATATTATATTACATCCTTGTGATTGACTTAGAAAATTATCACTATTTTTAAATTTTTATTTAATTATAATTAATATATTTGTTCAAAAATACTTCTAAATATCTAAAAATTGGTATTTTCTAGTTTTATAAATTTTAAATTTACGTGATTTACTATACAACGACTAAGTCACGTTAGGCTCTCTATGACAAGGTGATTCTAGCTCCTCCTTGCGTCAGTTCAATGCTCAGGTAGGAGCAAAGCTGTCCGAGATCACTTATTTGAAAGAAATTCATCATTTGATCTTTGAATTTGCTAATGTCACTATCATTCTCACCCATGACTAATAGATCATTCACATAGACTCCAATAATCAAGTGAGATTTGTTTGACCTCTTCAAGTAGACAACCTGCTCATCATTACTCCTTGAGAATTCGAGTGAGACAAGGCATTTATGTAGTTTGAAATACCATGCTTGTGGTGTTTGCTTAAGCCCCATAAAGGGCTTTCTTTAGCTTCAAGACGTGGTTTTCCCTGTCCTTCACAACAAAGCCTTTTGGTTGCTTGACATATAACTCCTCCACCTCTCCATTTAGAAAGGCTGGCTTTACATCGAGATGATGCAGCAGCCATCCCTTCTAAGCTGCAATGGCAATAAGAGTGCGAATAGATTCAAATTGAACCACAGGAGCAAATACCTCATGAAAGTCGATTCCTTGCCTTTGGGAATACCCCTTCACAACCAGTCTCGCCTTATGCTTCACAATATCTCCCTTGGCATTTTCTTGATCCTAAAATCCATTTCAGTCCTATGAGATTTCTATTGGTTGAAGGACTCACCAGCTACCATGTTTGACTTCTGTCAATGGCCTTCATTTCTTCTTTCATAGTATTCCTCCATGTCTCCTCTTTTGCTTCTTCACTGTAGGAGACATGCTCTTGATGCGAGAGTAAATAGTTAGCATCCTCTGACGATATGGGACATGTCTCAGAGTAAATTTGGTCAAGAGACTTGAACCTCACAAGCTGACTGTCTTCAGATTCGGAGTGTGAGATAGAAGAGTCTTCTCGAGAGTCATAAGTCTTGTCTTCATCACTTTCGTTAATAGAGGCATCCTTTGCTCCATAATCAGCAAGGAATTCAGGGAAAAAGGTAAGTTTAGAATCACTCTCACCTTCCTTTTCCTAGTTCCACTTGCTGTCTTCTTCAAAGATAACATCCCGGCTGATGTTAACTTTGGTGTTAATAGGGTCATAGCATCAGTACCCCTTCATGTCCACTTCATACCCAATGAAAATCATTGGTTAACTGCAGTCATCTAACTTTTTCTGTGGTCCTTTAGTGTATTTCACATGCACAACGGAGCCGAATACTTGTAGATGATCAATCACTGGCTTTCCTCCCAGTCCACAGCTCATATGGAGTCCACCCCTATAAACTTTGAGTGGAAGTTCAATTTAAGAGGTATACAGAGGTATTGACTGCCTCTCCCCACAGTTCACAAGGCATTTCCTTCTCTTTCAGCATGCTTCTTACCATGGACATGATTATTTGGTTCTTTCTTTCGACTACATCATTCTGCTGAGGCGAGTAGGGAGCAGTCAACTACCTTTTAATGCCTTGTAAACACAAAACACATTGAATTCATCAGAAGTGAACTCTCCACCTCTGTTTGAATGAAGACACTTCAGTTTCATGTTCTTCTCTACCTCAGCCAAGGCTTTAAACTTCTTGAATTGACCAAAGGCTTCTGATTTACACTTGAGCATAGCCACCCACATTAGCCTTGAGAAATCATCCATGATGAGGAGGAAATGCTGACTTTCCCCTAATGTGGGTGGACTGGTTGGGTCACATATGTCTACATACACCAGCTCGTGGGGCTCTAAGGCTCTGAAAGTAGAAACTTTAAGAAATGGAGTGCGATGTTGCTTTCCTATAAGGCAACTCCAGCATATGTGATCAGGAACACTGATCAGTAGAAGTCCCTCCACTAATTTCCTACTTGACATTTCTTTTAATGTGTGAAAAATTCAAGTGGCCAAACCTCGAGTGTCATAGCCGACTTGTAGTTTCATTTTCTTTAGTGATTAGACATTGTTTTATCACATTTAGCTTGAGCAAATAAAGCTTCCCATCTATTCAATGAACTTCTACTAACAGTGCTCCATCTTGGTCAAAAATGGTCAATCAGCCTCCATACATGACCATCTTGTAGCCTTCTTCATCTAATCTACCTAAACTTATAATATTAGCACATAATTTGGGAACAAAGAGAATATTACCAAAGTGAATTTTCTTTCCATCCTTCTGATGAACAAGGACTCACCGATTTTGACAAATTCAGAGGCTGATTCATCAAGATTCGAGAAATAATTTCTCCTTCTGGTCATGTGATGAGTAGCTGCAGTATCAAGATACCACAACTCCGGATCTTTGAGCTTAGTCTCTAAGCCTTGAAGTAATAACTCATTGTGTTCTACCAAATCATCATCAGAAGTGAAGATACTTTAGGCTTCTTTGTGGACGCAGCAACATATGGTTGGTTAGGCGTCACCTTCTTGGCACTTTGACATTTGTAAGCGAAATGGTCATATTTCTCACAGTTATAACATTGTATTTGAGATTTATTGAAGTTCTTTTTACCTTCATCAGGAGGAGGATGTCAACCTTGGCCATGGCCTCTTCCTCTGCTTTTGCCGCGGACATGATGTCGACCTCTTTTGTGAGATGAGGACTCCTCCTCACTCGTGATTTTCCCTTTGCTCAACGCTCTGGCAAGCAATGTCTGCTCCTCCTCCCGGGACTCTCGCTCCTTGAGCTGCAACTCATGGACAGTCAGAGATCCAATGACTTCGTCGAGGCTGATTTTATCCAAATCAATATATTGTTCCATAGATAAGGTAAGAGCGTCAAATTTTGAAGGTGTCACTCTCAGAACTTGCCGCATTATCTCTCTTTCTTCCATCATCTCACCCAAATTTTGCAAATCTGAGACGATGCAAGTGAATTTCATCGCAAAATCCACAACAGCTTCTTCCTTGTGCATTGTGAGAATTTTGTACTCACACTTCAGGCCTGGGATTTGTGATTGAATCACTATGTCCACGCTAAGATTTTGCGACCAGAGAATCTCTCAATTCTCATTTGCTGTCTTCTTTGCATCAAGCATAATCATCATCTCTTCCGGAATTGTGCTAAAGATTGCCAACAATGCCAGCCAGTCTTTCTTCTCGGATACATTCTCTTCGATTATCGCCTGCCATAGATCGTGAGAGTCAAGATATACCTCCATATTTATCACACAGATGTCGTAGTTCGTCTTTGAGAGCTTGAAGGATGGTGCCGACAACACCATCTCCCCCTCACACTCGCTGGAGGTACTCACCGTGCCTCCTTTCTTCACCATCTTCTTGATCCTGTTGAGCCAAGTGGCTTTGATACCACTTGTTAGCTTCGCAAGCCCAAAGTCACTCCAGAAATAGAGGTAAAAGATAAGAAGGTAATAGGAACAAAGAAAATGTATAGAAATGATTGTTTTCCACTACATTGATTCATTGAATACATAGCCCTTTATATAGGGCAGCCAATCACTAGAAGTGAGAGAGTGCATCTATTTAACTTCAATGACTTGACTAGACATCCGATGTGGCAGCACCACTGCCGTTATAACTCGTAGTGATGAGCGGCTGCGATTGATCCTGCAAAATAAACATAACGAACATAATAGAAAGGAAAATGGCCAAATTATTTATTTCAGGAAACATCACCATTGTCCACAATTGACGACGGAGCAGGAGCAGCTCCCCATCAATCTGAATTTTTATTTCGCTCTTTACTGGATCAAAGGTTTTCTACTTCATCTGTATGTCATGCTTGTTAGTTTGATTGAATCATTCGTGTGCATGGTTTCTTCAGCCTCCAGTCAGGAAAAGGTATAAGAGAGATCTACGATCATCCCAAGGGACGATCAGAACCTGAATCTATGATTTTGAAACCTGAACCAAAGTCAAACATGTTGGAGCCCTAGTTTGCATAAATCCTCATTGCTTTGTAGTCTTCTTCCATCTGACACTTGAATTGAGTCGTAAATCTTGAAGTTTCTAAGAATGGTGAATATTCATTGAGAAAGTGGATTCGGACAATAGGCAATAAAGAATAAAATATCCGTGTATAGACATGACCGATACGATTAATTGATCAAATATACATCGAATGTGATTATAGATGATTGCAGTCAAAAAGTCATATAAACGTAAACACTCTGTCCTCACCTCTCTACCATATTTAACATCCTATATGCTGTGTGATCTTCTGTGAGAGTCGCCATTTCTTGAAGTTCAAACTTCTCATTAGGCTGTATTTTGAATTTCGATCAGATGATCATCAATACTGGAATGATCTTGCTTCAAAACAACACTGTGGTAATTTTCTATCCTCATATGTTATAATTTACCATTTGTTTTAGTTCCCTCGAACATATGTGGATATAATTTACCATTTGTTATAATTTACCATATGTGGTATTTCACTGAACATTTGATTCCTTTCCCCTGCCATCAGGAACGACACCAAAGGGGAGCTGCGAATGGCATAGCTATGGCTTTTATGTCTCTCTTCGAAGATGGAACCCGAGCAGCCGTTGGTGCATTGTGATTGCCTTAACTATTCTTTTGACTATTGAAATATCTCTTTGCTTTGGTTCTGGGAAGTACTCTCTAGGCAGAGATTTTGAATCGGAGGTATAGTTGAGAGGTGCAATATGGAAAGGGGACATGGTTGACGTAGAAATTAAAAAATTCAGTCAGTTAGCTGATTGCTTAGATAACAGAGCATGTCCCTCTCCCATTCTCACTCATTTATGTATTAACCCAGAGATAAATTTTCATCTCTTGATATAAAAGAAGTTTGTTGGTTTCCTATTTGAAGAATCAACTTCCCAATATCTTTCCTAGTCGAGTGGTTTGTGCTTTCCACTGGGGATGTTGTTCAGGATAAAAATATTGTGCTTTCAGAGTTAGTTTTCAAAAAGTTAATAGGAATGCTATTTGATGACCCAAAATAACAAAAAGAATAAGTATGCTGAAGGTTTGATTCAGTCCTAAATTTGGTTGTGCGCTGACCTTCTTGGGCCCAGAAACGCCAGACCGCTCCATTTCTTCCAGGTAATGATGCAAAAATAACCTTCAAATCAGCGGATAAAATGTGATTTTATATCTGACTTCACAATTGATGATATCTAACTAGAAGTCAACTCGTCATCGGACATTCACTGTGTTCATACTTGAGCTGCTGGGTCCTCATAACTATCTAGAATCATGGTATCAATGTGAGCCACATCTTTTTGATATGCAGATGATCAGGTGATCTTCTTTGCACTGAACGTAGTTGACCTTATTGGCATTCTATTGACTTGCAGACCGTTCCTTGCTCTAAGAAACGAGCCTTCTTCTTCATAGGCCAGAATGGAGACAGAGAGAGAGCTCTTCTGTTCACTTTACGGTTTCTCTCCCACTGAACACTGGTGGATACTTGATGGGTCACATTCATTACTGTTTAATGTTATCCACAATTTTTATGCGGAAAATAAAATGATTACAGTGTACTGCTTAGATGGTCAAAGTTCCCGGGCCCTTAGACTTCCAAGTTGGCCGGTCAGACTCATTCGCCTTCACCTGATCCCCTGGCTTTTGGAATTTGATCGAACTGCTTTTTAGACTTTTTTCTTTGTTTTATATCTTGTTTTTTAGCTGACTGATCAATTTTCTATAAATTTGTTATTTTTCTTCTATCTGACTGGTGTATGAATGTTGTTCATCGTGATCTCAAGCTCTTAGACGGATACAGAAACCATATCGTGATACTCCTTTCTGTGTGAGTGTAAAAGTCGTCTGATATCTGACCTTACAATCGTGATGTTATTTTCTTGGTTGCTCATTAAACGGCTTGTTTGGACGATCTGGGTTAGTCAAAGAGGAACAAGACATTCGTGGGACTGTATGATTAATACCGCAAAATAGACCAATTGGACCTAGGCAGCAGTTTGTTAGTCGGTGAATATAATTTTGAATAAAAGATTCAAAGGTGGAATGCCTAGTCTATTTTGGAATCTAGACCGAGTCAACTTGTGGGAGAGAGTAACATCTCCGGGGAAGCTTGGGTCAAACTGGCTGCAGATTTCTCGAGCCCATTAAATGCTAATGGAAAAATGACCGTCCAATATTACTCGAATTAGGTTTTTCTAACATTTGAGTAATGATTGGCAGTTGGGCGTGGAATATTGATGCGTAAGGCTGCCGACGCCGCGTGAGGAGCTTTCACTCGGTCTGGTGTGTGGGGTCCAGGTCGCACCTGCCCTCTGGGTTTGGCGGGTGTGTTGGTGGTGCAAGGTTGACTAGTTGTCTCTGGGCTTGTGTGCGTGTCAATATTGTCGGGGGGAGAGAGGGAAAGAAAGAGACAGACGTGTTGGTTGAGTAGTCACATCTGAGTTAAAATAAAGATAAGAGTAGTAGGTAGGACATCATGGTTTTTATGAAAAAAGTGTTAATTAAACTGAATAAATAGGTTCCGTTTTTTCTTGAGCGCAAAAGTAGTGAACACCAAAAGAACAGTACAGTTGCGATTGGGCATTGGCTTGGTCTAAGGTTCCTGAGGCCGTTTGCCTATTTTCCTTGTTCAAGGGTTAACCCTGGCAATTTTGAAATAGGTCTCTACGTTAAAGCTTGGCATACTTATGGCTTAATTTTATACAAATATTTCTTTTAATTTGAGTTAACTTCTTCTGCACTCATCTAAGCCAAGAGAAGACCCTAGAAAATAAGAAATGGCCTTAATTTCTATGAAGCATGGCCCTGCCTTTAGATAACTAGAAAAACCGTACTTGCATCATATTGTCACTTAGTGTGAACGTTAAATGATAAATTATTGTATTAATATGAAGTTATAATTTTACACAACATCGATTTTATAACATTAGAAGATTATTCGTTCAAAGTCAATCAATGTGGACCCAAAACAATCAATGGAGTCAAACAAGGCCAATTAAATTGCTCAAAATCCCAAGTGTTTTATCCATTGAACTGCAGATTTGTGAAGAAGAGTCTCAATGAGCCAAGTACCTTGAAGACTTTTATACTGTCAGTGATAGTACATGAGTGGGATTCCATATTGTCGGTAATGGCACGTGGGCTCGTTTACCTTGCAAATAAAAGCGAAGGTTCCAGATCCTACGATTAAATAAAAAGCCACGTTGTTTACGTTTTCTGGAAAATGTTTCTCTGTTTCTCCCTCGACGCAAAAAGATAAGATCTCAATCCATAGTCCCGTTTCACGGGGTATAACTGACCCTCGCCGGGGAAAGAAGATGAACTAGCAAGGAGAACGTCGAGGCAGCCATTGCGAGTAAGAGAGTGACTATCCAAAATGGCAGCCGTCGAGGCAGTTCAAGTGACCTGCGACATCCTTCTCAAGCCCTACTATTCGCCTTCTTCCCCACCCCATGTTCTCCACAACGCTGAGTTCCCCCTTACGCCCTTCGACGTGGCCAACTACAACTGCCATGTCTGCATCCTCTACGCCTTCCGGCCGCCGATGCCCGATAATGCCGCCCTGCGGGAGGGACTCACACGAGCCCTCGCTTACTTCCCTCACCTTGCCGGAAGGTTCCACCCTGACGAGTACGGATATCCGAAAGTCGTTCTAAACGACGCCGGCATCCGCCTCAAGGAGGCCATCGCGCCGTCCACCCTGGAGGAACACCTCCCCTTCGACCCCTCCGCGGGCTTTTTAACGTTGCATCCACACCCAGCTGAGGGGTTGGAGGTGCTCCTCCAGGTTCAGCTCACCCGCTTCTCCTGCGGCGGTCTCACTCTGGGCCTCACCTCCCACCACCGCATAGGCGACGGCTCCTCCATTTGCCATTTCTTGTTCACCTGGGCCAAACTGGTACAGGGCCGTGACGTCGGGACTCTTCCTTTCTTCGGATGGAGCTCCGTCTGTGCTCCTAGGAACCCGGCTAGGGTGGAGTTTGATCACCTCGGCACGGAGTTCAGGCGCAAGAGTGGAGCCACCCGGCCTGGGGGGGATGTCGGAGTCAACCTGTCCAAGATGTGTAACCAGTCCTTCCACTTCTCCAAGGAGTTCATCGGCAAGCTCAAGGGCATGGTCAATGGTGGCGACCCCAGCCGTCGAGTGAGCACGTTCTTGAGCGTCCTCACCCACATGTGGAAGAAGACGACCTTTGCGCGCAGGCTTCCTGACGACGAGATGACCCAGGTCAGACTTGTTGTCAACGGCCGGCAGAGGATTAGGCCCCCCGTGCCGCCGGAGTACTACGGCAACCTTGTGCTCTGGGCCTATCCAAAACTCACGGCCGGAGAGGTACTCCGGGCGAGCTACTCCCACGTGGCA